ATTACACATATATATATATATATATATATATATATAATCTACAAGTTGTTTGACCAATGATTTTCCAGAAATCTGAGATCATCCCGATCGCTAATAGCCAGTACCTACGCTTGAGTTCTCTCCAACGGGATCAGTTATCTATGTATGATTGACCTATCGTCATCAGAAAGACGAAAAAAAGAAGAAAAAACCAAAAAATAGTAGTCATTATGTCGTCTTGGATCCAACGTCTCATAGTAAATCTGAGACTTACTTCTTCTTGGCGAACAATGGCTCACCAATAGCCTTTCCTCTTAGCTTGACTCCCAGAGCCCTCTCCATCTTAGCCAAGATCTGTTGGTTTGGAATAGCTCTTCCGGCCTCATAATCGTTGACAATATTGGGCTTCTCGTTGATCTTGACGGCGAGATCTTTCTGAGTCATCTGTTTCTCCAACCTCACCTTCGAGATGGTTTTACCCACGCTTTGGTCGACTTTCTTTGGAGCTTCAATCTCATCACTTCTATCCAGCTTTGCTAACCTCTGGCCCTCAGCGCCTCCCTTGGCATTGGTGGTTCCCCACTTCTTTTCAACTGCAACGACGTTGCCCTGTCTGCGGGCAGAGTTCAGTTGAGCGGCAGTTCTGACAACCTTATCACGTGGAGCAGAGCCTCCAACACGGGCCTTGGAGCCAATAACAGTAACAGTATCCCAATCAGACATGATTATTCTTAATTTTTTGTGCTTTAATGTAGAAGAACGGTGAGTTCAATGAAGATGGTAGAGAAGCTTTGGGGAAACTCTAGATTTGCCATCAAGTCGACAAGATAGAAGGTCGTGGAATTATGCCAAGGTCGTGTGAACATTCCATGACCGGTTGTAATTTGGCAGACACTTATGGCTCCTATAAACCGCACGCGCATGTGTCTCTTCAACGATTGCAGAAAGTACAGAACAAAGGAAACAACGGGTGCCATGGATCTGCGAGCTATTTTTCCGGATTCATTGCTAGAAATTGATGATTTGGCGAATTTTGTGGACCAATTGAACAAAGTGGAGCCAAGGTCAGTGGCCTTCTTTGACGAGTCGCTGAAAGGGTATGCAGTTCTCAGTGCCAATGCCGACACAGATACCATTTTGGACACAGAGACAAGGCTACGAGTCAGAGTATCGCTGATTTTGAACGGTGCTGAGATCCGTCAGAGTAGCGTGCGAAATTTGGTGTTTACCAAAGAACAATTGATTCTACAGGGCCATTTTCAAAATACCAATTACTTGATCTGGAAACTAGAATTCCCCGTGCTGTCGCCAACCAAAGCCGTTCCTCATCAGCAGATTCTGATCTCCGCTCTTGTGGAGCCAGGATATATCTCTTCAAATTCTGGAGCGAAACTTTCCCGAACAGAGACTTTGGAAGATCTTAAACCAACCGTTCAAGGAAACGTTTTAGAGGGGATCACATCTACGTTCAAAAATAGCTCAAACTCCACGGCGATACCAGTGATCTCAGAATCGATACTTACCCAGCAGAAGTCGCAATCTGGTGAAAAACCGAATGGAATACCGCAGGACTCGTCCAAGGCTGTGAAGGCAGATGTGATACTGCCAGTCTATCCTGTTCTACAAATGAAGCTGAAATACACCAGATTGCTTGGTAAAAGCAAGCTTTTGCTGGCTACACTGGAGCTGGGCATTTCCAAGTATTTTGTCAAAAATAGGCTTCCCGTACAGGTTGACGAAATCAGTTTCTCTCTTCCGGACGGAAGTGCTATTCCTCAGATGCCTGCCTCAATCACGTTTCCCCTTCAGTTCAAAGACTCCACTCTACATCTCACATACCGATTGGTCAGCGATGACAATAGTTCATTGGTAATGCCGGCGGTTATAACAGTTACAAGCAAAATCGTCCAAGGCTCGTCTACCAGAGACATCTGCACTCGTTGGTCTACGAAGGTTGATTTTGGTATCTCACATGTTCCGTCTTCTTCAAGTGCAAAACTTAACAGTTCTCCAATGGCTTCAAGAACATCTGTCGTATTGCAAAGGCGAAACCAAGAGATGAAAAACTCACTGAAACATAGCAGTTCCAGTTTAACTCTGCCCTCAAGACAGAACACTGCGTATATGAAACCACCACCGAACTCTCTATCGGGCTTGCGTCTGTCATTTTCTGGAACCACTATCACGAGGGTGGGAGAAAGATTCAAATGGAAGGTACAGGCAGTCAATAACAGCGAGAACACCATACATGCATCGTTATTCATACAATCGGCCGTTTCACATGCTTTCGAGAAGAGCATGCCCCCAATACCCATACCCATCAACCCAGGACTGAACGACAAAAGAGATGCCATATCTATATATCCGGTACCTGCACTGTTAAGTGCGTACAGTTCTTCCAAGCTGTCTTCGAACGGTATTATTTGTCTTTCCAATAACTTAAGACTAGGGCCAATAGAGCCCCACTCTGTGTTCGAAACGGATATGGAGCTCATGGGAATTGAGAAAGGATTGTTCAATCTTCAGGGCGTCAGATTGGTTGATCTTTCAACGAGTGAAACTTTTGATTGTGGAGGTTTATTGGACGTTCTGGTCAGTTAACAGTGAATTTTCATTTCACCTAAGCCTCAAACCAATCCTCTACGCAATGGTCTCACTCAAAATGGCGTGTTCGTCTATATACAAAGCCCACAAATCAATCCAAGATCAAAATGTTCAACAGCTCTCTTCTCCGCTTCTTGAGCGTCCTGAAGCTGGAGGTCGACAGAAGTCTGATTCGTGACACTTTTGGCAATGGCACCAACAAGTTTTCAAACAATCCGTAGATGACTGCAATTGAAACTCCCTTTTGCTCATAAAGATGCCTGAAAAAGGAGCACAGAAATATCAAGAGGTTGGCTCTACCTGGGCTGATGGTATCCAGCAGATAAGAGACTAAACCTTCCCTAGTCTTGAAAGATTTCTTGCCCTTATAGTATGTGTTGATCAGATAAACTGACATGTTCAGTGGAATGACGCCGTCTTTTAGGTTCTTCATGAGCAGGTAGAACATGTTGGCAACTGACCTGGTTCCCTCTCTTCTTTGCCCTGAAATGCTGTCAAATTTCGCAATCATCTCGTAATCAATGGATCTACCTTCATTCACATCTGCAATGATTTCCTGTTCCAAGTTGCTAAGAATGACAGCTTGATTCAATGTGTCCAGTCCAGACCAATCCAGGGCTCTGGTGAACATTTGTGGAAACCCTTTATCCATCAAAAAATCTGTGAATTGACAAATGTTCTCGGGGAGACCGCCATGGTTGCTTGCATCAGTCAAATCGTCTACAGATTTCCCGAGGAATGTTGGTAAAACGCCAAACTTGTACGATAGGAAAAAGTCCTGACCATCACCAATGCGAAGAATGTAGACCCCCTCAAGTGTACTTGCGCCAATCGGAGCTCTAGCTTCTATCTCCAACTTCTGAGAAGCACCGGCAGCAAGCGTCCCCGAACTTGGAATTGCCTTGACCGAACTCGTGAGAAACTTGCTTCTTTCAGAGGAGGCAGCATGATAATGACTTCTTCGAGGTCTTGGAGAAGATTCCCCATCATCCAAACGATTCATCATCATTAACGTCTCACCAGAAGTGTCAAACAACTTCCACGTGATGTTCGTTTCACCGTTATTCTTCAATATTGAAGATACCACTAGGGGTGTTAATACGTTTACATCTCCTCCGAGGTCCAATGGAGTAACAGTCACAACCGGTCTCGAGCTGTTCTCAAGAGCATCCAGTTCCTTGTAATATCCAGCCAATAACGCCTTTCTTACCGGCATATTGATATACGGCACACGGACCTGGAAATCAGAAATCACAGGTCTGTGATCGGACGATTTCAGCTCCGGAACATTGCTGTAATGAGTCTGTTTCAATGTCTCGTGCTCTGAGAATAACACTCTATCAGTGAAGGATGGAGTTCTCAGATAATCGTAATCATCGGTGGTATCCACATACTTGTAAGTAGGCATGAACTCTATGGGTCCCTCACACATTCCAATGAAAACTTTCTCTTCAGATTTTTCTCGCAGAAGACTGTCGTTTTCCAGAAGCTGCTGGTAGTTTTTGTTTTTGACAAGATGTTGTGCGATCTCAGGAGAAAGCCCAACACGGTAGTTCAAGTCTCCAGAGATGAACAGGATACCATCTTGCTGCTCACCAGAAGCATAGGAAATCATGGAAGCATCGTCATCCAAAGTCAGGGCCTGAACAGCGTTTTCCACATTCGCTTTCTTAGCAGTGTCAAGTGAACTTCTGGGAATGAAGCTTTCGTCTTCGTCACTACTGTAATCCAAGCTAATTCTGGGATTTGGACCCTCTGTGACAGCATTCAGTTCCTCGAGCGATTCACTCAAAATCTCGTCTTCTTTGTCTTCAAATGCAGCAAGAGACACTTTATCAGCAGCTAATCCAAATCTGTGTTCGATATCATAGAGTTCTGTTCTCCGTCTCAACAGAGCCGCAGCACTCTCACCAGCTGCCAGATGACAATTGATATGCTGAAAAGTCAAACCGTCCAAGCCGGCAGAAAAGTCTGCTCCGAGGACAAAGCGCGTAGTAATTGCACCTTTGTTTCCCCAAACTCCCAGCAGCCCAGTCCCAATCGTTTGGCTTTCCACTCTGGAGAACTGCTCAAACCAGGTCTCTTTGGTGACCACGATGGTAGTCAGTCCAAGAAGAGCATTTGTAGACAGCACACGGTACCCCTCATTTGGATCCAACTTCTTCAACGAGTCAAGAAGTGCATTGCACCATCCCTCAATTGCGACGGGGGAATGGTGTAGATTCTTCGCCGTTAACGGAATCGTCTCCTGGAACCCGCAAATGTAAACGTCTTTCAGTGGGCCTCCCTCGGGGTCTCGGAGCAATCGTGAAAAATCCTCAAACGACTCTTGTTCGTACAGGAGCTCTCCGTGGAGATTCCACGTCAGTATTCTAATAGTCATGTCCCTGGGCTCCAGTATCTGGTCCCTACTCTTGGCAAGGAAATCTGTCACTTTGGTCAATGGATCGTCCGCTGCCACCATGGACTTAGTTTGGCTGTTTCTTGATACTCTCTTTGATCTTCTGTTGCTATGTACGGAATTCCTGGAAGAGGTTGTGGGACGCAGTAATGTTGGTGTCTTGGCATTGACTAGCTTTAATCCCTGGTTCCAGGAAGCCAAAAAGGCATTTGCGTCTGTCTCTTGTTCCAACGGGATAGTTCCAGCATCAACACCCGCGACCTTCAATGTAATAGTAGCTTGTTCCCTATCAAAATCAAAGCTCAAAATATCCCCGGAAGAAAGGTCTTTTAACCCGTGGGCTATATCATTGTCCTGGAGCTGGTTGACTGAGAATTTAGGCACTTCCTCGTCATCATCTGGTGGAAAATACCACAGTGTTGAGGTAGTCGAGTTCAATCTCATTTCCAGCAAAACCCCATTGAAATTGGGCAAAAACGGATATAGTTCAACGGACAATTGGACATGCAATTCTCCAATTGTCTTGTTGAAGCAGATTGGACTGCAGACTTTAAAGGCGTGCAGATCTCGATATGACACTCCGGGGTTGAACCGGTTGGTTATGCGGTCGGAACGAATTCAATTTCCAGTTAGAAGATTAAAATGAATAAGATTGCAAAAAAGTTAATATTGAAGTGAATATAATTTGGATTGTTGGTTACCACTAAATTCTCCGGTCATGGTTTCACATAAAGTCCTTTCAAATAGCCCATTGACAGAACATTACCATGCATGATATTCATGAGTTGATCTAAGTTTACCCTCTTTCCTGCAGAAATATCGTGCTCTTTTTCAAGTCTTTCAGTGGCTTCTTCATTGATTGCGTATGCCTCAAAAAAGTACTGGTGATCGCCGTGACCGGGAGGCGGACCAGGCCCAAAATAACCTATTCTGTTACCAGCACCCCAACCCCACTTAAGCAGTCCTTTTTGCTCGGGCTCTGACTCAGTACTAAACCAGCCCTTGCTGTATTCAGAGGTCTTTGGATTGATCCCATACGCAATGAAATGCGTGCCTTTAATAGGAAGTGGGACGTCGATATCCTGCATCACCCATACTAATGACTTGGCCTCTGCTGGAACATTTTTGATGCTCAGAGGAGGGCTAGAATTCTCACCACCAGATTTGACCCCTGCAGTATATGGTGGCATGTATTCGTCCGCGGCAAAATCTGGACTTTGGACAACAATTGATTTCGGAACATCCACAAATCTGGCATCATTGAAGATGAGTTCGTGCTCCTTATTCCTTTGGTTGTACAACAACCAGGCCAACGCCCTAATAAATGGACTATCAACCATCTTTAAGCTGTTCCAGTTTGTGGGAAAAAAATATTGTGAAGGCGAACGAAACCAGGATTGTTGTACCCTTTATATGCTCGTTGCTGCTGTTGGCCTCGGGCGGCAATTTCGGCGATACGCGTGCGGCTCGTGCGGCGCCTCGGCGTTACCATAAGATTCTCTGGGGATGCGTTTCTGTGGCCCACGAAAACTCATACTTCAGAAATATTCCAAATAGCAGTGTTAAAATGGAGATATAGTAGACGAACTCTGCCGGCTGACGCCATTTTTCTTCCAAAGAGGGTCTCTGTGCGACCAGAAGTCTCCAAAACGACAGAGGCAAGATGTAGTATCTGGGCTCAAAGAGAGGTGATGGAACGATAGTTGCCAATACACACACAGTGAAAACCAAGGCCATAATTTTACCACATCCGGAGGTGGTGAGGTCTTTTCCAAGGTTCCTTTGTGGTGTGTTGGCCCGCAGGATGCTGGACTGCACCACATATGTGGAGAAATGGTACACCGGCGATAGAAGATACTTCGAGTATGTATTGCGATCAATGAGTCTTTTCCAGATGTAGAAGGTGTAATGCCTGTTATCTGCCAGAATAAATGGATGGACCACTGTGAACTTGTAGATGATGAAGTTAATGAGCAGAATCTCTACCAAAAACCACAAAAATCTCGTAGGCGATCCCACTGAACGCAAAACATACTGCCTCACAGTTTTCCAAGAAAACCACACGGGAACGCTAAGACCTGTCATGAACGTGAAACAGTAAAATACTTGTACAAGGTGAATTGAAACAGCGTGGTTCTGCTTGTCACCAACGGTGATACCACCATTCCAATAGACAAAAGCGACGAAAGCTCCAAAGTTTAAGGCAAACGGTACAAGCAATTGTGCACTCTCAAATGCACATATCACAAACTGTTGTGCTTCTCTCAGAAAAGAGCTACTGTGGGCTGATACTCCAGCACGCCGGCTCACAATAGCAGCTGCCACGAACGCGTTCCAGACGATATTCGTCTGTCTGAACCAAACGCTAACAAACCCCAGAATAGAAGCCAGTAACGAACTTAAAAATTCAGACGAAAAAGGCGGGTTAAGTGCAAAAATGTAGGATGTGAAGATGAAGAATGTCGACCACACGTCTGTGTAGAAAAGAGTGGAGTATACTGCAAGAATCGGGCTCAAAGCAACCGAATATGAGCCTATATTTAGTGTTGGTGATCTCCATTTGTAATATATAGTCACCAACACAATGAGACTCCATCCAGTAAAGTTCAAACCTCTCAGATGGCCTAGCGAGCAGTAGTCACCGTCACCAACGTAAGACATTCCTCGGTTGTAAAAAGCCCCCAGTACGTACAAGCCTGGTGGAGTGGTGATTTTTGGGTCCCAATGCTTGAAATTGCCCTCGCAATATTGCTGGCATTGAGGGACGTGGAATATTTCATCCTGAGAAGAGTGTTAGTGGCTTGAGGCCAGGGCATAACAAGTATCTCATGTGTTACTCACGATGAATTGATAATCAACAATTTCGTTGACATTTTCAAGCCAATACCCCACAAAACCAATACTAGCCACCCCAGATATGAGATCGTAGATCATTTTGGTGAATTAGTTGAGTAAAAGAAGAATGGAGTAGCGTTCTTAGCGTTGTGCGTACCGATTTGGATCTGGAAGTGCACCAACAAAAAAGCTCATCGCTCATCGCCTTAGACAGTTATGAAATGTTTATCTTTAGGTCGAAGTTTGACCCACAGGATCGAATATATTTCGGCAGCAATGCAGAATATAAAGCCATTTTTCAGGCAATATTGGCTGGTTGCTTTCTTCTGGCTTCTTCGTGGTGGCTTGTGTAACAGCGAATGGCCCAGTCTCTCAGCAACGAGGGCTACTGCATTACGAACACAACGGGATATCAGCAAGAACATAAGTATTAACGAGGACGTGGTGATAGGAGCCAGATTGAGCACGCTCTTATGGGATGTGGATGGATATCAGAATAGTACGCTGGAAAATGTGCGAAATTTGCTGAATGTTGGTGTCCAGGCATTGGTGCTAGATGTCTACCTGGACGAGAGTACTTTGCAATGGCAACTCTGTCCGGCCCCATTGCCAACGAATTCTGATTTTAACGTCAGTTCTCTGAAATACAATGGAGCCACATATGTATGTGATCGCTATCTCACGCTTGAGGGACTGCTTGATGTGGTCAAGACATTTTTAATTGAGACAGATACGAATCTTTCAGCCAACCTACTGGACCTTGTGTTTGTGCTGAGATCTATCTGGCCCTCCTCGGACCCAGTTTCTTCTGCGTTGCTCGAGTCTACCAATACCTCCCTCACGAAGGCGATTTCAAGCGTAGGTTTGGGCAGGTTGTTTCTATCGTCAGATGTCTCGCCTGATGCAAGATCTAACTATGATTTTCCGACTCTGGACAACTTTCTGTTCTCAGAAAACAAACGGGTACTTCCAGTGATAATTAGTGATTATCTCTCTTCTAATACCTCTTACGAAATTTCTGATGACGAAAGCGCTTTTTTTGTCAAAGGAAAAAACACGAATGTTGCTTTCGAGCACTTTGGAGACCTTGAGTGTCAAGGTCGAGTCTCCGAGTCTGAAGTGGAAGACACTTTGAATTACCAGTTCAGATTCGCTTACGACGACGAAAGTTCGCCTTTTTCAACAGATGACTTCAAAAGTACCCAGCTGTGTGGTTTTACTCCAATTCTAGCATCTCCGATCCAACCACTTGAAGACATCTCTTCATTCCTGGACTATTCCTTCTGGTCATGGGCACCTGCAGAACCGCGAAACCTCACCTCCCTGCAGAAGTCAGTCAACTCTACACAAACAGATGTGTCCAGCTCTAGCGACTTATACATTAGCAACTGCGCTGTTGCTACGAGTGATGGATGGAAAGCGACCAATTGCTACGCGAAGCACTACGCTGCCTGCCGTAATGACACCGACCCCTATGATTGGTATATCGAGACCAGTTCGAAAATGACATATTTTGAGGCAACTGGTCTATCTCAGGGGAATCTCAATGATGTTGATAACATTTGCCATGATGGGGCCAAATTCTCATGTCCCCGTGATGCTTTCCAACAAGCTGCCTTACTACAAGTTATTGAAGCCAAATTTGGTGATGAGGAAGTACCCGTATGGATTGATATGAACTCTATCTCTTCGATGAATTGCTGGGTTACTGGTGGTTCCAATGCGGCATGCACGTATCAAAAGATCGTGTCAAAGAGTGTCTTCAGTCAGATGATCACTCCCACATGCGTATGTGCATTTGTCCTATTGATGGCTATGATCATATTACATTTTGACAGAGTGCCTGTCCAGACAAACAGAAAGTATTGGAAAAGGACTTTGGACAAATACTCCAAGAACGAATATGAAGGTGTGCCGTCTTGATTTGACCATCGGTTCGATACTTCATCTAATGACCCCATGATCTTTGCTTACTCCTTCTGATAGCTCGATGATCTCGCTTCCGAAAAGACCCCTTTCCTGCGATCCTGATGTCAACCATATGCTGGACTCCCAAAAGTCATAGAATCTCACCGATTGGTCGTTGATAGCAGTGCATATGGACTTGGAATCTGGGGATTGGACCGCGCTCAGCACCCTCATACCACTGCTAGCTGGGACCTGAACCACTGGCTTCATTGATGGATACGAGTAGACACAGATCAGACACGGCTCTTCAAAATCGCTGAACCCGAATGTGGCAAGAATCTGTTTCTTTGACTTTGACCATACCAAAGAAGTGATTTGGCCTTTAGCATTGAAAGAATCTAGTAAAGTACCAGAGTTTGCATGCCAGAACTTAATCATGCGGTCTTTTGAACCGCCTCCCGTGGCAATCAAAGATGGAGACCAAGGACAATATGCAATTGCCTTGACTGCGGCCTTGTGGGGAAGATAGAATCTCAGTTGTGGGGATGCAATGTCTGAGATGTCCCATACCGTACAACAGTTGTCGTTGCCGCCAACTGTGATCTGTTTTTGGTCTCTACTCAATGCTATGCCACAAATTTGTTGTTGGTGACACCTCATGGACAATTTCACCGAGAATTTGTGCCCCGTGGGTGTCGTCTCGACCTGGTAAAATGTTATGTCACCCAATTCGTCACCCGCAATGAATATCTTGGAGTCTTTGAACCAAAGAATGCAGCTGACTCCAGTACTTGGCCGTAGAATTTCTGACCATTCTACCTTGTTGTTGGAAGGCGTGCACAGAATTATTCTTCCTGTTTTAGTTCCGATTGCCAACAAATCGTGGAACGAGAAGGAAACGCAAGTTATGACTTCGTCATCGTTAAGATCCACAGGAACAGTCTCCCCGATCTCACTGCGGACATACACGGCGCAATTGAGTCCAACTGCTACTTTATTGGAAGTAGCTGACCACGATACCAAATTCGAGTAGAAGTCATTTCTTAATCCTGGAGCATCAAGAACCTTGAAAGAGACCTCCGGTTTGGCTACTTTCTTCTTTTTTGGGTTCGTTTTCACGTTCAGGGAGAGGGACAATTTTGGAATACTCCCCATTGATATAGGCGAGTGATTATGGCGTCTTTTTGACTTGGTTAACGAGACTGGAGAATAGCACAGTACTCGTTTTCCAGAAGGGAGCCCCAACGCTTGGGCAAGATCATTTTGAGCAGCCTTTTTAGACACTTTCTTCGTCGTTTGACTGGCCGAATGGTTACTGCCTGACCTTTCAGCGCCCTGTGAAGCTTCATCGAGATCACCTATGTTGAAAGTTCCGGCGGTTATGCTTCTAGGATCATCCTCATAAAATAGCAAGCCCCTTGTGCCATTCCGTTGAACCCCCAGATGTAAATGGCGCCTGCCGTTGAAAGCCTCGTCTTGTGTTGTGTGCTGTACTGGCGTTTGGCTTTGGCTGTTGGCAGATATGTGGGGGATGAACCGGTCAAGGATAGGATACGTACCGGATGTGTGCCAGGCACCTCTCCTTCCCGAGCTAGGAGGGGTCAAATATGACATGGAGAATGGGTATGTGGTGGTCTTGTTGGAGAAACAGACTATGAAGGAACAACACTTGAGATGTGGTGGACGAGGGGGCCGCACACAAAGCCGCACGCACACGACAGCTTGGTTCAAGCACGCTATCATGCAACGTCTAGATTATCAAAGATTAAGTCGTTATCGTTATCGTTATCGTTATTTAGCCCATATAGCTATCCCAAATTGGAACAGAGACATCACATTCACCTTTAATGCCACACAGCATTCATATGCTGAAACTCTCGGCGTGGAAGTGAAACCCACAATCCCTTGCCCACAGACTCACGTTGTTCACCAAGCCAACAGGTCCAGCAGCAACGACCCAAATTTTGTCCTGAGACTGACTGGGATTCGCCAGACGATCATTCCTGTGTCTAATGAAGCGTTCATTCAAGAAGAGCTCATCCTCGTCTTCGGTGCCCAGTAGCTTTCCATTCGACTTCTTGTACTTAAGACCGGAATTGCTCTTCTGTTTGGTACCATTAACAGGTATCTCATTGCAGCAAACACTCTGACCCGTTTTGAGATCGACCAAAGGTCCGATACAACTGGATTTAACACACCAGTTATAGTAGAACACACCCAATTTGGGGCGTCCGAATTCAATGCGACAGCTCATGTTCCCGAGGATCCAGTAGTTGTCCAGCTTTTCGGTCTGAATGGATGGAGATCCAACTGGAATCAACCCTGCAGAAAATCCAGAAGACAATGCTTTTGATGATACTCGACCCAACTTCGGATCATAGCAGAACTCGTTATCCTTGTTTTCGCAAATTCCACTGCTGTCGGAAACCTGTCTGGGCCTGTCGCATGTTCGGTCCAAATCAACATCGACGTTTTCAAATGTGTTCTCTTCGGTGAAGGAGTACGTCGCTTTGTTTCTCAGAGAGCCCGAGCTGTTGCGATGTTTTGCCGCTAGAGCACTTCTATAGTGCTCTTTGGGAGAAAGTCCGGACTCCAGATCGTCATCAATGGCACTGCCATAATAGTAATTATAAGGGTCTGATGCCAGACTATCAGTTGCTGAGAAATTGCGTGGAGACTTAGCAGAAACATTTGGAGTTGGCATGTTGAAATCAATCTCGGTCTCTTGATTCAACACCCTGTTCTGTTCTCTGATGTCCCTCTCAGATCTCCTTCTCCTTAATTCGGCGGTGTCAGCCATGAACGCTTCCTTCTCAAATGTATCATACTTTCCAGTGATGAAAATGTCAATGCAATCGTCGTCTGTGAAGATGTTCTGGTAATAGTTCAACACCTTCAAGTCTTCGTATTCTCTCACGACCCAGATGATTTTAGCCACGCATCCGTTGTAGTTCAGGATCCTCATGACAGGCAAGGCATAACTTATGGCCGATCCTCCCACGATAATCAGGCATCTTTTGGCCTTGACGTTGAACATCAGCGATCTTGAATTTCCCCTTCTCCTTGGCTTGATAAAACGAAGATACGGCAAGTAAGCTCCGGTTAGGAGGTACTTTTTCTCGTTGTTCAGCTCAAAGGCGCCTTTACGGATAATGAGCTTTTGCGTTTCGTCTCCAGCTAACGTGGAGAGCGTGAAGGGGTGCTGGATTGGAGCCAGGTAGTTCTTCCATAGCGACTTCAAGCGAAACGACGGATCATAGTCTATCATGCGAATGTGACACCCAGGGATGCCAGACTTCTTTGGGATTCCCTCGTTGGGTATTATCACCAGTTGAATGTTTGCTGAAATGTCCACAACATCCAACATTGACGCCTTTGTCATGGAGACTCTATAGTATATCTGGTACAGCAGGATCGCGGTGTTCAATGCGGTGATATATGGAATTCCTGGTCTTGCGTGGAAAAAGAGCGAGATCACAATGATCCAGGAACAGATGTAATGGTTGATGAAGAAGAAATTGTAGTATTTTCTTCTGAAAAAAGGCAGCGAAGTCACCACAATGATAACAAATGCAATAGTGGCCAATATCCCGGTCACATTTTTGAACTTGAGCAACTTGTACAGCGTGTGTTTCAAAGTCATGTACCATAAGTACAGACCTGTGTGGGCCAATCCCATCAACACAACCAGTCTGGATAACCACTTGTGAATGGGTACCAATGATAGATACAGCGTATCTGGTAGGGGTGACGGTCTTAGAGTAAGAAAAAATATCGTGGGGAGACAGTAAGTAGCCACTCTTCCCAACCTTGCTGCTAAGAAATGGAAGTCGCCATACACTTGCAGGCACGACAACACGCCCAGCACAGGAACCCAAAAAAGTAAAATTTTGATCACGGGAAAGTTCACTGTCAAGACATTACTTCTTAGCCGTATCGTGTTGATTTTTCCTGTGATTCGCGAGGTCAAGTTGTAGAGAAATTGGTCATACAACCAGGCCGATAAGGGGATCCCAAGCACGAACAGCAGGGAGACAACAAAGGTGATATACCCATACCGTACCGTGATTGTTTTCCGGGAAATAGAACCGTCTTCGCCTTCTGATTGGAAGAATATTCCCCCAAACATGACCACGGTTTAAAAAAAGAGAGGATCAAGTCCGGCGCGGAGACAGATAGACGACTATCGTAGTATCATATCATGGGACAAAGGACAGAGCCTCAAGGCTCAGCCGCAGAAATGGGATCCCGGACCCGCAAGCTATCTGATCTATCAGATAAACCCAAAACGTACATCCTTTGTCACGTGATCCGACGGGGGGCTGGTTAGCCCTTAATGCCCTAAGTTTTTTCCGCTTACTGGATGAAAAATATTTGGTGCATCTGCACGACCAAAGGTAATGAGGAATGAAAATTACACTCTCAACACTTTGAACAATTACCAGCTTTTTCAAACGTCCAATAAACAGACTTATCAAACATGTCATTGCCTGCTTCTTTTGATCTTACTCCAGAAGACGCCACTTTGTTGTTGGCTGCTAACGCTCACTTGGGTTCCAAGAACGTTCAAGTATGTATTCATTCCGTCGAGTTGGAGGTGCAGAGGGTAGAGGGTTACCAGGTCTAGGTATTTTTCGCCAGTGAGCGTGACAGAGTATATTCCACAGCATTGGTGCATTCAAGACAATCTGGAGCGTTTTTGATATTTCGGAAACGTATATTAGGGCTTGCTTGTTACCCAGAAATTGAAGGTCAACTCAGAGATCCAAGGTTTTTTCATCTCAGGAACGCCAAGCTACTGTCCCTTGTCTCTCTTTCGCCAGAACTGCATTCCCCTATAAGCCGCCTCAAATTGCATCCGATTTTCAAGCAAATACTAACAAAGCATTTTTTTTAGGTCCACAACGAGCCATACGTTTACAAGACGAGACCAGATGGTGTCAACGTCATCCACATCAACAAGACCTGGGAGAAGATTGTCTTGGCCGCTAGAATCATTGCTGCCATTCCAAACTACTCCGATGTTGTTGCCGTCTCTTCCAGAACCTTTGGTCAAAGAGCTGTCTTGAAGTTCGCTTCGCACACTGGAGCCACTGCCATTGCCGGCCGTTTCACCCCAGGTTCTTTCACCAACTACATCACCCGTTCTTTCAAGGAGCCAAGATTGATCATTGTCACTGACCCAAGAACTGACGCCCAAGCCATCAAGGAGGCTTCCTACGTCAACATCCCAGTCATTGCTTTGGCCGACACCGACTCCCCATCCGAGTTTGTCGACGTTGCCATTCCATGTAACAACAAGGGTAAGCACTCCATTGGTCTGATCTGGTACTTGTTGGCCCGTGAGGTTCTGCGTATCCGTGGTACTTTGCCAAAGAGACCCGAGCCATGGTCCATCATGCCAGATTTGTACTTCTACAGAGACCCTGAAGAATCCGAGCAGGTTGCTGAGGAGGAAGCTGAGGTCGAAGAGACCGTTGAAGGCCAAGCCGAAGCTGCTGAAGAGTGGGCTGCCGAAGCTGCCGAGGAAAACTGGACACAAGAAGACTGGGCTGCTGAGAGTGCTGAGCCAGCCGCTGCTGCCACCGTCGCTGGTGAATGGTAATTTGAGAAGAAGAGGTGTATGTTTTTTACTTGAAACTTGTGCAAAAAGAATACATAATATCTATTAGGATATTCCGTATGTAGAGTTGGATCTTTGTAACTGGTTGACAATTCGAACTTCGAAATTTGACATTTGACATTTGAAATTTTTAGTGCAAAACTCCAATGTGCCCACCCGTCTTTAGAGAGGTGGGCGGTGCTTCAGCCGTTTGCTTACAGCGCCAGTGGCTCGTGCTATTCTTGGCCCTTTGGTGGTTGTAGACGCCAACGGGACTATCCACAGTCCGAAATACTTGCCAAAAATTGCCCAAAATCCCCCTGTTGGACTATTCACTCCCTCTACGAGCCTGAAAACATTATCAGCATCTGTTCTCAGGCACATTTCTCAGGCTATACTACTGATCGGCCCCTCGTTTGAGTGAAGCCTGAGCTCGGTTGTATGAAGAGACGAAATCCAAGACAGCCTCGAAATATTGGTGTCAAAAAGTCTTCTCCGTGGTCAGCCTTTCAATTCAAAAACACTCGTTTTGTTTATTCCTTCGGGTGTTGTGTTTCGGTACTGGCTATCAAGACCTTGGGTGGACTCACGTATATCCATCACAACAGTTTGGCGCTGCGCTTGTTCGAGGTATTTTTATTCTTGAGCGCGCCTTTTGTGTGCTTGTTGGTGTTTACCAATCATTTTTTGATCAAAGAAAAGTTCTTTGTGGAAAACAAGCGGTCCGTCGAGAAGCCAACTGTGTTCTTCTTGCACGAGGAGCTCAAGACCAGGAGAGGGAGCTTCTAGAAAATGGTGCTTAATGTCTACTGGCCGAGTACTCTTCGAAGCAATGGTAATGCTAGACTTTTAGTTGGCTACAAATCGCAAAATGGTGAGAATATAGTGGTGGTCTCTGCTATAGAGAAGAGCTGGCTGAGCATTCTCCAAAGACAAACAGTGATATCAAATGAAACCTTCGAGCTCTCAATTAAGTTTCCTGCCAGTTCGAGTCTTCGCTTGTCAGTGGTGGGAGTTCTGAATTACGAAAGTTTCCATCTGCTCGAATTTGACATGCTGAAGAAAGACGCATATCCCCTCATCCACTGTCGCAGCTACAATCTCATCGTCTTCAATCCTCCAAACTCCAAGAAGCTGGAGTATTATGCCACGCATCCTGCTGAGGTTGACATATTCTGGTCTAGTTATGAACTGCCTCTCAAATCTCAGAGCAATCAGCTTCCCGAGGTTGTGCAGCCTGAAAGCGAATACGGTCGCAAGCTGGCACAATATAGCTCGAAGAGTTTGCCTAAACGGGCTACATCTGAGCTTGACCTTACTCTGAGACACATCAACTTGAGAAACTATCTATCAGCAGAGCTGGACAGTTATTTGAAGAAGTATCTGGAGGTTTCTACTTGCAATTCTCGCAAAATAGGGTCCTTTTCCCTGGTACTCTATGCATTCTCGTGGGCAGCCAAGCTGATGTCGTTTATCGGTAGTTATCTCGCTATTCTTTCCAAGTTTCCGTTGAAATTGGTCAACTTCATCATCATTTCATTGATCAATATCTTGTCGTACAGAGTGGGCGACAAGTCTCTATCCACCATCAGTTTTTCGTGTCATCAGGTCAGAAACAGTCTAGCTAATCTTCTGCTCTTTCCTGCTCAATGTCAAAGAATGCGATCAGCAATGCGAGAGTCGGAGTACTCAATAGCCACTGGATCAGCTCATCTCTCGACTGAGTACATCAAGCTGTATAACACTGGCTGGTTATGGGTAAACGATATTCTTTTGGGGGTGGTGATATCCAGGTTCCTCACTGATCACGCTGATATCATTTCCAGCTCAAGCAAGGAGATCATCAGTGATCTCCTCACAAGAAGACTCAGCTACCTGATCAGATGGCTGATGAACTCGCCTGCTGGTTTCAAGCTCAATAACGAACTTGCTGGATTTTTGGGAGAGCTCACACTATGGGTCATCAAAATATGGGAAGACTCCTTGATAGACACCCTACTGTCACCTCATATGGTAATGATTCTTGTCACTCAAATAGCACTTGCAACCCAATTCATGGGTGCTTCATTTTTCATTAGTGTATGGCTCGACCTGATGAATATTTTGGTGTTCCATGTGCGTTGCTTCTACTTTGCATCTACGAGAATATACCACTGGCAACTGGATATATTAAGGTCTCTATTCCGACTGTTTTACGGAAAGAAGTACAACCATCTGAGGAAGAGAATTGACTCCAACAACTACGAGCTTGATCAGCTCTTTTTTGGAATCATTATTTTCACCATATTACTGTACCTACTGCCCACTGTTGTGGTGTTCTACCTGACTTTTGTTCTTGCTCGCCTTTCCCTTTTCACGCTCACCGCTATGTGCCAGTTCCTTCTGATCGGTCTGAACTACATGCCTTTGGTGGTGTTCCTTTTGAGACTTAAGCGGAAAACCGGCCTTCCAGGAGGTATTCTCTTCAAGAATTTAGATAACTCGTCAGCTGAGTCTGTCGGTGTGTTTGAACTCAAAAGTCGTTCGCTATCGCTGGCAGAAATTGCAAAATCGCATGCCAAATCTGTGCTAAGATTCAATATCAGAAACCTACAAATGCACAGGAGCGCTTTTCCTTCGGGTGAGGTGGAGCTTGAATGGAGCACCCTATCACCAATGGTGTTGGCGAGAAACGTAGCGTTTGGAGACCCAATCGAAAACTTCTCATACACCACACTTTTTTGACGGCTTCTTCATGTCTTGTATTAATATTCATTCATAATCGATAAATTCATTTTCATTTATTTAAACTTTTAGAAAAAGAGCACCGCTGGCAGGAATTTGTTTTCGGGCTGAAAACGCAAAGGGTATCGGTGAGAAGTTAAAATACTCATGCAAGTCGACGCATGTCTATGCAAGTCGATAAATGTCATGAGGATAGCCAGGAGCATCACCAGGTCAGGACAAACTCCTCAGCAAAAGCACCACCGGTAGTGTAATCTTCAAGATCAGTGACCAGTAAGGTATTATTGGCAAATGAGAAGTCAATCTCTTCACCCAAAAACGTGACGTTGGAAGGCTTTGAGTCCACTCCGAGGATGGTGATGTTGGCAAGAGGCTGTGAGGCATTGAAGTTACCGTAGGCAGCAGAGGTTAACGAATGGCCTTCGGCAATGAAATCAACGTACAGAGATTCAGTGATATTCACTGATTCACCGTCATCCAAATACAGTTTTCCACTGGCATAACCATCCAGATCAAGGGCGACAATCAAACTGAAAGGATTTTTTCTCGAGTCGTGAATTGTGTAGCCTGGCTCTTGCAAAGGCAGGATGTGGCCACCTCTCACATGGAGAGGAATATGACCCAATGGAGCATCCAGAGTCTCGTTGAAGCCAGCCTCAAAGTCCTGGGCTTCCTGGGTGTACCAGTCGTAATAAACTTCGGTCTCTCCAGAACCAGGGAAAACACCTTTGACGGTATCCACAAGTGGCTCCAGAACGGGAGTGACGATAAGAGCGTCACCAACGAAAAACTGTCTGTCAGCGGCACGCAATGATCTGTCTTCTGGGAATTGCCATGACAACGCTCTCAGAATTGGCAAACCTGTAGTATGAGCCTCTTGGAGCAAAGTGTAGTAGTAAGGGAGCAAAGAGTATCTTATGCCAATGGATGTCTTGGCAGCCTCGGTCACATCACTCCAAACGTAAGGCTCTTGAGATATAGCCCCAAGCACATTATGGTTTCTGTAGAATGGGAAGAATGAAGAGAGTTGAGTCCATCTAGAACACAGTTCACTGTCCGAATTACCATTGAAACCGCAAGTATCAACACCAAAGAAAGGAATTCCGAAGATTCCGAACGAGAGTGCTTGAGGTATGGAAAAGTACATCCATTGCCAATCGGCGTTGTTATCACCACCCCAATGACCAGCCCATTGACCAGATCCTGCAAAAGTTGAACGGGTGATGATAAAAGGCCTCTTATTTGGTTGAATTTCCAGAAGAGCATTGTAGGTAGCATTGGTCTGAGTGTAACCATACAAGTTGTGAACGTCATACTCCAAAGTGCCATCAGCATGGGTTGCATTTGGTGAAACGTCGTGAGTGGCAATATCGTAATTACCCTGCCAGTTGTAGATAGCGTATGGAGGATAATTAATATTTCCAACACCTGTTTCGAGAGTGTTCTTGGAATCAAGTGTAGCAGAGCTGGTAGATGTTGCTGTGGAAGAGGAAGACGCAGTTTTGGCAACAGAGGCCGAAGACGCAGATATAGAGGACTCAATTGAATGGTACTCAGTCTTGTTGGATTTTGAGAAGCCTTCTGGGTAACTAGTAGGAGAACTTCCCACCACGAAAGGTGGATGAACTGGGTTCTGAGTGTAGTTCTCGGAGCCGCATGATCCGACGCAGAACGACGAAACTTCGTTCATGTCCAGCCAGATACCATCAAACTCTATCGTTTTATACCACTCTGCAAAAGACTCTGTCCACCATTCCTGCGTGGAATTGGCAAAAAAGTCTGGGAAAACGGTGTATCCGGGCCAAACAGCTCCAATGTAGAGGGATCCATCGGGGTTCCTTAAAAAGGTTTCCGAAGAATTGCCGCTTTCGAACACAGTGTAATTGTCAGAGGCATTATTCGGATTGGGTACGTAGATGGCAGCATCAACAATTGGAACATAATGTTGGTGATCATCGTGAATTGTATCCAAAAATTTCTTGAACTCCTTAGCTGGGTATCTGTGAGGGTCTGTGGTGAAATCTTTGTACGAGTCCATATAGTCAATATCACTCCAGATCGTCTCCAGAGGAATTTCAAACTTCTTGAAAGTCTTAACAACTTCATCCAATTCCTGAATAGTGGAATATCCCCATCTGCATTGGTGATAACCCAAGGACCAGTATGGCTGGAAGCCCGGAAGGCCGATCTCATGCACGTATTGCGAGATAACCTCCTTTACGGTAGGACCGCTGAAGAAGTATAGATCAACCACTCCACTGAGAGCTCTCCATGTGAGAGCTTCCTCTTCAATAATCACTTCTTGGGCGGCACTAGTTCTCCAGTAGACACCATGAGTCGTATTTGTGTCGTATCTCTGGTCGATGTAAAATGGATGGGTCCCATAAATGTTTCCGTCAATTGGATCCCCAGCATCGTTGGCAAAGAGAGTCTTTACTGACCCAGGTTCCTGCACGAATCCATGGATAGACTCACCCAATCCAGTGATAGTGTGGTTAAGTGGGAGAGAGGTGTTGAGTTGAATGAATTGGTTGGAAAATACCAGTGGATTTCCAGCTGTTGAGAACAACTCCTCACCAGACGAAGCTCTTAGGATTGTGAAGGTGAATGGGTCCTTTTCATACGTGAAAACCAAATCAGCATTGGAGAAAGAGTAAAACTCCGATTCCGCCTTGGGCTTGAAAGCCAGATGCTCAGGTAAAACGTACACGTCAGACAAATCCGTAGGCTCGATGTGAACATTAAGTCTGTTGTCAGACTGATATTCCACTTTGAGAGTCAGGGAATCAAAATCGTAACCATAGATATTGGTCTCGTTGATCAGCTTCAGCTTGGCCTCCAGCCCATTCTGGGTGTAGTGGCTCTTGACGACACGATAACCCTTTGCCAATGAGTTGGCATCGGCAGCAGTGGCATTCAGAACATTTGGAACCTGAGCACTTCAAAAGATAATAAAGTTAGTATGGTTTTCTACCGGCGAAAAACTGCATGTACGATCGGAGAATCGGAGCGTAGTGTCATGCAGCTACCGTATGCACGCTCGACCGCAGACCTTCCCCAATGCGGAGATATTGCCTGACGGTCCAAATGTGTCAACGAAAATTCACTTACACTCCCCAGGTAGCCCAATCCGCGACCGAAGGCAGGGCACTTGCTGAAGTCTGACTAGAACTCGAATTTTTCGAAGAGACAGGAGCTCCGCTTACGAGGTCGAAAAGTGAGGACCAAGCAAACGCTTGAAAAAATGCTCTTTTTAGTTGCATATCGCTCCTTTCAACAATTGAGACCCTTTGTGGCCATTGTAGAACAGGGGAACTTGGGCATATTTATATTTGATATACCTCAAAAGTCAAATTTTTGAATTATATGTCAACCCTTTACCCAATTGAGTCTAGTAGTTCTCGATTAGGTGATACATGAAGCGTAATTTCATTTCTGTAGGGCTCCGGAAGCGGGGATACATGAACTGGGAGATGATGCCAGAAGTACAGTGCCTTGCATTGGCAAAGAGGCAAAGTCAAGAGATCCTCGAGCCATTAACAAGTTGTAGTCTTACGTTCGGAAAACTGTTTGATGTCCCGTAGAAGTTCTGAAAATTCTATTGGTACGAATTTTGCTGATTCTTAGAGTTCTTGAGGTTCATACCATTCGACTTTAAGTCGTTTTACCACCTGGTTCAATCCAACAGAATATGTATTCAGCGATTCTCGATTATTGCGGGGCAGAGAAAACATATATTTCTGATTTTCCCCTGACTTAGAGAAATCCTAATTGAGCAGGGGTCTCGCTGTAGAGGAAAAAGGCAGGGCGGACGTGGGATATGGTGGTAATTGCCAATACACTCGCTGATGTAGTGAAAAAGCTTCACAAAACAAGGTGTATATAATTCCGGTAAAATGCTCGTTATGCAAAATACTTAAATATACGAAATGATAATTATTATTGTGACAATGCTGGGGCTCAAATTGAGATGACCGTCACTAGCTTGCTATTGCATGAAGGTTTCCTTTTTTGCTTTCTCCCCACCCAAAGTCCGCATTAACTTCATGCACTTTTTTTCCGATGAATCCGGTATCCTGAAGCTAGAAGACTTAGCAGCTTACCTCTAGTACAGGAAAGCTACATTGGTGTTGGAGATGTGGGAGTCATTATGCCTTCGGCCTAGCTGTGGTCAATTGAGCCGATTGCTCCACCTCTAGCTGCGGAACATGGTGATAGGCGGCATGGCATGTTGCAACTGTGGCCTGACATTCATAACTGCGTAATCATGTAATCAAAATTATGCTGAACAAGGATTCTGCTAATGGAGCTGTTGAGTATGTGATTATTCTCAAAAAAGTGAGTTGTCGGATGCATAGGATTTGTACACATTTTGAGATTTTTGAGAATTTTCATAATGGTTCGTTTTCTCCGTTCGGATATTCAGACGAGCAATTTACAAGAAGCGGAACAAGATCAAATGGAATTAACGGGAGAATTATATCCTTTTTCAGGAACAAACTCCGTATATAAGATGAACAGAAACCAGGGTTCTGCCTACAACGAATACAAATTCTGGTTGGAGCATGCAGAACAATCTCTGCTCGACTAATATCCGAGGCACCAACTCCGATGCATTTCACATTTTGACAAAGATAATGAGCATCTGCTTTTTGATCCATTTTTAATCTTTCATTCTCAATGAGCCTATTGTATTATCATGTACAGGATTGTATGTCTTTCTATTTTCGTTCGGTCAGGGCGACGAGGAGAGCACTTTGAATGGGGCCACATCTTGTACTCGTCAATCATTTCAATGATATTCTCGGCCTCATCATTTCCTCTGATCATTTCTTCTTCTTGGTCTTGTCGGTAGCTTCAGACTTCTTCTTTGGCGCACCCTTACCTCTCTTCTTGCGCTGGTCAATCATACCTAGTCTGTGTTCTTCTTCCATATTGGTCAATTCCAGGTCTTCAAAACGCCACAGCTTCCTCATGGTAAAGAAACTTGGGAAACTAGGATCACCATAATAATCTTTCACTAAGGGCCCCTTCAAAGGTTTTTTCAGAATCTTGGCACCAGTCCTCAATCCCGATGGATTGAACGTTGTGTTGAAAATCTCCGACGATAACTTCTTCACTTCGAGTAGTCTCTTCTTATTCGGCCTCACAAACGACGCCACCGCATTCGCAAGACTCATTTTTGTAAAGGTGTGGTGTAGGTGGATTCGATATATTGGTGATCAGGTATCCATCTTGAACTCGTCGTTGGAAATTTGAGAATATAGGATACACGGTGAAAAATGACAGATTTCGTCACTCTCAAGAATACTCAATTTGGACTGAATCTAACAAGAAGAACAGAAGACCTGACCCAAGCAAAATCGGCCGGCAAATAAACACTGGCTATATATTTGACAATGTCGAGAATCTCTGGCTTGAAATGCCTATTTGCTAGTCGACTGACACCGCGGAGAAATTTCGCGACTGCGCGATTGGCATTTGCCGAACAGTCACCTTTCACAGCGGGTCAACCGTTGCACGAAACTCGTCCTCATACGATAAGCCCAGGAGAACTAACACCTGGAATTTCTGCACTTGAGTATTTCCAGAGAAGAATTTGTGTTTCGTCCAGCATGACTACGGGCAGTGTTGCCATCATACCAGGTGAACAGATCAAGTACGCATCAGGAAGCGTGTTTTTTCCTTTCCAACAAGACAATGATTTTTATTACTTAACAGGATGGAACGAACCAAACTCCGTTGCCATAATTGAAAAGCCAACTGCTAATCCAGATGACGTGGTTTTTCATCTGGTAGTACCACCTAAAGATCCTGCTGCAGAACAATGGGAGGGCCATAGGACTGGGCCGGATGGTGCAGTTGAGATTTTCAACGCGGATGTGTCAGAAAGTTCCAAGGTATTGGACAAGCACATTCAGAAGGTCCTTCAGAAATACAGAACTGTTTACTATGACTTCCAGGACCACAAATCATCGTCATTATCATCAGTCGTGAACTCGTTTTTCAAGAAGCAAGTTCAAACAGAGAACTCACGCACTATAGAAAGTCTTCTGAAACAGGGCAATAAGTCGGTACGTTCCTTAAGATCTATTGTGAGCAATCTGAGGGCTGTGAAATCTGAAGCCGAACTTAGCATCATGAGGCTGGCTGGTAAGATATCTGGAAGAGCTTACAACGCTGCTTATGCCAGGAGATTCAAGACAGAGAAAGCTCTTTGTGCATTCCTGGAATATCGCTTTATAAGTGGAGGGTGCGACAAATCTGCATATGTTCCCGTTGTGGCTGGGGGCGCGAATTCCCTGTGCATCCATTATACCAGGAATGACGACTTGCTGCGTGACGGGGAGCTGGTTCTCGTTGATGCTGGAGGATCCCTCGGAGGTTATGCGGCCGACATCTCGAGAACATGGCCCGTTTCGGGAAAGTTCACAGACCCTCAAAAGGATTTGTATGAGGCTGTGTTGAGCGTGAACAAGCATTGCATAAAGCTGTGCACGGAAAGTGCCGGCGTCTCCATACAGGATCTGCATTACGAGAGCGTGAGGGTATTGACGAGGGAGTTGAGAAATTGTGGGTTTGCCCAGATCCAGGACTGGGAGACATCCAGACTGTATCCTCATTACATCGGCCACAATCTTGGTCTGGACGTTCATGACGTGCCAAGTTACCCACGTTCAGGGAAGTTCAAGAGCGGCCAGGTAGTTACCGTTGAACCTGGTGTGTACGTTCCGGATAACAGCAAATGGCCCAAGCATTTCAGAAACATTGGAATTAGAATTGAGGACGACGTGGCAGTTGGGAAAAACACCTACACCGTGCTGACTTCAGAAGCAGCAAAGGAGGTGGTTGATATCGAGGCGATAGCGCAGAATGGTGTGACCACGCCATTGGAAGAAGAGGTCGTTGATATTTGGTCATTATGAAGTTGATGCATTGTATATAGAATGAGCCACTTGAACAAGCTGCTGCTCACAGAGCAACCGACCTAATTTCCGAAAGACGACAGCACAAGGCTCTTCAGTCGGGCAGAGGCTTCAAGATCAGCCGATCTTCTGTTGAGTTCCAGAACACCGTCGAAAAGAACTTTCAACTCTTGATTTGGAGGCACAGGTTTATGGTGAAGTACTCCAGCAACGGCATCGTATTCCATGTGAAGTCCAGAAGCCGTCATCAAGTATGTAAGTTCTTTTACCAGTGTGTTTGAATCCACTCCCACGAAGTCAGCCATATGAGATATAGACACTTGCTGGACCAACGAGAGATAACAGATGTACTCCTTATATCTGATGAACTTCTGTATAGTTGGCATCAGCGAATAAAAGAAAGGATCAAGCCTCAACTGCTCTTCAAGCTGGTCTATAATTTCGTTCGAGGATTTGTAGTCAGATGCAGAGAATGCCCGATACAGCTCGGCACACAAAACGTCTTCATCCATGAACGACTCGAAGACATCTGTCTTTGTGATTTTTTCCAGATCATCTAGTGTGCACGAAATAAGCGAAGATATCATGATTGCTTTCAAAAGGCCGTTCTTGGAGATAAGGACTGGATTGTAGTGGTCACTCTCAAAGACATTGCATGCAGTTACACCCTTTATGGAAGAACTGTCAAGAAGACTTTGGTACTCTTTGGCCACCACCGAAAACCGCCCCGCATAAAAATTGACGAACAGGTTCATCCATCGACAATTCCAATATGCAACCACCTCCTCGTGGCTTAGTTCTGTCGTACTCTCGGTATCGCTCACGTTGGAGTCCATGTCTATGTCATCCTCCGAGTCCTTGGCAATCTTGCAGAACAACGCCAGACTCTGCCGCAAATTCTTGAGAGCCGAGTCCGGTCTGTCTAAATACATAAACTCCACAGTGGTCAGCTCACTTTCTCTGGCAACATACTTTCGGGCAAATTCACCAGGAATACTTAACGAGGTTACCATCGACTCCTGGGTATCATCATCGCAGTCTAACATAAGCAACGTTGATCTTCTCTGGAGAAGTGTTTTGAGAGATTCCATTGATCCCTTTTGCCAGGATTGATATGCTGAAATCTCGGTATCGATACTGGCCAGCAGAACCTGTGGATCTGGCCTATTCACGTCGCTGAAATCGGCAATCAAAGAGCTTGCATCTCCCTGGTTAGCTAGGACTTTTAGAAATGCTGCCGACCCCTTGAAATTCATCTCAATAAATTCGCTAGTCATGAGTAATTGTAACCCCTTTCTGGATGCTTCTACTGCAAGAGGAGAGCCGCATGTGGCAATATGGTGAAGACGTTTCAGTAGAAGAGGGCCTTGAGAAGGTTAGTGTTGGAAGTCTTTGTAAACCAAACCTTGAATCAAAAAAACAACAACTTACCTGTATAGCCACGAATGTGCTGATCCAATGACCCGGCCATGACCAATGCTTCGAACAATCCTGCTGCTAGACGATATAAGTCGGTATATACTTCAAGCCGTTGATTGATGATTCCCCACGCTTCAACCCACCACTTGACGGAGTAATGATGCAGAGACCTGGGTCAGTACACGACCAATTCTATCGTCTTCACAGGAACATCAGATTATTCTGGGTTTGGTCTTTACAATTTTTTTTAGCTACCCGCTTGAAATTGACTGTCCAAAACTCCACAAACAATGGTGTCACCATGACTTCAATGCTGGAAAGGCCTCAACCACTATCTCGCACAATAACGCCGCAAGCGATATATCGGCCGCACACGACCCCATCATTATCAAAACTTTTCAGAAGCTTTCCTTATCTGGAAGCGTAGCAGTAGTTCTTCATCCTAACCATGCGTTGTTCTTCTGTGTTGCAGTTTCGGGCATCGTCATGTTACTCAGGGAGAATAAGGAATCGAGTCGAGAGATACACAAAGTTGGGAGAAGTGCGACCGTATAAGTCTAAATGGGAAGATGAGAGGACTATGCATAAAGAGAAGGCCCTTGTGATGAGGAAGAATCTCAGCCAGGTGAAAAATGCATCAGCCGTCAGTCTGACTGAGAAAACATTGGGGCTGAGATTTGATGAGATAGGGCCCCGTACTCCCTTCACTGAGGAACAACTCAATAAGCTTTATTCGCAGCCCAATAAGCGACTGCTCTATAACGTTTTGGGTACCACCGGATGGCAGCTGCAAGACTCAATGGTGGTTAAAGAGGATACACTCAAATTCCTGAGACATGGCCAACCAGAGAGGGCTATGTTACTGGCTCGTATGGCTAAAGAAAATGGTGCAAGTGCCATGGACTCAATAATGCAGTTTTATCTGGAGGCCAACAACGTGAACAAAGCCTTTGAAATTTTCACCGAGAGGAAGAGAATGGGAATACCTCTCACTGATTTCACATTGACCATTCTGTTCAAGGGTTGTTCTGGAGTGAAGGGTTATGATCGTGGCCCAGGACTCACTCAGAAACAGGGAGAGAGGTTGAGGTCGATTTTCACTAACCAGTTCTCAAAAGATGAAGAGTCCGTCAACGTGATCAATGCTAACGCCTGTCTTCTTGCACTTTTCAATTGTCCAGACTCAAGTCTGGCATTTTCATTCTTCGACTCATACAGGGACTACAACGTAAAGCCAGATGTCAAGACATTGACGATTATCTTCACCGCGCTGAAGAATTTCAATGATAAGGCCAGTGCAATCCAGAAGGCAGACTCTCTTTTCTCGTGGGTTATTGGTCATCCACGAATCAAGATCGACCCGATACTGGCAGGAAGCTATATTTGTGTTTACACTCTTTCCAAGTCCCCTCGTGTGATAGCTAGGGGGATGGAGCTGCTCAAGAGATGGTTTAAAATATGTCCAGTGGCAGACGTGAATAAGTCTGTCAAGTACGACGACGTCTTGAAGTTCCAGAACTTGAAGCCTAATAGAAAGGATGAGGTTGCAACGGGTATTTCATTTGCTCCACTCGATAAAGTCAGCCCTATTGATGGTCGCAGATATACACCGAGTGCATCGGTGCTTGAAATGGCCATGCTATCGTATGATAGTTTGAAGCTTTCGCAAGAGACCGTTTCAACCTTTCAGCTATATTCCAGGTATAAAGTCCCGGTGGAGCTCCGGACACTCAATATGTACCTCAGGGCATTGCTCAGATCAGGATATGAAATTGGAGTCCCTGCCGCGGAAAATGTTGTGTTTAAAGCAATCGACGAGCTCAATACCAACCGCATGACACCAAACTCACTGACATTGGCCTCGTTCAGCGGACATTTGCAGAGATACATATTGGATTCCAGAAATGTTGAAACCGAAGGAATCAACAATGAAATGTTTAAACTCGTGAAAAAATATTGTGACTCCATGAACAAGTTCAAAATTGACGGTTTGAGACTTCGATTACTCGATGACGTTCTTGGCCTGGCAAATAAGATTCAGGGCTTGTCCAAAGCGCATCTGGAATTCTTTGTGTCTTATTATTGCACCACAGTTTTCAGATACGGCGTCGAATACACACTCCCATACAAGAGCTGGATACTGCTAGACACAAAGTTGCTTGATATAATTCGAAAGCTGAGTGAACATCAAACGAACACTAGTGACCCACTGTTTCACGCTATCCACAGACTCTACAACTCGACATACGCCAACATGAGATCATTTCCGAGCAAGAGAGGAGGAAAGGTACCAGAATTCAGCCCGCTCGAAAATTCAGAGGGTGATGAGCCGCTGGCAGGAAATGGTCCTCCATCTGGTGAACAGAAAGCTTTTAACGCAAAGCGTGAAGCTATCGAACAGTACCTCCGTCTTAAAGGCGGATTACCGCAGCACGACCAAGACTTGTAAATAAAATTTGATATCCATTAATAGAAACGAAATCTTTACAATCATAAAAACATACTAAAAAACCGACTTTTGCGATTATAGATAGGTTTTGGACACTGTTCTCTAAAGTTTATCGTGCACCAGCAAATATAGAAAATACTAAGTATGATAGTTGGAGAAAATTGTGCTTTCAAGAAGATGCCTTGCTAGCTCAATCGGTAGAGCGTGTGACTCTTAAGAGAACACCTCTGTTACAGAAGATATCACAAGGTTGGGGGTTCGACCCCCCCGTAGGGCTTCTATCTTTATTTTTTTATTTTTTTATTTTATTATCCTTCTTTATTTTTTTGCGTGCTGAATCTTACAAAATGCTTATTCATTGAACTATGTTCATAATCAGCTATTTATCGACTGTTCTTTGGTGAGCTCGCTCCTAAAATTTGGTCCTCACTAAAATGCGGCTTCGGAGTGAAGATTCGCAAATCTTTCAATCCCCGATTGATCTTTCCCACGTTTGTCTGAATCCTCTTCTGACTCCTGTACTCCTCATACTTGTCTTGAACGTTAATGAAATGCTTCATCAACTGGATAGTCCTTTCTATTTTCTCTTTACCCACCTTCTGGGCAGTAGGCATACTGTATAGAGCACCCGTATGAGTGAGCATGCTCAGTCTGTTGCGAAGAGTAGTAAAAGCAGATGATTGCGGCAATATCATCAGAATCCCATACAGACATTTGTAGAGGTCTGGGTTCTTCTCTGGCGTGAGAAGCTGCATCCTCAACTTTGCAAAGATTGGGCTTTCCAAGAGCTGTACCAAAAGATCTAGCTGGACTAGTAGACTGACAGTTATTTCATATTCCACTAAGCTCTCCACGATAGCAAACGCGATATCGTAATTTTGTGAAAGAAGACAGAGAGACAGGGCAGCAGGAGGGTTATGGCACCAACTCTTGAAGAGAACCTCAAAAAGCGACCATTCATCTGCCTCTTTGAGGTGCGAGGTCAAAACCTTGCGCAATTTCAAAAGCTCAGGAGCAGTGATCAGGTTGTTGTTCAGGATCTGGACCATAATGCTAACGAAATCGAGGTCCACCTGACTTTCGAGCACCAAGGCCAGCGAACGGTATATTCTTTCAGCATTCAAAGTGGCACATATAGTGGAAAGGATGAAATCCCCTCTTGTCTCTAACAGTTTCCTATCTGACTTGAACAGAGACAGCAAATCTGTCATAAAGGAATTGAAGTACCTGTCATCGCTATCGTTTGATATTTTGGTGAGAAGCTTCAAATCCTTGTCGATCACAGCATCACTGGGGTCGTTCAGGGCCTTCAGCAGAGTCATAAAAGCATTATCGCTATGTTCAAGCAGTTTCTTGGGACTTTTATCGTGAAGCATTGTGAGCCAGTCAAGAGCAGCCAGTCTTGTGGCCTCTTTATCGTTCATGAAGTGCAGAGTCAGCTGGTTGAACAAAAGACCGTAGTTCAACTCAGCATGCGAAGAATCATTATCACTGAGCATTGTGGATACCAACTTCATCAGATGAGCATTCACAGCATTAGCACTTTCACGCAGCTGGGTGCTATCACTGGCAATTGCCTTCAACAGCAACGACAAAAATTTTGGAACAAACGGGATGAAGCTGGAAGAGGCCAAGTCCAAAATGGTCTCGATCCATTGCAATACAACCAGCTGGATGGTTTCCTCCGTCGAGTCCAGGTTGGATATGAGGATTTCTATGATCTTGGGGAAGTCTATTTCCACGTCCTGGCCCTGTAGATACAACTGACCATCCGATTCATTGACATCTTCAGCGTTCTGGGATAACGATTGAGATGAAGATGCGGCGACAGCATCATTGGTTCCCTTTTCTTCGCTCACATATTTCTTGATATCCATGATTCTTTTAATATCCTGTAAAAACAACCCCAGAAGACTGTTTGTGACAACTTTCACGTCCTCATGGGTATCACTGAGGTAGATTATGAGGCCACCCAAGAAGGTCGGCAGATATGATATCAGCTCCAGTTCTGGGATATCATCCAGCAGTCGCAGCCACGAAACCAAGAACATTCTAGGGTATGGATTAATCACGTAGATCCTCTCTGCCAAGACGGGAATGAACTTTTCGATGGAAAATGCAGTCGGGGTCTGGGGCTCATGAAGGTGAACAGTCTTCCCGCGTTGGTCCACAAAAGTGTTACTGGTATTGATCTCTTGGTGCTTATGGAGGACAGAAACATATGTTGCTGCTTTCTCTGAAACGATATCCTTAATCAGTCTGTCAAGGATATCTGCCCCGTTTTTCACACTCATCTCCGCATCAGCTGCCAGCTTGGAGAGCACGTCGAAGATCTCGTTGAAGTACGGCAGAATTTCGCCTTTAGCCACTTTGGCAATGTTGTAGAAAGCTTCACACGCAAAGTACCGAACACGTGGATCTTGGTCGCCAAAACATGCCAGAACAGGATGGATGATCGAGTCCAGGTAGATCGGTAGTTCGGATTGTCCCAAGGCTATAGCCACTGCAGCAAGTCCAATCAAGCCACCATTCCTCGCATTTGCCTGATGAACAGCATAAGCGTATTCTCTTGATAATTGTCTGATGATTTCGGATATTTTTTCTGAATTTCCCTCGCTTACGTACTGCTTGACCACTCGCTCCAGCGCAACCGCAGCGTTCTTCCTCTTGTCGTAGAGCCTGTCATTTAGTCCTTTTTTGATGGAGTTATCTGGACGTGTTAGAAATCAGTGACATCTTCCAATTAAATATTCTGCTCTCAACTTACCCATCGTTGAAATTTCCCGTGATGGACGCGACGGGTCTGGTGGACAGGAAGGGTGATAGAGAAGAATGTCTTGTCTGTGTTGACAAAACAGAGATGCAGTCAAGGCTTTTGCATGGGGCAGATTGATAAGTACGCGATCTGGTTTCACGTTACAAATACGGGTCGAAATTGTGGAAATTCAAAAAAAGTTGAATAAAAATCTTATCACAATATAATAAGAATCGGTTTTGTGAACAATTTTTTGGGTTTTCATCATAATTCACTAAAAATTGATGGTCTAAGGCTATAGTCATTATAGTCATTAGTTCCCTCTGTTCTAATTCTAATAGACGTAACCAGCCTAAAGAGATAGACCACAGATGCTTGCAGATTTGGCCTGAGTAGTTAGTGCATTGTGAGCTACGGAAGATGCCGCTCCACTCCACCCCACTTCCAGCCTGTTGTGATAAACTAGCACTACTGGATATCGAACAAAGTCTAGTGTTGAAAAAGCATACATCCGGTCCAATATATATAATGTTTTGTGTTCTAATGCCCCTTATCCTATCTTGTCTTCCTATATTCCAGAGTGGCTGGTGAGTCTATTTGCACGTGCCGATGGCCACAATTACAGCACCAGCCACATCGAAGAGAATGACATGAGTGTGGCTTGGACTTGGTGCTTTGAAGCCTCTTCGGAATATCGTAGAATAGTCGAAGTCTCAATCAACTCCAAAAGTCACCGATTCAACAAGCCATTGATTATTCATTGTTAAAGGTCATTTTTGGCAAGGTCTTGCACTGGCTATCCATTTTTGACCAAGCCTCTTATATTATCCCCTTGATTTTAGGTTTGGGAGATTGCCATTCTTCGGGGCTAAAAGACCCACTGTCCCAGGCGACTGGAATCGCGTGGAAACAAGGTGGAAACAAGGCGATAGGGCAATAGAAAGCATTTGGTATTGCCAAAACCGGGATCTTATTAATTAGTCCCCCTTATAAGGAGTCACAGAAAGGCTCTGATTAAAGCCCAGGCTCTACATATCTGGTGCTGATCGTTCTTCGTTTGCATAGCTATTTTGGGCCTCTTCAAAGATGAACATAAGGTGGCACAAATTTCAGATACTTACCTTTCTCTTGTGTCTTACTGGCATAACCTGTGCGTTTTGGGATGCTACCAGGAGCAAAAGATCAAACGACGATCAAGTGGTTCCACAGTATGATGCCTTGGATGACACAGAAACCCCGACACAGCAGAACAAACAGATATTCTTCCAAGATTATGGATCCGAGCTCAGATCAATAGATGACTTCAAGGTCACAAGTTTGTTGTTGGCATCTGACATCGAGGGAAACCTGCATGCTTTGAACCGGAATACCGGGGAACTGGTGTGGACGCTTTTAGGACAATCACCACTGGTGCAGATATCTAAGCAGGAAGTGGCGAGCGAAACCGTTTTGGGCTCGGATGGCGATGAGAATGGTTCATATCCTGTCAACGAAGAGGGGAAGATAACATGGATGATCGAGCCTTACGAGGACGGTTCATTGTACTACTTCACCCAAGAGGGTGGCCTTCAGAAACTCTCATCGAGTGTGCAGAACCTGATCAAAGAGTCCCCATTTGCCATGAATGGTGGTGAACACGTTTATACCGGATCCAGGAAGACCTCGCTCTACAAAATTGATGCCAGAACTGGCAGGTTAATCGACTCCTTTGGACCCGGCTGCGCAAACGAACAGAACGCCCATAATCATGATCTCACGGGTATAGAGGATCTGGATGAAGCAGTTTACAGCTGCCCGATTGACGAGCAAGTGGAGGCCGGAACTTCTACCATCCTTCTGGGCAAAACAACTTATGACCTTACGATATACTCAAAAAACAACACCTCATGGAACATTACGTACTCTGCATGGGGCCCCAACAACCTGGATAGCGACCTGGTGAGACAGAACTATGAATCCCTGGATGGAGTCTACATTGCACCCTTTCATGACAGTTCGCTTCTCGCGATTGACTCCACCTCCAAAGTTGCCAAATGGGTTTCCAATCTTCCCGCCATTGCAGTCAATGTTTTCGACATCTTTTGGGATCCATCAGATGCTGATACTGATTTCGGAAGCTTGGATAGTCATTTCTTGGTTCTCCCTCATCCTCTACACCCTAACATGGGAAACGCTGAGGAAGAAGTAGCTCGCTTGACGGAAGGAACGTTTGTGGATAGAACCAAAAACGGATCGTGGTTTGCCATGTCGGAGTATAGGTACCCTTCATTGGTAAAATCAGCCCCGATTGCGAAATACGCTTCCAGCGAAAGATGGCGGTCATCATCTATTTTCAAGAGCGAGGACATGATGAGCATAGCCATCGCGGGTGTTCATCCACGTTGTGGACCATACTCGGAATCCGAGAACAGCGATGTCAAGCAGTTACCCACTGGCTTACCAAAATCACTTCAAAGTTATGAAAGAGGACTGTATGTCCCTGCAACACGAGAAAAGAATGACCACCATCTTGCCACTAGATTTTCGCAAACGTTGCCCACTCCAGACGTTTTATCCATTGATCCTCCTCAGAACGACAGCTCCCTTGAATCGGGTATTTTGAGTGGCTCAGTCACAAAGGTTCTGCTGCGCTTGTTTGAGAATATAGTGGCATCCCTAGTATTGCTGGGAACACTAGTGCTTCTCTCCAAACTGGGAGTCTTACCACCATTAACGCAGATTCTCAGTCGTTTTGGTCTTTTCAAAAGAACCCAAAGTGCAGTTGAACTCGTTGATATGCTTTTGAAGGATGATGTGGTGGAGTTAGAGAAGAGTTTCAATCTGATAAAACGTGAAAGGTTTGGAGAGAGCCCAGGAACTAATGGCGATGATGATGAAGATATTGATATCTCTACCATCATCGAGGAGAAGAAGTTGTTGCAGAAACAATCTGATGATCACGAAACTACGCCGCACGAGAAGAAGAAGAACGTCACAATTGTTGAACCAGACAGTGGCGGGGATAAGGAAGAGGGAGATGATTCCGCATTGGTGAATGCTCCCAAAAAGAGAAAAAGAGGAGCCAGAGGAGGTAAAAGAAACAAAAAGACTCAAGCGGTTACTGATGAGCAAAGCGTTTCCCCAAGTGAAGGTCTTAATACTGACAATGCAATCTCCGTGATACCCTCCTCGATCCCTAATAAGTCCAACCTGGTGATCTCTGATGTTGTACTAGGATACGGTTCGCACGGAACTGTTGTTTTCAAAGGATCTTTTGAGAATAGACCAGTGGCTGTGAAGAGAATGCTCATTGATTTTTATGATGTTGCATCTCACGAGATCAATCTTTTGCAAGAAAGTGACGACCACCCTAATGTGGTGAGATACTTCTGCTCCCAGGAGAGCGACAGGTTCTTGTACATTGCACTGGAACTCTGTGGAGCGACCCTTGAGGATCTGATCGAGAAGCCCCAGCTGTTCGAAGGCATTAAGGGCAAGCTTGATCCGGTCCAAATACTATACCAGATTGCAAATGGGTTATATCACTTGCACTCATTGAAGATCGTCCACAGAGATATCAAGCCTCAGAACATACTAGTGGTCCCTCCCAAGAAGAAGCATGCAAAGAAGATCACTGCTGTTGAGAACGAATCGATAGTTGACGAATACAGTCCAATTAGATTGCTGATATCGGATTTTGGTCTCTGCAAAAAGCTGGAGGCTGATCAGTCGTCGTTCAGAGCTACAACCGCACAAGCCGCTGGCACTGCCGGCTGGAGGGCTCCTGAGTTATTGGTGGATGATAATGATTCCATTTACAACCCAAGCCTTGCATCGAGCTCTGCTGGAATGGCAATCTCGTCTCAGAGCTCAGAGCCCTTGGTGTTTGATTCGTTCTCCAACAGACGATTCACCAGGTCTATTGATGTGTTCTCTGCTGGATGCATCTTCTACTACGTCTTGACTGGTGGTGCTCATCCATTTGGAGACAGATATCTGCGCGAGGGTAATATTATCAAGGGAGAATACTGCTTGGATCTTTTGGATGGCAACATCGATGCTGTCGAGTCCAAGAATCTGATCTCAAGGATGATTTCTCGGGACTGTACTAAACGCCCGGACACAGGGACCATCTTGAAACATCCTTTCTTCTGGCCAGTTGCCAAGAAGCTCGACTTTCTGCTAAAGGTATCAGATAGGTTCGAGATTGAGCGCAGAGATCCACCAAGTGATCTGCTGCTAAGTCTTGAGGCTGTAGCATTAGATGTGGTTGGGAAAGAAGGATGGCACTCCAAGTTTGACCAGATATTCCTGGAAAATCTTGGGAAATACAGAAAATACAACACGGACAAACTGATGGATCTACTGAGGGCTTTACGCAACAAGTATCATCATTTCAATGACTTACCAGAGGCCTTGGAGAAAGAAATGGGGCCTCTACCAGGGGGATTCTACAACTATTTTGCCACGAGGTTCCCCAACATGCTCATGGCTATATATGGGGTTCTTCAGGAGAACCTCACGCACGAAGACGTGTTCAGACAGTTTTTCTAACATAAATAGGCAACTCTTAAGAACCGATATCGTCTCGAATACGGCAGTAAATCAGTGTGCATACTCAGTACTCATCACACGGGGGTTACCCGCCCTGGAAGACCATTTTTTTATAGCATTTTCTATCTTGAGCCACCTTCTTCCGATAACACACCTCTGATCTCATAGATTTGGTTTTGGAACCAATAAAATAAGGTGTAGGAAAGATGCCTAGAGAGAATAGGGACATTCTTACCGGTGGTAGGAAGTACGCACAAAAACAGGCCAAGAAACATAGAGTCGAGGAAGTGGTGTTTGACAAGGATGCCAGAGTGTAAGTGAACAAAGGGTTCTTATCAATAACCAGCATTGTCTAACATTTTCAGGGAGTATCTTACGGGATTTCACAAGAGAAAGCTTGCGAGACAGAAACATGCCAAGGAATTCATCGAAGAACAGGAAAGGAAGAATAGGCTGGAGGAGAGAGCTAGAATAAGGCAGGAGAGGAAGGACAAAGTGCAGCAGAGACTTCAGGAATTACAACAGCTGAAAGATGGAGGTCAGTTTGTGGTATCTGAGTCTGAATCCGAAGGAGAAAACGATGATGCTCCGGATTCGTCTGTCACAGATGAGGAGGTGAAAGACAACGAAGATGAAGAGAGCGAGTGGACTGGGTTCTCCGAGGATTTTAAGAAGAAAAAAAGTAGGGGAATATTGAAGCGCAAACAGGTGTATGTCGCCACAGATGCAAATGCCCCGGTTGTGGGGGAAACAGTCGTAACTGTGGAGGCGATAGACAACGGAAACCCAATAGAGGAGCTTGCAGCCATAGCGAAGGCCAACCAGGTTGACCTGACGAAGTCTGAGTCCGTGTTAAATGACTCCCTGAAGCGTGCTAGGCAGTATGCGAGATTAGTGGTTGGTCACAACGATTCTGAAGAGGAGAGTGATACGGATTCGAACAAGAGGCCTAAGAAGCCAAAGAAGAAGAAGTTTAGGTATCTAAGCAAGAGCGAGAGAAAGACCAACCGGTTCAAGGAAAAGAGCAAGAAGAGAGCTCAAAGGGATAGGGACTAAAACGTGGATCGAAACACCTGACGGGGGGTTTCTATGAAAATTTCAATATAACCCTCATCTTCATCTTCTTAGTTCCGAAACTAATTTCTTCTCTTCATGTTTTTCCAATTGGTCACTTTAATGATTCTAACTCATGATGAACATATTTTCAGCGTAGCAGACTTTATGTAGAATATACAGGTGAACGTGAAATTATGACTGGGTCAGATCCACGAGAAAGATTATAATCATTCATCTCTCACAAACAAACTGTGATCCATGACATAATTTCCACTTCTTACTGCACCGTTGAAAGTATCACTCCTGAATATATACTTTCCAACTTGGGGAGGCATTGGCCCTTTGAATTGCCCGTCCACTTGCACGGCCTGCAATAGTCTTTCCAGAGTTTTTGCTCTGTTGAGCACCTCGCTTTTCTCTCTGTCTTGGAGCCTCTCTTGAGTGGTCGGGAAATCAGACCTGCTGAAGCCCGGAGGAGAGTCAGGCCTTCCCCAGATCTCAGTGTTGTCACGATGGATGACGTTATCGAACTGGTCCTGGATTTGAGGTGCCAGGACGTTAGTATCATTACTTTTCCAAACGGCCTTGATCCGGTGGTGGGTCTCAGTCTTTCCAACGATCTCTGCAATTGCAAGACACTTACTACATCTGCACTTGGGAGCCTGAATGTCTTTGCCCATTCGACTGGCCTTGAAGGCATACGGCAGATTATAGTTTGTCTTGGGGTTCGGCTTGAAGTCCTCCAGAACCCAAAATCTGTTGGCCGCAGGGTTGATTGAGAGGTCAATTGTGTTTTCATCGTGTTCCACTTTGGGCTTTGTGGCAGTTTTGGGAGTCCACAATTGACCTTGGCTGGCCTCTTTGGACGGTGTTTGTTGCGTGGGACGTGACTCTTTTGGCTTAGGAGAATCCTCACCGTATACCAAATCAACGTCTTCCAATTCGCTATCTGATATTTCTAAATCGTCAAGGACCTTTTTTGGCTGTGTCAACGCCTTAGTCACCAGTTCAGGCGATTTTTCACGCATGCTCATGTCTTCAGCTGATAGATACGTTGCACTTGTGAATGGATGGCTGGCGCTCTCATTTTCGTTCTGGTTTTCGTCGTTATCGTTATAATCATCATGGTCGTAATCTTCTTCATCGCCTCCTATTATGGGCGAAGAAATCTGCGTTTGAGGGATCCATATCACGTCACCGTTGTCTGGTATAGATGCCCCAATTGATGCACCCATCGCACAGCTTTCTAGCTCATACTCAATTTTTCGCATCTTTGAAGGTGGAAACATGGACTCTGCTATGCTCAAAGACTGGGGCTGTTCCGTGCTGAGAACAGTACTTGTTGCCGATTTGTTGGGTGATTGGGAAGTGGCCACTTCTATCTCTCTCTTGACAAAATGGCCTTCTGCAGTATGTTTTTGTGATACCTGAGCCTGCAGCTCGGAATTCTTCCGAGTCAAGTGCCGGACTTCGGCAGCCAGTGCTTTGTTTTCTAAAAGAAGTTAGCGATGTTTGGTGACGCGTCCACACTCAAGAGCACTCACCTGCGTATAAAGTGCGGCATATCTCAAGGAACCCGTCGCTAACTTTTCGGATCTTATCCTCAAAATCCTGGTCTGGTGATTTGCTGGAAGCCATGGCATGTACCTGACTTTGGATATACTAACTGATAGAAGGCTTGAAGAGATCAGGTACACGCGTTCTGACGCATAGATTTTGGTGCGTCGTACTGTGTTTCACACGACAAACTCGGGCTAAGAGTCCGCTTCAATAACACCAATAACACCAATAATACCAATAACAACAATATGCACAATCTCAGACAATTCCTGAGTGATGTATGCTCGCATGCTTAGGAAAGAACTCTTGCCTTTTCACAAAACAACCGATGTGAGCGAATATGAGGTGATGATATGGTAACATATGGGCAAGAATCCCCATGCGAACGGTATCCAAGTCGTCATTGCGAACTCACCTGCTTTGTAGATTTCGCCAATACTGCTAAGGTTAGTTGCCACATAGAAGCTGGGTACTCCTTTGAAATATCACTTACATAACTCCCGTCACCGTTCCCGTGACGAAGCCCTCGATGACCCCTATGACCAAGTAAACAACAGGTATCCATATAGAGATTATATGTTTTCTATGATTGAAAGCAGCCCATAGGGATGAGCCACCGAAGAATATAAGAAAGAAGATGATCGTCCAAATGACCGTGAACCACCAGATGTCCTTAGTATAGTATAGATAGTCCGTACCTAGCGATGGAAACTTGGGTGTGATATAATCCACCGGCACAACTTTCGAACTCATTCTGTATCCCGTCTATAGATCCCGTCAATTTGCTTGACGTTTGCGGAGTTGATTCGGACAATGTACAATGCAATAGATGGATACTTGTATGGGTTGTGGTGTTGAGCTATGCAGACTGCCAATTGTATTACGGGTCATCTTAGCGCCGCACCATTGACCTTGGGAACACAACGGTTCTCCCGAACAAAAAATTATGAGGTACATTACCATTGTGTATGGAAAATAAAGTGCTCTTTATATGCTACAAATTATCCTGAAGTGCTTCTCAGAAGGTTGAGAATAGTACCCAGAACAAATATCCTGCCATCGATCGCACTCAGATTGATTTCAGAGAGGTCAAATGATAGTGGCTCACCTTCTTCGCTGTTTAGCAGACGAGCCAGGAGCAAAGCCGTGGTCTGTAAAACCATGATTCCGCAATCGCTTCCGTTAATCTGCTGCGGAGTTGGCATGTTGGCTCTGACTTTATATTTCTGTCCCATGTATGCTTCAAACCGGTTTATCAGTGTCAATGATTCCGATTCGTTAGCCAAAGTCATACTATCAAAAACGAAGCAAGTGTTATCTGGAATTGAAGCCACTACCAACGACCAGTGCGATCCTCCCTCTGCCAATTCAACATCGTCGTTATCGTTGACAGGAAGAAAAACGAACGACGCACGCTCCATAGGCGGAAGCACACCCTTCAACATGGTAGGGTCGCGTGTGTGCATTAGAAGGTAACTCATGGATGGCTTCAAAAGGATTATCGATTCGGACGATTTTTCCAGCGGAATACTCTTATTGAATAGAGAAGACAAAATTGGAACAAGCTGAAATCGCGTGAGAAATTCGTAGATGAATGAGAGGTTATTATCGTTCAGCCACTGGTCATCCGTAAGGTTGAACAGATCCTCTTTGTACACCGAAACATCATAGTACTTGAAAGAGCTTTCCAGCCTTGAAGATGCTTCCCGATAAAGTTCATTCAACAACTTCACCTTGTCACCATCACTAGTTGCATATAAGCCTGAGCTTTTGAGTGATTTCTTCTGCTTCTTCTCTTCCTTTCTTGCCTTTCTCTCCAGCTTCCTGCTCATGACCCTGTCCTGCTTCCGATGTTTCCCAGTGCCTCTGGTTTTGTTGTTTTTTCCATTTTTTCCAATTCTTTCCTTCTTTTCGTTATCACCTCGGCTTGCCTCGAACTCAATGTCCTGGTCGGGTTCTAGTATGTCAGGAGACGCGTATGAAAAATTACCATCGAATTCGTCATAGGGGATTTGATCCTCGGAGTAGAAGCGACTCCCCTCTGTGTTTTCCTTGGGGTTTCCATCTGGTGTCCTATCATCATCACTAATATCGGAATCCGAACTAGATGGCCCCTTTTTTGTCGGCTTCGAGTCTCCATACACTATGCTATGGCCCTTCCCCACAACGTCCCATTTCAGCTGATCGAATCCAGAAAGAGGAGGTCCCAGTTGCCGCCTCGAGGATCTCGTGCGACTTCTTGTCTGGGTCATATTCCAGTTGTCATCATCTTGGGAACTTGCATCTTTCGGAGCATGATAACCTTTGTATGCCGAGAACACCGTCCTCAGCATCTGGATGTAGATGTGTCTTGGTGAGATGGAAATTCCCTAGGTTTAGTTCCAGAAGGGGGTATTATCAGAGCCCTGTTAGATAATTGAATCTGAACTATGCAACTAGTTTTATCTCAGTGAGAACTGTGGTATTTCTAAAGCGATCGATGAAAAAGGAGAAGTGGACTGAAAAAGTGAGCTGAAAAATATCTTTGTGCGTAAGGGTGGTTATCTCACACTTTACATGACATTCTAAATCGTCAAGATAGATTGCCTTATGCGACTTGTGAGGTTATCCTGAAATATTGCAAAAATTCTGATATAGAGGAAAATTAGCCGATTTATAAAATTCAGACGATATCAAATAATGAATGCATTTAGTAGCAATTGAAGATTTCTATTTTATCCTCAATTATGCTTGAATATATTCAGCTGTACCGAGCGATCAACTGCAAGTATATTGGAACTGAGGCTCATCCTGTAATCTACTCAACATCCTTTATAATAACACCATTCCCATTCAAAATTTATAAAATTAGACAATTGCAACACCATTAATTTCCTTATGGTTTGCCTGTTCGCCAGACCAGTATATTGGTAGCATATTGGCAGCATATTGATAGCCAATAACCCGTAGCCATATTCTTTGATCACACATCGTCAAAACAGTACATCTTGACACGACCATTCTCAAGACCACTCACAAACCTGGAGTCCCCTAAAGCGACACATGATATCGGGGCACTGTTTCCTCCAAATGTGTGCATGCACTTTCCACTCTGCAAGTCCCAGACTTTGATAAGTCTGTCGTGGGCTCCAGACACTATTCTGAAGGTATCAGCAGCAATAGACCAAACACCTTCGATGTGACCAAACTGAGTTCTTATACACTTTCCTGTTTTCACATCCCATACCTTGATCGTGTTGTCAAGAGAAGAAGTCAAAAGATGAGTTGGGTAGTTAGGATCATCTAGAATTTTGTTGTTGAGATCCTCCTCAGAATTCTCATCGTTGGTGCCTGTTTCGGCGTCTTCGCTGATACTAGCCGTATCCTCCTCAAAACCTTCTTTTTCGTCTTCCACAAGAGCATCCTTGATAGTCAAAGGAATCACGCATTGGACTTGGCCGATGTGACCGTTGTCCTTAAACCCACCAAAGATACGTATGCATTGGTTGGTGCTCATATCCCACATTCTCACCGTGGAATCGTCTGATGCGCTAAATATGGTGTTGCTCTTTGGGTGAATCTTGACACAGGTAACCCATTCGGTGTGACCACGCAGAGAGTAACAGGTTCTGGTCTCCACATGCCACACTTTCACAGTATGGTCTGCACTTCCAGAGACAATGGTTTTATTGTGGAAGTCGACAGAGAGAACACTTTCGGCATGGCCTCTGTATGTCGAAATACACTGACCAGTGTGGTGATTCCAAACCTTGATCGTTGAATCTAGACCACCAGTGATCAGCTTCTGATCGTCAAAAACGAGGGCTTTAATTCCACCATTGTGGCCCTCCAGAGTCCTAAGCAGTTCACCAGTATTCACATTCCAGATCTTCACGGTCTTATCGTAAGATCCAGTCATCAAAAATTGGTCATCGAATTGAATGCACGTCACACCGTCTTCATGGCCTTGAAATTCCTTGGCCTTGTAGATTCCCTTCCTCCAATTCCTCTCCACCTTGTAACGCTCACTGTAGACAATCTTCCATGGCCTCGTCTTACGAACCGCCTGTTGCTGGCTGTTAGAAGAAGAGGACGCCACCATGTCGATATCTGTTGCAGGTTCTGCTTTGCCAGAATTGTTCTTTCTCTTCTTGGTCACTGTAGTTTCTTGTTCAGCTTCAGAGCCCGATGCTGGTGGCGTCACCACAGTAGCAGCAGCACTGGGAGCAGTGGGCATCTCTCTGGCTCTCTTCAAGAGCATTAAGGGCAATCCCCATCCACACTGAGGACACTTCTTGTCGATGTGCTGCTCGCACATATGATGCCAAACACGGTCATCGTCAGCTAGTTTCTTCCATTTGGTTGATACCTGAGCCGCATTGCACAACGAAGCACAGTCGAGATAACAAAGGATCTTCAGCGAGAGTTCACTTGGTAACGCGGTGATAAAGTCAATCTTAATCAGAGAGGACACCTCCTCAGAAAGCATCGATAACTGGGGAAAGCAACACTGGGTCAATAATCCTTGAAGCATCAGAGTTCTATGATGGCTTGGCGCAGCAGAAAAAAGCGACCACACGTTGCTAATTGCCTCCTGTTCTCTGATTGGAAGCTTCTCGAGAGAATTCTGAATCTGCCTCATCTTGTCTTCGTCGACTCTCGTGGTTCTCTTCACCTCCGGGTTGTGTCTGTAGCAAAATTTCTGGTAGTTATTCTTACTCAACGAGGGAGTGACGTTTTTCGAGCTTGTTGGGGCGAATATGGAGGAACCTTCCTCAAGTGCCTGTTGCGTCTGATCACCATGTTTTTGAAACTTGGAAACAGCCACTAGCGTAGGAGTGGACTCAGCAAAGCTCGCTTTGCTCTGGGCGATAGCACTCGGTAGAAGCTTGTGGAGATCATTCGAGGTATCGCAAACGTCTTGAAGAACGTTTGGCGTTGTCTGCGGCCGAAAAGACATATCGGGAGACTGTGATGTATGCTGGTAATAGTGGCGTTCGTGAATACGTTGAGTATTTCGTGTATGCGGAGCTGTTGAATGACGCGCAAGAGGCAAATGTGCCTAGATATAGATACAATTCGAGCTGTGCGGGTATTTCTCTTGTCAAAGAATAAAGGCGTTGTGGAACCAGTAGTAAGGATCGTTCACGCTGATTAAAAACAGGTATCAATGCACCAGCAAACCTTTTGATGACTGGTAAAAATTATCAACAGAAAACCCACAGAGGATGAAACAAAGAAAAGAGGGATAAGTCAAAAGACAGCAGAAACAGAATGAAGCCACGAACCGGGGTTGTGTGGTTTTGTGGGTTAAATAAAACGCTTTGTCCCCATTAACTATGGGAGGTTTTTTCTGCTTGGGTGACGGCACGTGACTATTGCGATGTGGCACCTAACGATTCCGACTTTTAGCCCTTTTGGACTTTGAGATAGCTACAAGATAATGAACGCATGTTCAGTTAATGCGAAACCCGCCGAGGATTGTGATCAAGATATTTGCGTTGTTGTGTTTCTTTGATTCTCTGCGGAGGCAACTTGATGGTGTCGACTGATCGAAGGCTACGCAGAGACTACCGTGCGGCTATATAGGGTGCACAAAGAGCCTTGAGCGGCACTTTAAATGCTAACCAACAAGTGAAACTGATTTTGAAAAAGTAATTTCGCATGTTGGCTTTGGAGAGCAACTTTAGTCGGTTTGCGCGACATAAACAGAACCTCCTCTTTCTCACGTTAGCCATATTTCAGGCCACCACCACACTCTTATCATAATCTTACGCTGCGCATCCAACCAACGGTCAGAGCCACAGTTGACAGGATGACCAAAGGCTTATCTGACCACCACAAGAAGATAAACATCAAACATGCTTTATTGACCAGACATGCAACCATATGCCTACGTTCGTATTACAATTCAAACCCCGTCAGATCTCCACATCTCCTGTCACTTAGGCCGCCTGACATGAAAAAAAAAACTTTAAAAACCCCGTAGGACGGGCGGGAGGACGTGCCGGAGCCAATGCGGCGTTTAGCTGATATAATTGTTAATGTGTGATGAGAACTGAGTTAGGTTTTGTGTAGTGCTGTTCTGAGGCAGTAAGTTTGTATTAAAAGTGATTATGCTAATTCTAATGGTATATCAAAGCTAGCCCCTTTGGACATAGTTGTATTCTCAGCTCGTATTGCAACCTCAAAGCTCTGAGTTCAATAGGCCCGTGATTACATAAACACATTTAAGCCACACACGACTATCATCAGATGAAAAAAACTTCAAATGAGCACGAACAACTCAGGACAACGTTCGATAGCCCTGCATCTAACTAATCAACCAAATCACAGCCAAGATGATGAGGCCTATTATGCTCAAGGGGCATGAACGTTCCCTGACCCAGGTGAAGTTCAACAGAGAGGGCGATTTGCTTCTTTCCGTGGCCAAGGACAGAGTTGCGTCCGTGTGGTACTCGTCCAACGGTGAAAGACTGGGAACTTTCATTGGTCACATTGGTACTATTTGGTCCATCGATATCGACCCAGAATCCGAGCTTGTTGTTACCGGAAGTGCTGATTTCTCTGCCAAACTCTGGAACGCAAGGACTGGGGAATGTGTTCATACCTGGAGTCTGCCATCTCCAGTGAGACGTGTTGAGTTCAACGCAACCGGAGAGAAGTTTCTGATGGTGACGGATCAGGTGATGAAACAGCTGGGTTCTATAGAGGTCTACCCAGTGAACAGATCTGGACCCCAGGCTGAAGAACCAATGCTTACCATCACGACCAGAGAGGGCTTCGCCAAGGCCACTGTTGCTGGTTGGAGTTACGGCGGATTGTACATCATTGCTGGACATGCCGATGGTACAATCTCCAAGTACGATGCCAAGACAGGCGAGTTTTTGGCAAGCACGAAACCACATACCGAGACCGTGAGCGATCTTCAATTTTCGCCAGATGGCACCTACTTTATCACCTCGTCGAGGGACAAGACAGCACATATACTAGACGTGGACGGTCTCCAGATGCTCAAGACCTACGAGACGGATGCACCTATGAATTCTGCCGCGATAACACCAGTCAAGGACTTTGTTATTTTGGGAGGTGGTCAGGACGCCAAAGATGTCACCACCACCTCTTCGAAGCAGGGTAAGTTCGAGGCCCGTTTTTTCCACAAAGTGTTCCAAGACGAGATCGGTCGTGTCAACGGTCATTTCGGTCCTTTGAATTACATCGCAGTCCACCCTCAAGGGACCTCATATGCTTCTGGCGGAGAAGATGGTTATGTCAGATTGCACCACTTTGAGAAGAGCTACTTTGACTTTTTGTACGATGTCGAGAGAACTGCCCAGGCGACTGCGTCTACTCAAACTGAGGTGAACTAGATGGAGGGGAGAAAGAGTTTTACTAAAGCAAAGGGGGATATTTTCCAATAGTCTATGTTTCTGTGACAATCTATATATTGTAGAAGTGAGCTGTAGCCTTCAAGTTCATACTCTGCACTTCACGTTATCAACAATAAAGACAAATGCCTCAAATGTGAAAATTTCAAAGTCTTCTCTGCACCTTTGAAGTACCATCTTAAGCTTCTATTCACTTCTTCAAGGCAGCGGCAGCAGCCTCAGCCTTTCTTGCATCGGCTGTGAAATATTAGTATAAGCTTACACCCAAAAAATGACCTTTTACCCTTCACTTACCTGCAGCCTGTTTTTGTCTCAGAATAAGAGCATCGGCCTCTTGTCTCTTTTTGGGATCAGGCTTCTTCTCCTTCTGGGCCTGGAGCTTCTTCTGGTTTTTAGCTCTGGCCTGTTCTCTCTGGTTGCCTCTAGTCATCAGATGAGCAGTCCTATAAGTCTAAATCGCAGCGTATGGCAGTCACCACCGTTGGGTCGGAAGGTGTGGTATAGATGCTCGTTTTCTTCTAGATGTTTTCAGCGTAAGGTATAGGTAGTGTCTGAACCGAATATACCAAAACGTTACATTGTTAATCGTTCGAGGTTCAAGACCTCAAATACGAGTCTTGGTGAATTATTTGACGATATAAGAGGCGTGGCAGAAGCTGGATGGGCAATCAACAAGACTGAGAGACTTCAAACCCGTCGCGTAATCCGTGAGGTTGTATCAATGAGTCAGCTGCCTCATCCGTAACCTCTCTCACCAGTCACCAAAATGGGTAACCGCGACCGCAGATACCAGACGTTTCCTCGGCAATCACACCAAATTACATATTTGGCTCGATTACTAAAACGTATACCAGTCTCGTCAGTTTGGAAAACTGACACCAAACAGCTAAATTGCCGATATTGGAATGTGATAAGAGATAAGACGGTTTTGGGCAGATGCACGAGCATAGCGCGAAGACCCATCTCTTTCCCGATTAGTAAACTTGAAGCGCGATACATCAAAATGCCATATAAACGCTGCCTGGTCGCTTTCCAGTGGAGTCTTGTAAACTTGATTTTGGATAAAAATATTTAAATATATACAATCACCATGACTGTAGCCAATGGGAGACAAATTTCCAGCAAGACCAGAGGACAATATGTTGTTTATGAGGAGGAAGGGGTCAAGTATGCCAAGGTCCTCAAGAACGACTATGATATGCCAGTGAAGGTCACTAAGGAAGACCTCACCGTCAGCGAACCCGCCACTGCCGAGAAAATCATCGAGAAGATCGAAATCTATGGTGGGTGCATCGTCAAGAATTACCTTCCAGAAGAAGTGGTTGATGCTATTTATGCTGACGCTAAACCATATTTGGACCAGGACTTCTCCTGGGATGGATCGTTCTTTCCAGCAGAAACCAGAAGAGTTTCAGGCATGTGTGTCAAATCAAAGACATGCGCCGAAAAGTTCTTGTCTCACGAGCTGAACATTGCTGTTTCCGAGGCGTTTTTGGGTAGGGAGAACGCATCTTGGGTTGGTGACCAGATCGTTGAAGGCTACTCTCCTCCGCAACACAACTCCACCATTACTTTCAGAATTGGACCGGGTGCAAAAGACCAGGTGTTGCATCGTGATGACATCATCCACCATAATATCCACAGACACAATGACACCTACCGGTATGGTGATGACTCTGCCCTGGGTACGGCGTTGGGGTTGACCAGGACCACCAAGGCAAATGGAGCCACCAGATTCATACCAGGCTCCCACCTTTGGGATCACTGGAGACAGCCCAAAGACGAGGAGGTTGTCTATGCAGAATTAGAGAAAGGAGACTGTTTTTTCATGCTTGCGTCGTGTTACCATGGTGGGTCTGCCAACACCACTGAGGACGAGTTCAGAGCAGTTACCATATTGTTCATGACCCTTGGGACTTTGAGACAGGAGGAAAACATCATGCTTGGAACTCCGGTGGAGTACTTCAAGGCTTTGCCAGTTAAAACTCTCAAGCTGTTGGGTCTCACCACCTCAGATCCATTCCTTGGATACATCGACTTCAAGGATCCATTGGCTCTGCTCAAGCCAGAAGAACATGCAAAGGAAAACAAGGACTTCTATACTGGTACCTATAAGGGGGTTACTGCTGAAAGTTTGGCCGCTTAAGTCTGGATGGCGAGCTATTCTGAGAAAGCATCAGCCGGTCCTGTTTGTTAGCAGAAGCGCAGAAAGACCCGTTTTTTGGTTCTTGGTGAGGAGTTCATTTGTATCTGTAGGATGAAATCTTCGAAACCTCCAATGTTCTCTATTTCCAGCAGCATTCAATCCTCAAGAGCTCGAAATTTTGGTCTTGAAGCCCTTATTTTTTTTCACAACCTCACAATATCACTGTGACTTTTAAATTTCTCTTGAATCTCCAAATCACGATTGTAAAACTCCACCCTAACCTTCATCAACTCATCTGGTATTAGGTCCTGTCTGGAAAGCAGCATCGGACATTCTGGACATTTCGTATTCGATTGTCTTCCAAATAAGCTAAGAATGTTGTTCTTGTCATAACAGTGGCCACATTTCTTCGAGGTGACTGGATTGTTCATGATTTGCTTAGAGATGGGACAACGCAAATCCACAAGACCACCTTCCACTGCAACATCGTCATCATCTTCTCCGGCAAGCAATTTTTGCGGGCTGATCATTACCTCGGTAAACTCAGCAAACTCTTTTTGCTTTCTAGAGTTCTCGAGCCTTTTGTGCTTGGCCTCCGTGAGCTGATTATCAAAAATAACAACAGCTGGTTCAGGTTCGTGATCCATCCTAGTATAATCAGCCATGTTTGTCACACTCAAGGGTTCCTCCTTTCTGTTTCGAGATTGCAATTCCGTTTTCAGTTCAGAAACCGCCTCCACAAAAGAAGAACGATCGGTAGACACCGTAGACATTTGGCCAATCAGTCTCTCTGCTTTCTTCATCACAGGCTCCTTTCGCAGCTCCTCTTTGGCTTCAGCAAGGCTCAATGAGCCTTTTTCAGCAGATATCAACAATGAATTCTCGACAAAAAGGGCGAGGCTTTCCCTCACCTCTCTTTCAAGAAATGGGACCTTTGTGTCAGACTTCTCCAATTCAGCCAGTGCCCTGCTGATGGTCGTCATGTTCTGCGACAAAAGAGGAAAATAAGTCGGCACTTCCAACACCTCTGATTCCATATTGTTTATTTGTAGTGCGTAGAATTCGGTCCTCTCTGTATATCTCTTTCGCGTTTGGGATCATAAATAACACGGGTGCAATAAACTTGGAGACGCGGCTTGATATCGAAGGCGTTACCCGGCCAATACCCTAGTTCAAATGTCATCGTGGTCAAGCTTCCTCATATTACACGCAGTAGTCCCTCATTAACAACCATTTAACTTCACCAAACGATCCTTTTCTGGGCTCAGGGATTGAGCAATCGGAAAGGAGATGTCAGGTCAGCAATCCAAAACTGCTGCTGCACAGGCAGCCGCCGCGGCGTACGCCAAAGTTACCATGTTACAGAAGATAGTCACCTTACAACATATACATTCGTTGTTCTTAGCTTCAAACTCGGGAGCCGTGGGAACCAAACCAGATTATGTTTCATTCAACATCTTGCACTTGCAAGCACTTATAAACAACAACCCTCTGATAAATCCTGAGTTTGACTTGTTGAATATCAGTACCAGTCATAGTATTACCAAATCGAAGAAGCCTGCTGGAGCCAAACCAACTCTCAGCCCAGTTCAGATCGTTCAGGTAATTGCGGATTGTCTTTCGCTGGATCCCATCATGCCCGAGGATCCTGTGATCTCTCAAGTGCCTAAAACGACAATTTTCAAACTCTCAACCAGGATACAGATTGCGATGGTGAAGGACAGACTGATCAAGATTTTGAATAGTTATAAGAACTCAGCGTTGCATGAGATATCGTCTCTGGAAAAAGTTTTCAAGAAGCGCAAAGACGAGATGGAAATGATTGAACAGGGAAAGGTAAATGATGACCTTTTGATCAAGGAGTTCAATAAGACGCAGCCGAATACTACCGATAAATTCGAGAACAAGGAAAAGGCTGAGGCGAAGATCGATTCGGAACCCATTGAAGAGATTACTGTGAAGGACGAGGTTGCGAAGACGAGCGAGAAGAAGAATATTCAGGAGGAGGAGGAGAAGGAGGAAACAACCCAAGATACTGCAGACCGGGCTGGTGAGGAAGACAAATCAGCATCAGCTGTCGAAGAAGCTCCCTCGGCGTCTCCGATGGATGTTGATGAGAAGGAGTCCGAACCGGAAGAAGATCACGAGGATGAGTCAAATAGAGGAATAAAAAGAAGCAGAGATGACAACGAACAGTCTGAGGTCTCCAAGAGGCGACACAGATCGGAAACCCCAACAGCCCCACCAACCAACAAAAAGTTCCAGACCATTGCAACCCAACTGATCACGCAAATTTCTTCAAACAGATTTGCCTCCATGTTTCTACAACCGGTGAGTGAATCCGATGAACCAGAGTATTACGTGCTCATCAAGAACCCTCAGGACCTGAAGAAGATCCAGAAGGACGTTAAGCGTGGGGAGATCAACACCTTCCAGGAACTGGAATATAGACTCCAGGTGATGTTCACGAATGCTGTCATGTACAACAAGTTTCACAGTGAAACATACAACTGGACTATAGAGATGATGGAGGAGACTGCAAACCTAATCAAGCTGTTCAAGGATAGTTTGTAAGGTAGATGGTTGGTCATTATTGTATACTAGAAAGACATGGAATAGCCCGAGCTATATCGCATATCTAAAAATAAATTATTCAGATTTGAACTCCGAATTCTTTGGATTTCAATATTTATATGAGACAAACACTAAGTACAAGATTGTGCAACACGGCAACCATGGCGGTCGTCTTAACGCCTCATTTGGTCCATCAAAATCTGGTTTTGCTCTTGGAACCTGGCTCCAACACGTTCGCTGTGCTTCAGGAACTTCTCCGCGCACTTGGAGAGACAAGACTCTTCCTTACCGGTGAGCTTGTTGGATGTGAAGTCGTTGACACAGTCGTTGAAACATCTGTCGACCAAGTTTGTGTAAAGCTATGATGGTTAGTATGAGATGCGCCTTCGTAGTCTCGATTGCCACTACTTACTCTCATGAAATCAGACATTTGCTTTTGTTCCACAATCTTCTGGAACTCCTGTTGTTCCTTTCCGTTTAGCTGATCCATTTTTGTATGTCAATGTTTTGATATGTGTAGATAAGTCTCTCGCCCAGCTTCGACACTTCGCTTCCGAAGCATTTAGAGACGTACTCCCTCTTCGGTGAATCTGAAAATTTCACGACCGGGTAACCGCAATGGGTGCCGCACTTCAAATTTTATTTCAAGCAAGGTGTGTTTCTCTTCTCTGGTGTTAGTTTCCAACCCGACAAACTGACTTGGTTTAATGACTGTCCTCTCTTCGTACCAGGCCAGAGCTGATGCTCACACATCGCCAGTGGCACGCCGCCTTTTGGAGCTCATGGAGTCCAAAAAGACGAATCTGTGCGCCTCCGTGGATCTGACAACTACAGCCGAGATCCTGGCACTTGTGGACTCGTTGGGTCCATATATTTGCCTTCTCAAAACCCATGTTGATGTCATTGAGGACTTCACTTATGATGGATTTGTTCTCCCACTTCTTGCACTGGCCAAGAAACACAACTTCATGATTTTTGAGGACAGGAAGTTTGCAGACATTGGAAACACCGTCAAATTGCAGTATAAAGGTGGTGTCTACAAGATCGCGCAATGGGCTGACATTACCAACGCTCATTCTGTTCCAGGTGCTGGAATCATAAAGGGATTGAAAGAGGCTGCTCAGGAAACGACGTCAGAGCCACGTGGTTTGCTGATGTTAGCCGAACTGTCTTCAAAGGGATCTTTGGCCAAAGGCGAGTACACCACTCAGACTGTTGATCTTGCTAGAACGGATAAGGAGTTCGTGATTGGCTTCATTGCCCAGAATGATATGGGAGGGAGAGATGAAGGTTTTGATTGGTTAATCATGACCCCAGGTGTTGGACTGGATGACAAGGGCGATGCTCTGGGCCAGCAATACCGAACCGTTGACGAGGTTTTCAAGACTGGTACCGACCTGATCATTGTAGGCAGAGGATTGTTCGGAAAGGGAAGAGACCCAAAGGTGGAAGGAGAAAGATACAGAAGTGCCGGGTGGGCTGCGTATCAGAAGGTGTTGGCCCAGCAATGATGGTCATGACATGATGTATCTTCTATGTACATTTGATTAAATATTCATTATATTTCATGGCTTCATCCTCAGCGAGGATTCCAGGTCCGTGCTGAGTCTTTGTCTGGTGATCTCGAATATCAGAAGACCTATGGACGAGGCTGGGATTGTGGTTAAAGCATTGGACACAAAACCTTTGTAACACCAGCCTACCCATGTAAGAGTTGACTTCTGCTTCATGTAAAGCACCTGCTCTATGGTATCCAGATACGACTTGTAGTAGAGCTTGATGAAGGGTCTGCGCTGGTGTGTTGACTCATTGAAGATATCCAGTGCCTCCAGTCTCGCCAGGTGTATGTTCTGGATTTTGTTGATGGGGTATTGAATGGCAAGAAGGTTGAAGGCAGCAGTAGCACCGGCAAAGAGAATGAACGAGGTTTTCAAAATTCGGGCTGACTTGGAATCGTCTGACAGATGAGTTGGCTCACGTTTCAACACATAAGCCTTTGCCGAATCGTACCAATTAATGCATTTTGTAGTCATATGGTAACCCTGATTCTTTATCACCTCGAAGGTGGAGAAGTAAGCTGCAAACCCAAAACTTTCCTTTACGAAACTGGCACCAAATCCAGCAAACACACCCACCAGTCCAATCTGCTGGAGCTTGTACATACCATACTTCCACAGGTTCTCGTGCTTTCCTCCTATTATTTCCGAGGCATTGGATCTGGCATAGATTGCATCAATGGGGGCCGCAACCAACGATTGAGCCGCACCAGCCAAAAAACCGGCTCTGAAGGTATCAATGGGATTCGGGCTCTCCAAAGTTGCATTTCCAAAGCCATTGAAGTATTGAAGAGATGTGAGGTAGGTGGTGTACAAAACCACACCCGTGGCTGAGTTGGCGATGATGGGAGGCAAGACTTGGGACGGTATAAACTTCCAGCCTTCCTTCTTAACAGCATTCACCAGCATCGCAATTCCAGAATGCGAGAAGAAATTGTATGGTCTTGCTTTGAGTGAGTCTTGAAGCAAAATCCGAGCAGTTGCCAGGTAGTCGAATCTTGATGGTCTGAACAGCTTGGCCGGTGTTCTTAGATATAGAGACAAAAACTGGTACAGCACCGCTCGAGTACCTGCAGTTGTTGCAGAGATCACCTGGGTATTCGTCTTTGTAAGTTGAGCGGCATTTTGCATGGGGATATTACCATCTTCCTTGTTATCAGTCTTGGTGTTCGAGGCATAAGCCGCTTCATCGCCAGGTGAGTGGGAAGAGCTATTTCGTAGCAGGTTTTTCGGTATATCCATGTGAGATACTATAATGCAATATTTATGGCTGGCATAGACGTTTCAAAAGCTGCTGTGTCAATAAAATAGGAGGTATAGGGAGCTGTTGAGAGTTGTTTATCTATTGTAATATATTAAGCATCTTCAACACAAGCAGATGGCGCTTTCAATTTTGGAGATGGCCAAAAACAAAATTGGTGGTGATTGGAAAGTTGTATCAGACACGACTATAAGCCTCAAGCTCGTGCACCAAGACTGCGAGAATTTGATATCTACTGTCATCAAGAAGGGACTCAAAGTATAATTCTAATGACTTCTTCCAGTTATGTCTTGCTTAGCTTTGGTATTGCTGGCCGTAATCACCAATCTCAAATGCTGCTGAAAGTTATGTAGCAGGTTCATTGGCAGGGTTCTGTATCAACGCGATGATGGACTCATCAATCTCCAACGATGTTATTTTCTCAATCTCCAACTTATCCTTCATAATCACGAACATGTTCTTCAGAGAATCTGAGGTTTGATCCTTGAAGGCTGGCTTTGCAGCATTCTTAACCAGGAACTTGGAAACAATTTTCAGGAACTTTGAGACTATCGTGGTCGGGTGTGCAAGGTTGTAGTTCAACAGAGTCTCGCATGTAAGCTTGATCACTTCAGATTGAGTCTTGATCATTCCATTCGGATCTGTGGCCTCGACTTCGGGCTTTAGAAGCTCCACAAGCAAACGCATACATCCGACATCGATGACCCCTTCAGAGGTGACGTTTTCTCCCAGGTCATTTGAAACAATCAGCATTCGCAGAGACTTTAGGGCCTCTGCTCTCAATTGACGACATGGGTTATAACATTGATGAGCAACTGCTTCGATGAGAGGATACCACGACATGGCTTCAGCATCAGGCTTCAAGCCCTCACTAGAACGCTTCTTCTCCTGGAAGGCGATGGCATTAGATAATCCTAAAGTCAGATTGATAGACTTCAACGCAGTGGAAACCAGCTCCTTGAAAGGATTTTTGTACTGATCCAGAGTGTGACCCGTGGACATGAGCTTTTCATATTCCTGTTCCCATTGAGCACCGTATGCCCCAACAGCGGATATTTCATCGAGTAGACCCAGAATTTGCATATACGTTTCAGGAACCACGGGTGATGGCTTTGACCCCAGAACATCTTCCAGGAAGGCATACACCCGTTCAACATATTTGGGAGAAGACGCGAAAACTCTAATAACAGTCCAATATTTCACATCGGTCACAAGAATTTTTCTAGACCATATGCTTAGAGACATGAGATCTTCTAGAGGCTTCAAAAGAGAAGTGCCTGATTTGATGATGGCTTCTCTGTCAGATTCAACAACCGTGTGTAGTGTGGTGATTGTGTTAACCAATGACTCTTTGTCTTCTGTGCTCTTCAGCAAAATGAGCTGATAAACGCTAACACGAATGACTGCAGATGGCGGGAATGCAAACTCCTTTTCAGATATTTCAATCAAGGAAGCACACTTCTTCAACACCGCAAGTGTAGATTCCGTGTCTTCAGTCAACAATGTGCACAAATAGACAGATATTTCCAGGATGAACAGACACTCGGAGACGTAAAACCTAGCAGTTTCCTCTAGTTGAGGAGGAAATGATTCAAGCAACAAGGAAACAAGCTCCTTGATGTTTTCCGAATCAGTCTTTGCCACATGGCCAAAAAGTGGAACAATGCTGCTTGACTTGATACAGTCGATTGTAGACAAAGTGGATTCAATCTCCTCGTCTGTAGGCTCTGGTCTGTCATCAGAGAGACCCTTCAAATACGAGGAAAACGTTGAGAATAGACCGCTTTCCTTTAACGCCTGACTCCTATTGATCTGGAATTCTGGCTTAGGCTTGGGCAAAGACTCGAAACCGTATTTCTTTTGGAACTCTGGGAACACATCAGGCTCAAGAAGACAGTTCTCAAACAGAGTGAAGATTATTCTCATAGTGAATTCCCACGCTTTCGAAACCCTCCAATTGTTTTTCTTCAAGACACGGAAGAGTACCACAGTACATAATTGAGCCTTGAAATCGCGGCCAAACCAGACTGAAACCTCACTAACTGTAATAATCTCACCCTCCTTTTCAAGTTTGACCTCGGTAGTAGGAATCAGCTCTGAATTAGCAGCGTTCTCAAGCATCAAGTCTGACTTTTTGACACCAGTCAAGGTAGTCATGTGAGCTAGTACCTCGGCTATTGTTTCCACAATGTCTACCATGCCGTAGTATGTTGCAATAGTAGCACATCTGTCAATAGTTGCCATCATCTTTGTGATAATTTGATCATCAGCAGCCTCCTCGAAAATGCTAATCAGAGCACTAACAATCTGACCACAAACATATTTGAAGATAATTTTGTCAAAGGGTGCAATGTTATTAGAATCACCATCGTCCACATCAAGTGGTGCCTCAGTACCTTTTGGTTGCTCCTTGCTTTCCTGCTCAGCAATAAGGTTCTTCCACGCCAAATCATAGTACTGCGAGCTTCCATGATGCTCTTCTGGAATAATTATCTCACGCTCTTTGATAGAGAAGTAAATCTTCTCCAGATACCACGCTGGAAAATCCTTGCCATTGTAAACCCCACGCAGATTTCTTTGGTATTCCTCCAGCTTCATTTGCTGTTTGACTTGCGGATTGTGAAGATCGGTGTTCAACATGATGATGGAGTAAGACAGAACAAAGACAGCGTCTTTATCAGGAACCACCTTGCTCCCCTCAGATTCAGCAGGAGTGGCTAAAGTTTCAACCCTCGCTGTTTCCTTTTCATCATCACTCTCAGTCTGACAAGAGACGTACCTTTCACTGAACGTTTCTACAATCCTCTCAATTTGCTGGGATTCTCCTGGTAAACGAAAGCTTTTCAGCAGCACACGTAGTGCCTCGTCAACGCGCAATCCACTAAACTCAAACAGCTCCAAGAACTGCTTCAAAAGGCCAGCATTTGCAGGTTTGGCCAGTAGTTCACCAAGCATCTTTTTGTCGACTCTTCCCGATTTCTCATGCAGAAAATGAGCAACTTCATCCAGATCATCTAGATCTTTGATGAAACCCTTCTCATTGAGCATTGCCAACCCCTTTTTGGGATTTTCGTTCAGAAGCTTTGTGCACTCGATGAACTCCTTCTTCTTCTCCTTTTGGAGCACAAGTGGATGCGGTTTGAGTTTCTCAGTATCAGTGTTCTGTTTAACCAAGATTCTGACATGTTCGTGAACCCCATTAACAAATGAAAGCAAACCCTCCAAACATATTGGAGGAACATTATCAGTCGTGAAAAGAGCAGTGTCTGCCAACGACAAACGGCACAATAACCTGATCAGGTTTTCACAAACATCACTTCTGTCGAAGTCGCAATCGTACAACTTGAAGAGATTGGCAAAGAAGGTAGGTGTTCTTATCCATAGAATCGAAATTGCCTCAACGAGGATCTCCTTGCTCAAGGACGTTCTGCCATCTTTTGCCATGAGAATGTCCGAGCTTTCCGCAATCTGGCTTTCTTCGTTTGTCTCATCAGGATCGAGCTGACCCATCTTCATTACTCTGTCGAAGTTATGGCTCAGATCCTCTTCCAGTTTGGCAAAGTCAGTTACAATTGCCTTGGAAATAGAATTGAGAATCAGCTCTACCTGGATCTTCAATAGGGATCCCAGCGAAATGGTCAGAGTGATGAAAAGCTGTAATGCCGACTGTAATAGTGACGGAGAGTCAGAACTCTGGATGATATGGGCTAAATGGTGACATGTAGAGTCAGATATCAATGCAAATATTTCAGGGTGGTCTGGAAGAACATCACTGGAGACTTCAATCACAGTTGTGAGAAGCTCTAGAGCAAATATCCTAGAACTTTCTGTATACTGGAACTGGTTTTCAGGAGCGATAATCCCCACAGTATGGACCAGAAATTCTTTGATGCAAGGGACGCCAAATGGGAGATGGGTCTCTGTGACTCTTTCCGAAGGCTCTGAAGCCTTTTCTGATGGCTCAGGCGTTGAAGTTGTGCTCCCTTGTAATGATCCTTCAGCAATATCTGTTGCCTGCCCTGCAGGTTCTTCCTTAGACTCAGCTTTCGAGATTTCAGTACCACCAATGGTGTCCTGTGGCAAACTGTGATCTTCATTTCCCACAACTATCTCAACCTCGGACTCAGAGTGCTTTCGATGATCCTTTTCTGTCACAGCTATGAGTCGCAATCTTTCAAAAAGTTTGACGGTGATTGAAGTCAACGTGACCTCGGCAGCTCTCCTCAACAACTCTTTCCTTCTGCTATTGATGGACAGCGAGAAACAGGTTGTAATGGCCTCATACATTGCCTCATCAGGAAGCAAGTCACACATATCAGATTTGACAAAAGCCTCTATCAATGTCAACACCTTCATCAGAAGGACCTCATCCTGCGATTGGTCAACACCCTCGAACTTGCAATGAGACAGCGACGATACAATTTGAGGCAGTGTCTGTTCGATGCTGGCGAGATTTTCATTGATAATGTTGTAGCGCAAAAACCTTGAGATCGAGTTTAAAGCCAAAGTAGTAACATGCGCTGAGGTCACAGGGGATCTGATTACCACCAAAAACGGCTGTAACAAAGTCAACGAATCAATGGACTCAAGTGACTTGGCTGAGCTCACCAGCGATCTCAGTTGTATAAACGCACTTAGAAAAGGATTGTCATCTTTGAATTTGCTGTGCATTACTGCCGAGTATGACAGATTACCCTGTTTGTCTGGGTCAAATCGCGAGTTTTTCAAACCAAATATGTTGTTTAGAGTAGGGTAATCATCTTCAACATAAGGAGAACTATCTCTGTTGAATTGGCCGCCGAGAATAGCGGCCACACCGCTTCCCACACCGTTCTGGGACCATCTTGTGGTTTTTCGCATGGCCGAGACAATGATTGTGCATTCATAGATTACCAGACTCAGAGGGTCCATAGCCTTGAGGCTGGTCGTGATCTGTTTGGACATTTCCACAAAAAAATTGTATGAAAAGGAAGGTGATCGTATAAATAGCGAGGTGTGTTGATCTGTTACCAACTAGCCCTCATAAACGGCGCGACTATAGATTCAGCCTGCCCAATTCAAAACCCCAAATCGAAACTTTAAAGGCAAAATATTAGAATTCGTACACTCAAATGAGACTTGGGTCTAATGTCGAAGTTTCTTATATAACCAGGTAGTTTTTAACAGGTTTCAAAAACTTTCTCTGATCCCTCTGTACGTGTTCAAAGGCGATCGGGTGTTACGTGGCCCTGTCCCCCCTCACAATTAGATCTGAGCGATGATCTCACACACTGGCCTTCCTAATCGGGGCATGATAGCGAATACGAAGTCTGGACAATACATTTTTTTGTGGCATACGGCGCTGATTTTGGTTATAAGTTAGTTATATCCTTCGGCTTAATTATTCATTGGACTCCGAAGCCGAAAGAAAACCTTCATAGACTTCTCCTATGATCTCCTGATAGTCCATCTCCAGGTTCTGATTCTCTGACTGTCTGCTGACATGTCCTTCGTCCAGTTTGCGTTTCTCAGCCCCGGGTTCTCTCTTTTCCTTCATCTCGTCATACTTGGAAACGAGCACTAGTCTGGTTCTCATCACAAGACTCGTCATTCTCACAATGTCTGTGTCGCTGAGCAGCTTCTCAGAACTCCTTTCTGCAGAACTCTCAGAAGTCTCCATAGAACCATCAAGTGGAGAGCTCTGGTATATCAGCACCGATATCACATTATCGAGCTTTGCAAGAAACTCCAGCAAACTTCGCAACTCGTCAAACCCTGAAATGCGAAATTTGATTATATAATCGACCAAATCACCCATCACCTTGATCAAGTAGTCAGATTGCCCGAAAGCGAGCTTCGGATCCACCTTGGGTATATCAACAATAGCAGATCCATTATTCAAGGATCCACCAAGCAATTGTGCATGTGTCACCACTGGAACCACCTTTGTGTGAAATATGGAGTAGTATATCACGTTTACAACTTCGTCAAGGTCATTGCACAGTTGTGATAGACTGTAGTCTGAGGTTCGATTTGACGGGACTTCTGAGTCATGATCACTAAGATCACTGTTATCGTCTTCCTCCATATCATCATCATCATCATCTTCTCTCAAAGACAAGTACTTTATGAAACGTCTTTGGATTGCAAGCAATTGTTCATCGATGTACGTTATGAGCTTGCTCTGTTGGGAAAGAGAAAGCCTTCGGCCAGATACAGGGTATGGTCGCAACGTAGACGTGAAAGTTAGTCTTTTTGGCTCACGAAACGGATTGACGGGAGTATTCCTAGTAGAGGCATTGAAATCGTAGAAGTCACTAACAAAGCCCGCTGGAGCAACAGCTTCAGCTGCCACAGGATTAACAGTGGCCTGTTGAGTGTCTTCTGTAGCATAGGTTTCCTCACTTATATCTTCGAAGGGGACATCCGCCTCAGATGTGGAGTCACTATCATCAGCATCATCAAGATCAAGCGCTAGCTCGAGGCTTGCCGGTAGTCTTTTATCGCGAACTTCAGCGATGTCCACCTCCGAGTCTGGTCCTGGATGGCGTGGTGGGGTCGGAACGCTCGCACTAGGCCCTTTTGAGATATTCTGATTTGACATTAATACTCCAGGCAATGTAAAGAAAGTATGATATTCCAATACTTCACTTCACAACAATATCAAACTATTAGCGATTAGGAGCAGTATGCTTATTCATATAAAGCGTCATATGGGGTAGCTTGTGCTTAATATTGCATCTCAAGTTCCAAAGGAATCACGTGATTGACGGATTTCGTTTTCCAACGGTTTTATTCTCCAAGCGCATTTGGTCTTGCTTTCTTGACGGCCGTTTCCTTCAAAATTACAGGGAAAGATCTAACATGTCTTTCGATGATCAGAAAGGAATGAGTCTTGCCTTCGAGCAGGCAAAGAAGAGTGAGTATACAGAGTTTTCTTGGGCCCGGAAGGGTTTGGATGTTTTGCCCACCCCGCATGGATGCGGTCTTGTTCTTCGTAGTATTAACGGTTGATTTTTTACTAGGTTACTCTGAAGGTGGAATCCCAATTGGTGAGTGACGCTTATGGGAGTCGTTTTTGTAAAGTTTGAGCGATACTAACATCTAAAGGTGGTGCACTAATCCATAAAGATGGAACTGTTCTGGCCGTTGGTCACAACCAGAGAGTACAAAAGGGGTCTGCGACCCTTCACGGTGAAATCGACACTTTTGAGAAGGCCGGTAGATTGAGAGGATCAGTTTATGCCGACTGCACGGTGAGTGGAGTTGGGGACTTCGGGATGGCTTCGGCCAAACCTCTTGCTTTTTTTACTAACATTTAGCAGATTTACACCACTTTGAGTCCATGCAACATGTGCACCGGTGCAATATTGCTTTTTGGAGTAAAGAGAGTGGTTATGGGCGAGAACAACACATTCGTCGGAGGTGAAGATCTTCTCAAGGAGAGAGGAGTCGAGGTGATTAACTTGAAGAGTCAGGAATGTGAGGATATTCTGAGAAAGTTTATCACCGAGCATCCAGAGCAATGGGATGAGGATATTGGAAAATAGCTGAATAATTGAACAATCACTTGTGGAAATATTATCGTAGTTGAGTGGTTGCTGCTTCTCAAACCACCGTCCCGGAATGGTATCCGATAATGCTATCTGTGTGAGGATATGCCTTACACCATTCAATTAAAAAAACCGGAATAATTTTCCTGAAAACTGCCCTAGACTCCAATTTTCACTCCTGGTTTATTTCTCGTAATTTTGTTACATTTTATTCTCACAAACGCCTATCTCCAACAAACCTAAAAATCGTGAATCGGGTTCGTCCGGAGATGGAAATCGTGCATTTTCCTGATAAGGAATTTCACGATTTTTCTTATCTAAGGAGGCCGAGATGTCGGCGATGACTCTAATTGAATTGGAGTTCGATTCCATAGCAAAGAGTTGGTTCTGGAATAAATCCTGGAACAGTTCCAAAGTTCTGTAATGTATACTACTGGACGTTTCATTAGAAGAGTGAGATCTGTGAAATATGTTGGCAAACACCGCTGGTTCAGTAGTACAGCCTTAGTACTTAATGCTCCAAAACAATACAACCAGAATCATAGCAAGCCGCGTTACGGCCTCACAACATTGACAGCTGTTACTAATGGTTTGATTGGCTGGTTTTGTTCTCAATATTTCAATTCTTCTGATAGTTCATTTCTACAAACTTCAACTACCAAAATCACCGACATCAGTTCCCCGGTCTATGCTACCCCCAATGAGGTCTCAAAGGCGATCGAGGAGATTACCACCATCACCGGCCCAGAGTACGTCAAAAACTCAGCGGGTGAACTTCTAAACCACTCAGATAACTCCTCGAATTTTCACAAACCAAATGACAATGAAAGACCAGATATGGTGGTTTATCCGGGGTCTATCGAGGAAGTAGCAGAGGTTGTCAAGGTGTGCTATAAGTATCACGTTCCCATGGTGCCATTTTCCGGAGGAACCTCAATTGAGGGCCATTTCATTCCCACAAGAAGAGGCATTTGCATTGATGTTTCAAGATTGAATAATGTTATTGCTATACACGAGGATGATCTGGACGTGGTGGTCCAACCGGGAGTAGGCTGGCAAGAACTAGGAGAGTACTTGGAACCATATGGACTCATGTTTGGGCCAGACCCTGGTCCTGGAGCTATGATTGGCGGCATGGTAGCCACAAGTTGTTCGGGAACCAATGCGTCGCGATATGGAACGATGAAAGAAAACGTGATTGCGTTGAAGGTGGTATTGGCAGACGGAACTATAGTCAAGACCAAGAACAGACCAAGGAAGAGTTCTTCCGGATACAACTTGACTGGTCTTTTTGTCGGAAGCGAGGGAACACTTGGAATTGTTGTGGAGGCTACTTTGAAATTGCATGTGAGACCAGAGAATGAAGTTGTTGCTATAGTGAATTTCAATGCTGTTGGTGAAGCTGCAAAGACTGTTACTGATGTCTTTAAAAAGGGCATTCAAGTGAACGCGGTTGAACTGATGGACGATCGCCAAATGAAATGTTTTGCAGAAATGGGAGGTGATGGAACACGAAAGTGGAGTGATAAGAATCTTTTACTATTCAAAATCTCAGGAACCAAAAACGGACTGAAAGATAACTTGGATGAGATCAAGCGGATCTGCGAAGCAAACAACGGTTTCAACATCGAGGTTGCCACTGACGAGGAGGAAAAAGAAGCTATTTGGAGAGCACGAAAGACTCAACTTTGGACAAGTCTTGACTGGGCTAAAAAAGTCATTCCTGATGCTAGATCATGGCCCACAGATGTCGCTGTGCCAGTGTCTGCCCTACCGCAGATGATATCCGAAACAGTTAAAGACATAGAAAGTCACGGGCTTTTGACGACTGTTGTTGGTCATGTTGGTGACGGAAATATTCATGCTCTTGTAATTTTTCCCAAGGACAAACTCAGCGACGCAGAAACAGTTGTTCATAACATGGTGAAACGGGCTATCAGTTACGAGGGCACAGTTAGTGGAGAGCATGGTGTGGGAATTGGTAAGCGGGAATTTCTTGAGGCTGAGCTTGGCGAAGAGGCTGTGAGTACGATGCGTCGGATAAAAATGGCATTGGACCCATTGAGGCTGTTCAACCCCGACAAAATCTTCACAATTGATCCTAATGAAGATAGAGTAGACAATTTCTAATTATTTAGATAAGAGCCTCACTAGATAAGGAAAACCCTTTAAGACCGGGTGATCATCCCATTTTTGCGGACTCAGATGAGCATGGGCTTCAGAAGTTCTCAATGCAACAAGACAATTCTTCTTTCCGTACGCGAGGTAACAAGATCACCACGATTATGCTTAGAAATTTCCGGAATGGTCTGAGATGCCGTAAATCTATTGGCTATCGTGGTTTGAGCCATATCCCTAAGTTACACATTTCTTCTGAGGTAGAGGAAGCAGTCAAGTACAACAAGCCAGTGGTATCTCTCGAAAGTACCATCATCACCCATGGATTGCCGTATCCTGAAAATATAGCCATGGCAAAGCGAGTTGAAGAGGTGGTGCGATCGTATGGTGCAGTTCCGGCGACAGTTGCTTTCATAGACGGAAAGCCCACTGTGGGTCTCACAGAGAAAGAGATAGAGTATCTGGCTGATGCTAATGGCGAGAGTCGCGTGAAGATTTCAAGAAGAGACATCCCATTGGTGATGTCATTAAATCAAACAGGAGGCACGACAATTGCTGCCACGATGATTTTGTCGAAACTCGCAAATATCTCGGTTTTTGCAACTGGCGGACTGGGTGGAGTACACCGTCATGGGGAAGTCACCATGGATGTGAGTGCTGATTTGGACGAATTATCGAAAACACCTGTCGCCGTTGTTTGTTCTGGTCCGAAGTCGATATTGGATGTTCAGAGAACAATGGAGTATCTGGAAACCAAAGGTGTGCCGGTTATGACCTATGACGATGGTGATTTTAAAGATGGCCCTATAAACATCCCCGGATTCTACACCAGAGATTCAGGCGTTCCGTCTCCATACACGATCAACTCTATTCTCACTGCTGCCAAAGTTATTGAAAGTGGCAAATCTTTGGACCTGGAGAATGGGTTTCTGTTCTGCATACCACCTCCTGTTGCTATAGCCTTGCCAAGTGACTTCATCAACGAGGTGATCAAAGAGGCTCAACACGCGGCTCAAGCTCTGAATATCACAGGAAAGGCAGTTACACCGTTCATGCTTGATTTTATCAACACTAAGACGAAGGGAGAATCTGTTAGTTGTAACGTCTCCTTCGTGCTGCACAATGCTGGAATCGCTTCCCAGATTGCGAAAGAGCTAAGCGTTCTCAGAGGTGGATCGGTAAGTAATCGAATTGGATTCTAGCAGGTCTTGATACTAATTTGAAAACAGAAAACTTACTTTGAACCCCCGTTGGATCTGAGACAGAAGACCCAACGCGAACCTTTGCCCTCTTCGGGAGCATCCACCAAGCTGGACAAAAAAGCCGCTCTGAAGACCTTTACAGTGCAATCACCGGCTATAGTTGATGCTGTAGTTGTTGGTTCAATTGCAATGGACAATATTAGTAAGATATCTGCCAAAAGTATCATGGGAGACTCCAATCCAGGCTCTATCTCATCGTCCGCTGGAGGGGTTGGTTTCAATATTGCTCTAGCGGCTCACAATTCAGGAAAAACCAGCCAAATTGATAGACCAGTGGTGAAGCTAATATCAGCTGTTGGAAAGGATATTGCTGGAGAGCAAATACGGTTCGTTTTGGAAGACACAGGTCTGACTGCAGATGGAATAGAAGTTCAGCCTGAGTACAATTCGGCCCAATACTCGGCAGTTCACGATTCCTCTGGAAGTCTGGTAGTTGCTTGTGCAGACATGAGCATAACAGAGAACCTTTCTGAGTCCCATGTTACATCGAAATTGTCGAAATACTCGCCAAAGTTCGTGTTGTTTGACTCCAACATCATGCCAGACTTGATGTCTTCTATACTCAAAAACGCACCGGTCATGGGCTACAAATCCATATATGAACCAACCTCAGTGATAAAGGCAAACAGACTCTCCAAATCAGCTAGTCTTCACTGTTTTCCAAACAATGAACTGTTTCTAATGACCCCCACGCTGTCGGAGCTAGAGACATTGTACAAATCGTTCACCGAAAACGAGAAATTCTCGGATTTCGACGAATGGTTCCCTGTGCTTGATGCGCTCGGAGTGGATTCTAAGTTGAGGATGGGATTGGATATTTTGTCCCAGAGAAATAGCCTGGTGAAGCGGTATTTGGAAAGAGGAGTATTTCAACAGGCACTCAACCTGTTGCCATATTGTCCAAACATAATTCTCAAGGATGGAGCCCAAGGAATAACCATTATCCAGATCACGTCAAATGTGGAGGATGATATGAAGCTGGTGAATAAAACAGCCTTTTCGCTCAAAGGTGAAACTGCTTCTTCATATTCTCTGGTAGGCGAGGGGAAGCAGGGAATGGGTGTGATAGTTCAGCATTTTCCTGCTGCTGATCTAAAGTCTGATATCAAGAATGTCACAGGTGCTGGTGACTCTTTGGCTGGTTATCTCCTCTACAAGTTGAGCAGTTCTGACTCCAATGTCCTTGAATTCAGTAACGAACTTAGAGAGAAAACGTTGATGGGATGCCAATTAGCCGCTTTCACTAGTCTTAATCATCAGGAGGCCATCAATGTGGAAGGATTGAGACATCTTGAATAATTCATTGAAAATAATCATGTATAGCAATCTAATATATATCAAAGAGTATTTACCCGGTGCCATCAATCGATGTCATCATGCTCATCAAGATTCACGGCAATGGGTGATATAAATGAAGTGACATAGTTACCACAAATTGCAACTGCTCCCAAGCTCCACCATGTAAACCAGGCAATTCCGTGAGCTTGTGAAAAACTCATGATAGTACCCCAGATGGTTGGAGCAAGGAATCTGGCAAAGGACGTGAAACTTAAAGCCATGCCGTTGATAAAAGCTCTATAGCCTGGTTCAGCACTTTCATGAACCAGCAAGAATATCTGAGGGAAACCTAATGATCCCAATATAGTTTTTGCGAAAGATATGGCATAAATGGCGTGCATACTGGTCTGTGTAGTGGGATAGTTCGGAGTCAAGGTAAATACCAAAAACGGAATTAAGGCATATATCGCAGAGAATGGGACTAGCAACGCCTTATAGGATGTCAAAGCGTCGTACTTTCGGTCCAAATATGGATACACAAACACGACAACAATGACACCAACAAGTCCTGTTATCGACAAAACATTTCCAACCTGTTTGGAGTCTTTTCCCAATCCACCTACAATATGGGGGAATTTCGACAGCAATGGGGACATTGGGTCAGAGGGGTCTGTTCGAGCGATACTCGAAGAGCAAAACACAGGGAAGAGCTCATCAGCAACAATGGTGTGAAATGCCATAATAAAGTTGGAGAGTAGAGCGTAAAATACCTTCGAGGTCATAAGCTTGCGCCATGGATAAGATGTGTCTGAGTGCTTTTGATGTTTCGTTCCCATTTGGTTTTCAGTACCAGAACCCGATTCAGAAACATTAGAGGCACTCGAATTGAGCTCATAAGTATCGAAGTGGATGTCATTTTCGGTAACTCTCGTATACCTGTTCCAGGATCTGGTTTCAACCGTATAGCCAAAATGCCGTCTGATTCTGTCACCGATCTCTAATCCATAATCGCGTCTATATTTTAAGGTTTCGTGAGTTTCTTCCAAAAAAAGAATGGCTATCAACAACGAGCTGAAAATAAAATAGGCGACAACAATATTGGAGAGGGCGTAGGGATACTTTTCAGTGAACTCGTGGAAAGCAGACCTCTTAGCCAAAGGAACCAAGTAAGATACAGACTTATGCATCCATGTATCTCTGACGACAATGCTTGTGGCTGATGATGAAGCTCGATCAGTATTGACCAAATATCCACTTAGGGGCCCAATAATGCATCCTACCTGCCATAGTAACGGTACTAGACTGAGAGCCAAAGCTGTGTGTCTGGGGTCAGAGGCCACTTCTCCAAGCATGGTTCTTATAACTGCAACATTCCCATTGATAGCACCCATAAACGCTCTTGAAGCAAAAGCCATCCAAAAGCTAGAGGAAAATCCGAAAGCCAACATGGAACAGCCAGTTCCGAGTAATCCAATAAGCAGCACTGGCTTTCTACCGATGACATCCGCATAGTGACCCCAGTGTACGGAACATAGGAATTGGAAAAAGGCAAAAGCTGATGAGATATAACCGCAATATTTTGAAATATCCTCGTCAGTCTCGGCAACTCCAAAGTCCTTGACCATGAAGTACATATAAGGAAACAAAGAGGTGAAGGCAATCGGCTCGGAGAACCTGATCATAGATATGACTGAGGTCTGCCATACCGGGAACCCAGCGAGCTGTTCCCTGAAGGAGATTTTGGTCTTCATTGTCGTATCTGTGATAGAAGAGAGTCTGATGGCAGCATTGAAATGGTCTCAAAATATGAGTTATTCAATGCTCTCAAGAAAAAAGAAAGGCCACAAAGGTTTCAAGGGATCTGAAAATTAGCCATGTATGACTCCATAGAAATTTTACAATGCATTACGATAAAAATGCCGCTTTTGTGAGTTATGCACGATGACTCGGAGCATTAAGTATTGTTGTTAACCGATTATTAGAAAACACTGTACGTAAATTATTTAGATGATGTTAGTTTTGAGAGTTCTGCAGTTCTAATGATATCAGTATTGCTATCATTCACATCCTGATGTGCTCAAATCTCATACCTCTTCACTATCTAATCTCATCGGCAATTGTTCCTGGCCGAAAGAGGAGTAATCTCCGATATGTGAAGATTCCAGGTCTGTGTTTGAACCTGGTCGTTTTTGCGGTCATTAGAGATTGTGCGGGGATATTGAATCAGTCACATCAAAAATAAGTTGTTTGGGATGGTGTTGGAGTCTTCTCATGCAGAAAGACAATTTAATCCCTCATTAAAAGGAGAGCAATCGTGTGGGGTACATATCCAAAGAAACTGAATTCGATAAGATTCGAACAGACTCAGTCGTTTGGGTATGTTTGCTTTTCACGCACTATTATGGAAGTTGGGTTTCATATCGGGTTAAATAGAAAGCAAATCAAATATACGTTGGGTCTGGAGAATCCCCTATTGATTTTTTGCGATACAATGCACACATCACGCCTTACCATGCGAGTGAACTCAGTCTCATTGATCAATAAAACTATGTTGTTGTGGTTTAATTGGGATTGGTTCATGATCGGATGTACCAGTAACCCTTTACAACTCTGTAATTCTCGTCGATTGAAACTCCTAAACTTTCGAACATCCTCACAATCTATTCCTTTATATCCAGAGCTTTTCACTAGGTCTGAATTTCATGGGGTGCAATCGCATCCTTCCACTTTCAGCTATTTGGGGCTCTCACTGTTTATCGTCAAGACACGACCTTGATATGGATTTTTGCTGATAACAAGAAGAAAGGCTACAAACGCAACAACCTACTCAAACCACCTAGTTTCCCAGTCTTCTCTAATGGAAATCCCACGAATATGGGATGCTCACGATGTTTTGATTCACCCCTCCAGAAGCCGAAATTCGGTCACTAGCAAATTGGGGATGTTTTTGACGCGGAGTCGGTCCTCGGAGCTGAACCGCAGCATTACTCATCTCAGTGATATTCGCAAAGACATGTCTAAATTGCCTCAGTTTAACGACATAGACGAACTGGCAGACTTATGCGATATGGCTGATGCCATGTTGAATATGACGACAACGCAGAGAGATGCAGCCCAAAACCACTTGTTTGCCGATTCCACGGAGATGAGGTCAAAATTTGACATCATCGTGGAGAACGAGCGAGGAGCTATGTTATTTGGGATACCAATGTACTCGAAGAACACGCTAATTGATCCGTTTGATCCTCCAAAGTTTCAAAATATCAAAGGTCACGAGATAACGGATATAAAATTGTTTGCACTTCCTGCTCTGGGCTGGAAATGGAGCTGGCCCAACTGGTATGTCCTAATGATCAGCGATGTCGATGACCAGGGCTGGATATACTCGTCTATAAGATTCAAATCCCAACATTGGAAAGGTGTCGCTAGATTTGGGAATTTCGTTAGAAGAAGAATTTGGATACGGATGCGTGAAAAGGTCCCCATCGATACAGTACTAACCCACGAGTGGGATAATGACGAAATTGCCCCAACAATCGAGGTAGGAGGAATTGACTCCAGAAGAGTTCGGAAGAGGGACAGATTGAAGCGCAAGTTGGGCTTTTACTCAACTACTGCTGACGATCTAAATGAGAGTCTCATGACCGAAGAAGCGTCAACGGTGTCCAACGGCTCCGCGAACAGCGACGAAGACTCACACCAGATTGCAGACAGGCTTTCTCCTTATCTTGCCCCAGAAATGAGCAATGTTTTAGAAGACCCAATATCTGAAATGGATGACGAGTCTAGAGACCCTTATGCTATCATATATCAGCTGCGGCACGAGTTGCGTGAAATGACAGTGGATAGAAAAAGAGTGGACAAGCTACTTGAATCTCTTCTTTCTTTCGATAACGAGACTTTAGCGCTCTTGATCTCAGATTTCAAGACGTCGCTGGAGTTGTCCACCGCTTCGTTTTTGGCTGAATTCTACAAGGGCATACTTTTCAGAGACTCCAAAAGGCTGTTTCTCAAGGCATTCCAGGAGAACATTCCAATGGACGACTCTGAGCGTTCGGAGTTGCTGAATCAGATATTTGAGGTTTATCGTGACGACTTGGGATAGTCGTACATGAGCACACACGAAGCGAATGACATCGTTACTAATTGCGCTGTACAAGTGAACGCTATTGCATTAATGACTAATGATTATATACATGATATGATAACGGCTTTTTTTTCACAAAAACCTCTTCAAGGCAGTCATCTCAAATGCCTCGATAACATCACCTTCTTGAAGACCTGAAAACGTTCCCAATGATACACCACATTCAGTTCCTGATCTCACATCGGTAACATTATCCTTCTCGTGCTTTAACTCGGTAATTGGGCCCCGGTAAATCTCAACACCCTTCCTCATTACCCTCACAGTGCTATTTCTCTTCAGAACACCCTCCGAGACTCTGCATCCGGCAATTAAATTGACCTTTTTGTTTTTTCCTGTGATTTCAAAAATGGCCTTGACGTCTGCCTTAGCAAGCGATTTTAGCTCAAATTTGGGTGGGAGGTTTTGCACCAGTTCTTCGATCACATCCTCTATCAGATGGTAAATGACATTGTGCTTCTTCAGAGGAACACCGTCTCTCGAGGCCCTGGCTTCTATGTCTTTGGGAATATTGACATTAAAGCAAATAATAGAGCCATTGGCTACTTTTGCTCGGTCCACATCCGAATCTGTAGGGACTCCCACACCACTAAACAGAACTTGGCTCTGAACTTCCTCATTACCCAATCCCTTGATACTTTCTTCAATAGCCTCGGCAGAACCAGCAACATCAGCTTTCACGATAAAAGGAATTTTCTTACAGATAACTCCTTCTTCCTCGAAAAGGTCAGGTTCCAATTTCCTGATTTCATCCAGCTGCAGTCCCATGGATCTATACTTATCGATTTCCTGAGCACGCCTGGTTTGCTCTGCCTCTGCCCTTCTGCTCTCGTTAATAGCGGTGATCTGCTCGTGCTCGCGCATGTGCTCTGCACGTTTAATTCTGTTGGCTATCACTTTTTTGGCCACAGATTCATTCTTAGCTTCAATTGCTTCATCTCCAGCCTCTGGCAATCCCTTCCAGCCAGTGACCTCGACCGGTGTCGATGGTCCAGCAGCTTTGAGAGGCTTTCCAAATTCGTCCTTGAGAGATCTCACTTTTGCATAAGTGGTGCCAGCCACAATAAACATTCCAGGTTTCAACGTTCCTCTTCTCACGAGGAAAGTAGCTGTGTTTCCCATTCCTTGTTTAACATGAGATTCGATAACCCAGCCTTCTACATCAACACCTGAGGGTTCAGCCTTGAAGTCATGCATCTCGGCTAGGGCAACCACAGCCTCTTCAAGTTCCTCCATTCCCAATCCTGTTTTTCCAGATACCTTGACGGTTTGGGTTTCTCCACCATAATCTTCCACATCGATACCGCCTGTGGCCAAATCCGCGACAACTCTATCAGGCTTTGCGTCAGGTTTATCACACTTGTTAATCGCAACAATAACGGGGACATTGGCAGCTTTTGCATGTTTTATGGCCTCTTTCGTCTGTGGCATCACTGAATCGTCAGCAGCTACTACCAGGATAATTATATCCGTGATATTGGCACCACGTTCGCGCATCTTTAAAAATGCAGCATGGCCAGGAGTATCAAGAAAGGTGATTTGCTTCTTGGAATGAGGTGAAAGAACAGAGAAGGCTCCAATATGCTGCGTGATACCACCAAACTCCTTGTCGACTATGGAGGATTTGCGCAAATAATCCAAAATAGTGGTTTTCCCATGATCCACATGACCCATAATTGTGACTATAGGTGGTCTGGGCTTTAACTTTGCTTCCACTATAGGTCCTGGGAAAAGGTCCATTCCTTGATCGTCACTCATAGTCACGTCAAATCCGTATTCGTCTGCCACCAAAGCTGCAGTTTCGGCGTCTAAAATATAATTGTAACTCATATCTTCAAATCCAAGATCTGAAAGTCGTCTTAGCAGGTCGTCGGTTCTTACCTTTAGAATGGTAGCAAAATTCGATACAGATAAGAATCGAGGAACAGCTATAGGCACTTTATTTTTGGCATTAGCCTCGTCTTGGGCATCCAGTTTGGCTTTCTTCTTTCTCTCCTTCTCTTGTTTAACAGATAACTCTGTTTCATGTTTGGTCATCATATTCCTGGCCAAATTGCGCAGTTCATTCTTTTTCTCTTTGAACTTGGATCCTGCGGGTGCTGGTGGAGGTGGAGAAGGTGATGCATGAGGTGCAGCTTTCGGCGCATTCGGATTAATGAATTTTGCCCTGTTCAGTTCACCGATAACATGACTCTTCCTGGTATTCATATCTCCTATAGATTGAGTAGATTTTGTGAATCTTGAAGGAACTTGCTTAGCATGTCCTGTTTTCGACCTTTGTGATTGAGCCTGGCCCTGAGCTCGGTTGTTCTGTTGGGGTTGAGCTTGTGTTTGTGCTTTTTTCGGTTTTGAGTTCAAAGGAGCGATTGCTTGTGGCTGTCTCGTGTTCTTGGCAAATTTCGACCTGGATGCAACGCCCGTGGTTGATGTTTTGGGCTTTGGTAGATTCGAAAGCAGTTCTTCTGACTCTGTGTAGATAGTGCGAAAACTGAGTCCATTCCCGTGCGCCCGCACAAGAGACCAGGATGCTCGCATTCGGCAATACATAGTATAGGACTTCAGAAAGTTTTTGGTGAATCTATACCGCGAGAAGTGACGCTACGTTTGCTTAATCAGTTAGTAGTTTCGCGATAATTTTTCAGCCGGTGACGGTGCGGCCGTTGAACGTGTGGAGATCAATCATAATTATGTAAGCAGAAAGGTATGACTGTTCTACATCTGTTTTGACTAAGTGAACCTTGCGTGAGATATCTTGTTTGTAGTTGAATGCTTAACTGCTTGATTTTCAATGCAGTTGAAACTTTTCCAACTTAAGAATAAGCATTTGCTGTGCTAGAACTCGTGTCCTAATGGCGAGGTGAAGGTAGTGTATCATACCAGTCTCTGAATAGTTTCCAAATACCCGAGGAAACTCCGTCAATGCGACAACATTATTCTTCATTATAATTAGACTAACCAGCGGATCATAACTTGCCTAACCTCATGTTTCGATTGCTCAGATAGTTATTTTCATCTGCTTTAACTCCTGCAGTGGAGGGATATCTTCTAGCATTCCATCAGCTAATAGGTCCCAGACCACTCCAACCTTAGGTTTCTGGGCTTTTCCTAGTGCTAACTCAATGATACGTTTATTAGTGATCACTAAATCACACACCGTATCGAATACCTCTGGCTTCAAATCTTGGTGAAGTAATTGGCACTCGTGGACAAAAGCCACTGCCGCTGTAGTTGTTTGAATGGCGCCCACCGAATATAGCATGGCCCATTCCAAGTCGAAATACCCATGGCCCTTCCCAAATCTGACACCCTCCATATTTATGGCACCAGTTCCCGTCACCATTGCGCTGATTTGTAACTTCGATTCCTGGATATCCCTTAGGCTTAGATGTTTGCCGAATTTTTCCATACCGTCAAGTGTAGAGGCGTACATGAGAAACTTCGAGTCTATTTCTTGGGGATCCAATAACCAGAACCCTCTGCGAATTCCATAAGTAGTCATCAAAATCTTCTTTCCAGCAAGCAAAGTCTCATATCTGAGCTCCTCCAAGCAATTATCTGGAGTTATAAATATTGGGTCAGCAGATTTGAAAACTGAGTGTTCCAAGAACATAGCAGTTGCCCGGTCAGAACCATCGAAATCAGCTATGAACTCGGCAAAATTATAATGGAATCTGGAATCTGGTTTTGCAACCTTCAAGAGCTCAGACCAAGCCTCATTTCTTACTTCTGACTTATGAGAACTCATTTTAATCAGAGATATCTATGTAAAATAGGAGGAAATTATAAGAGTGATGGACTTTCCACATTATCTTTGCGTACGTGCGTCCGGCCCAAAGTTAATCCCGAGAGCGCTGGTTTCCGCTCGAATTCTCGGCGAATTCGACGGGGACGGGAAATTATACGATGAGAAGAGAAATGTCTGTGCCCTTATTAAACAATATCAAAACGGTTTTCTGTTTTACGTCTACATTTGTAGCCAGTTCGCCTTATTCATAAGGCGTCCAGCAAATTTCCTGCTGAAAGCCCACATGCAATAGATGCCGTCGCAATTGCCGGTTTTCCCTTACAGATGCTATTGTTCAAGCAAGGATGGAGCAGGGTTTCGGGTATGGCCCGCCCGTATTTGACGTTGGCGCTCAAAAAAACTGTTTTCCATCTAGACCAATGCGGAATGGGCCAAACGATGTCAGCATTCAGATCCTTGCGTCTCATTTGGCAATTCCCGCGCATCCGGATTAAGAGGGAACATGGACGTTTTTCTATTGGCCTCGAAGGGTAGGGAAAGACGAATATAGTTTAAGAGACGTGGCTTCAATCGGAGATACTCCAAAAGTTCATCAACTTCATATATTTCTAACCGGAATTGAGTCACCCTCCGCCCTATTCTCAAGTATTGTCTGTTACCTCGGCATGATCATCGACGAAGATGAAAACGGTAATACCTCTTCTATCCGAAGGCTTATAACCAGGATACAGAAATGACCTTCCGCGGAACCAGCCGGTTTTCTATCCATTATCTCAGGTCCTGACGATTAGGGAAAGCAAACGAGTGCTGTAACCAGTAAAGTATGACGTGAAAGTTTGAACTTTGAGTTCGTGGAAAGTTTAGTTGAGCTCAAGCGACTGCTTGGGAAATGAAGCGACAACTGCCTTCAAAGAACCTCAAGCCAGAAATGCTTAGATTCTACACTATATTCAAATTGAGCAGCGCCTGAAAGAACCACCAGTCATAATCAACTGTTCCAACATTCTTTCTCTGGAGTTTTCAAGTTCAATACTTGAGGTCAAACTTGTGATTCTTCGTTAGTGTCATTGGGGGTCTGGTTTGCCTAGCATACAACGGGTAAAACTTGGCATACGGCATCCAATGAAGCACTACCATTTACTATACGGAGCTGGCGCATAATGGTGAGAGCACCGTTGGGACATCAACACTATCAAAACAGAAGAGAACTTTAGCACTTGTCCGAAGAGCTTACAACCTAAACATGAGACTTATCTGTAGTCAATTTTTTACGAGGCGTAATCGCAGCCATCTACTACCCCTTCGCGCCATCCCAACGCTGCTATCACTGCATAAACTCATAGGCACCCTCAAAATGCTCAAAGTATTCCAACAACTCCCAATCACTCCGGGGCACTCCAGGCTCGGCCCCAGATTAACTCAATCGAAAACCGCATTGTTCATATAAAAGAACAATTTGAAACCAAATCAATCACATTAAATTGTTAGCAGAAAAATAGCGAATTGCCCCCCAGCGGTGCCGTGGACCGATAAACTAAATAATCATGCATGCACCTCTGAAACCAGGATGAGATAACGAAGTACCAATTGCTGCTGCTTCTCAAAAAATTTTAACTCATTATGGCAAAGCCGTAGACGAGTGACTTATATATTTCGGTCGTACGCCGTTCAGAAGGTATTTGTGGTTACTGCATTCTGGTTCAGGACTGTTTGGTGGTAATCCATTTTTTGGTGATTTTTTTGCTGATAACCCAGTTTCGTGCCACAAAATTCACCGCTCGATGTCACTCAAGGACGACACTTTAAATGCCAGCCCCTCGGGGGTATCTGCCATCCGCTCGAACAACACTTTGGGAGTTGTCAAGTCTAAGGACTCTCCGGACGAGCCTGTTCTGGTTGAGGAGGGATTTTCTCTGATTGTTTCCCCAGATAATCCACACCATCCCATTCACTGGAGTATTGGTTTGAAGATCTTCATCTCGGTGGTGTACTGTTTGCTGCAGGTTTTCGTTACCCTGACCTCGACATCATATCTGTCTGTTGAATGGATTGTCGAAGAAAGGTTCAACGTTGGTGCTCAGGTTGCTACTTTAGGCCAGTCATTGTTCATCATCGGTACTGCTGTTGGACCTGCTGTGCTTGGTCCAATGTCCGATTTGGGTGGCCGTAAGTGGATTTACGTCGTTTCCATGGTTTTCTACATCTTGTGCTCTATCGGATGCGCATTGCCCAGAAACATGGCTCAGTTGGCCATTTTTATGCTTCTTTTGGGAATTTCCGGTTCGTGTGCCCTGTCTAACGTTGCCGGTACCATTGGTGACCTGTTTGGTGACGCCGATGCCGCCTCGCAGCCCATGGCTCTGTTCGTGATGTCTGCCAACATTGGGCCATCTCTGGGATCCCCAGTAGGTGAGTGGATTGGTGATAAGGAGAACATGGGATTTGCCTGGATTTACTGGCTTAACTGTATTATTGGTGGTGCCTTTGCCATTGGTCTGTGCTTCATTCCAGAGACCCTTCCTCGTCTGGTCATCGCCAAAGCGGCCGCCAAGGAAGCTAAGGCTAAGGGTGAAGAAACCCCCTCCGATATTATGGACTCTTCATTCTCTGATGTCATGCATGAGATGAGATTCGTGTGTATGATGGCTTTGAGAATTTTGTTTACGGAGCCTCTGGTGATGTTCCTGGGTCTTTTCAACGGATTCACTTACGGTCTTCTGTTTTTGTACCTTGATGGTGTGTTTGACGTTTTCGTCTACAACAATGGGCTTTCTTACATCGTGGCCGATCTTACTTTCTTGAACTTCATTGTTGGTGTGCTCATCATGTTCTCTTTGGTGCCTATCCAAACTTATCTGTACAAGAGGGACCGTCTCAGAAATGGCGGTATTCCGAGACCAGAAGCTAGATTTTTGATTTCGCTCGTCAGTGTCTGGGGTTTCCCAATTTCTCTTCTTTGGTTCGGATTCACATCTGATGGAAACACAAGTTATTGGTCTCCGATTATTGCTGGTACTTTGCTTGGAATCGTGGATCCTTTGCTGTGGTTGAATATGCTTTCGTACATTGTTGATGCATATGCACCTGCAGGTCTTTCGGGATCTGCCATCGCTGCGTTCTCGATTCCCTCTTTTGCCATTGCAGGAGCTTTATCTCACGCAGGTGTTGCCATGTTCGAGAGAATGTCTACCAAATGGGCTGTGGCAACTCTTGGTTTCATTTCCTTCGGAGTCGTTGCCCTGGTTTACGTCTTCTACTTCTTCGGTGCTAAGATTAGAGGTGCTTCGAAGTTGTGTCGTGCTGGTGTCCACTATGTGGAGGGTCCAGTCGAGGAATATGTTGAGCAACAGGATCAACAAGAGGAGCAAAAGGAGTAGACAAATGCGTACTCAGCTGATAGTTTCTGTTACGCGGGTTGTTTGCGCAAAAACTGCATTCAATCCTTTGTTTCCCTAATTGCCATTCCTTCCTTTTTTTGTTTCGCCATCGCTTTCTTAGGATATACCCTTATATGTCGTGTATTATTTGGATGGTCTAATGAATCGTTCAGAGATGTTCAAAGAAATGTAGCTAAGTGTAGCTTTTGAAAGTCTTAGCGTGCTGGCTGTTCTCCAAGATAGCAAAGAATGTTGTGATTGAGTTACAATTGGTCTTAAAACGTTCAATTGGGTCTTGATCTTTCTAAAAATGGTGTACGAGTTTCAGGAACTTTTTCCCGTACTTTTCCAGAAATTTTATCAGAGCTGACGACTAGAGTCATATCTATAATCAACCAAGTTATCATCAACATGCTACGACCTCAATCCCACGGTAACCATGCAGCTACTGCAATCTTACATGCTTTATCGTCTTTTAGAATCAAATAACAAAATAAGGTGTTCGACCAATCAGGTTCAGGTTTCTGTGTCTGTGTATGATAAGGCCGCTATCAGGCTCTTTTGCCTTCAAGCGTTCTAACGCTTCCCGTTGGATGGCGATTGGGAATTGGAGGGTGGATGGTCCAAGAGAACCGGCTTCAACACATTTTCGTCAAAGTTGGTGAACCATTTGGCATGCTCATCCATGCTGAGAATGTTGTTCAAATTCAAATTTGAGTACAACCCATTGCTTTCGGCTGCTGAACCGGACACGGGAAGCGACATATCTGTGTCTGCGACATCACCAAGTCCCAAGTCTGCATTTGAAAAATGTCCACCGCTTATGAGATCGTTATGTGATCCGTTCCGTGAACGTGAATTGGAATCTCTGTAGGTATCACTCATAGGGATACTTGCTGCTGAGCTTGACGGAGCATCTTTGAACTTACGAACTTGCAAACCACGATCCGTTAAGCTTGGTCTTGGAGCTTCAATATCGAATTCGTCGTCACTTTCGGATTCTTCGGTGCATCCCGTTTTGATGTTCAGGATCTCAAGCATACCAGCCGTGGTTCCCCCAAACAATATCACGGTAAGCACCACTACCACTAACACAGTGGCCAATAATGGGTTTTTAGCCTCTCCCTGTATTCCCATTGCAAGCGCAACTCCCACAGCACCGCGCAGACCAGCCCAAAAGGTCATCATCTGGTAGTTATAAGGTATCTCATCGGTGATGATGGAATCACCACGGGAGATGGCTCTCATTCTGGAGACCCAGTTGACGAGACGCGATAATGGGAACACTGCGCACCATCTGGCCACACAGATGGAGAAGAACGAGATGATAATGAGTAAGGGCTTGAACACCAGCTCCACCTCTGTGAAAAGAGACAAACCCAGATAAATGAAGATGAAATTTTCGGAAAGCTGTGCAAGTAACTGGAAAATGTATTTCGTGGCAATTTGAGTCCTCCTGGACATATTAAAGTACGCATAATGTTTCAAGGTGATACCACAGAACAACAGCGAAACAATGCCAGACATGTGGCATCCGTTGGAAAAGAAGTACGATTCATAAGCAACCAATAGCACCAGGCAGGTTTCAATCTGGGGATATCTCCGGATATGAGTGTGTTTCAAAATCAAGGCCACCAGGACACCAATGATCAGTCCAATCAGAGTGGAAATGGTGAAAGTCATCAAAAAGAGCCCAATACCTTCAAAGATACTGGAAAAAGTAGGGTCTTGACCGTGAAACTTCTGGCATGTCTCAAACATCACGATACAAATGGCGTCATTTAGTAACGACTCACCAAAGATAATGGTGTATAGTTTTGGATCCACCTTGTAGGAGTTGAAGATAGACAGAATGGTGACTGGGTCCGTAGCCGAAAGAGTTGCCCCAACAGCAAGAGCGTCAACCAATGAAATATGGATGCTTTCAAGCCCAAGTTTGGTCCAAACGTAAAGGATTATTCCAAGAACAATTGCACTGATGAAAGTACCCGGGATTGCAAACGTCAGAATGGATCCTATGTTCCTAAAGAAGTTGGCTTGGTGGATCTCGTAGCCGGAATTGAGGATGATAGGTGGCAACAAAATGTTAAAAAAGTACGAGGAATTGAACTTCACCGCATCTTGAATATAGTGACCTGGTGAAACTCTTATGATAAGTCCTACTATCATTCCGTAGAAGATAGACAACACGGTCTCATGAACCGCCTTGACTCTTCTTTGTTGCAGATAGTATGACGACCAAAGGGCGGATCCAAGCAGGAACAAAATAATGAACAAAGCCCATGACGAGAATATTTCGTTCTCGACGGGATTCGATTCGCCTAGTCCACCGTCATCAGGGATATTCACCTCGGGTTGACCGTCGTCCTCCGTAGGGTCTGTAGGGTCAAACGTATCAGAACTACCCAGGACGCCGCTTCTCTTGACCAGAAACGAAATCACCTCAACGGTTAACGAGGACATTGCAGAGTTTCGAATTGATATGCTCGAGCTCGACAAAAGTGCTCTTGTTCGCAACGTGTAAAAATGTGGTTCTGGATGCCACACGCATTAACAGCCACGCAAGGGATCTGAGATCAGCATGGTTATGCAGCCCCGCCACTCGAAAATGGCTAGCGTGTTGAAAGCCGATCTTTCATGCTTCACTGATGGAAGAATAATATCACGACATTGCAAACGAAATCGCATTTAAAACATGGTTGGCCGTCCTATTGTCATTTCCGGTCCTTCGGGAACCGGTAAGTCCACTCTTTTGAAAAAACTGTTCGCTGAGTACCCAGACCGTTTCGGATTCTCTGTGTCCAACACAACAAGAAGCCCTAGACCGGGTGAAGTTGATGGTAAGGACTACAACTTCTCCACTGTTGAGGAATTCAAGAAGCTCATCGATGACAACAAATTCATCGAATGGGCTCAGTTCTCCGGCAATTACTACGGAACTACCATCAAGGCTGTCCAGGCGGTTGCTGAGGTTTTGAAGAGAACGTGCATTTTGGACATTGATATGCAGGGAGTTAAGTCGGTCAAGAAGACTGACTTGAACGCGAGATACTTGTTCCTCGCACCACCTTCGATTGACGAGCTCAAGAAGAGACTCGAGGGAAGAGGCACCGAGACCCAGGAGTCTATCGACAAGAGGATCGCCGCTGCCAGTGCTGAAATGGCTTATGCTGAGACCGGAGCTCACGATCTGATTATAGTTAACGATGATCTGGACAAGGCCTACAAGCAGCTCAAAGATTTTGTTCTTGCTGAGGACTAATTGTGGTTGTTTCAAAATGAATAGATTAAACAATTACGTGATATCACCAGTGTAGTTGAGGTTGTAGATGAAACGCTATATAGGATACGGCACCATAGAACCAGCCACACCGGTTCATTGAGCAGAATATGGAATTCACTACGGACTAACTATAGAGTGAACGATCAGCACTGTAGAGATATGATACCGTCAAAATGATGAGCAAATTCGAGAGTATTTCATGGTAGTTACAATGATCAGCTGTAGAGCAAGCATATAATAGGAATGGCTGACTATGGATAAGTATGAAGCAGATGTTGGTATCACTCTTTGATATCACCAATCAAATGCCTGCAGTCAACTGAACTAAATTCCTGAGCTTGTGTGAAACCAGAATCATATTTCTTCTTCAGTTTTTGATCAAATAATATATAACTCTGGCGAAACGTACACCAAAGTATAGTTTTCCATTCCCATTTGAAGATTCAAGCTCAGTGAAATTTGACAGCCCCCAAATTCCACAACAGGAAGGTTTGCTCATCCAGGAGTCGGGTCTGAATTCACTCCATAGTTTATCATGCACTTGCTTCTGTGCTCTTTCTCTGACGTTATCTCAGTATTTCAATCTCATTATATTCTCCCGAAATGGCATCGCAATCATATCCATCCTCATTTGATGAGCCAATGCAAGAGGAGGAGTAAGTCACTAAGTTTTGGTTATTTCCGAACCAGTCACTAACACCAGCCAGGACCTTCCTTGATAAACTCAAGTTCAAGTGCAAACAGCAACCGCTTGTTCCACTGGGATGTCTTGCTACATGTGTTGCTATTGGTCTTGCAACCCATGCGATCAGAAAGGGTAATTCTCCCACTGCTCAGAAATGGTTCAGAATGAGAGTTGTGTTCCAGGGCCTAACCATAGTGGCGCTACTGGGTGGTTCTGTGATTTACGATAATGTTGCGAAGGAAGAAAAGAGTGCAGAGGACATTGCTCGTGAAAAAGCTAAACTCAGAGAGAGATTGTGGATTGAAGAGTTGGAGAGGAGAGACTACGAGGCCAAGGAGAGACAGCGCCGCGCAGAATTAGCGCGTAAGTATAAGCTTTCTGAGGAGTCGGAGAAATGAAAAACTCCTCAAGATTATGCCACTTTTGACGATATTCTTTAATGATACCTGTATATATGAGAAATGTGTAGAACGGATGAGTAGTCTGGGTGGGGATTGATTAAAGTGGCTTAGTATCGGGAGGTTAATCAATTCTGGTTTAAAACTAAGTCATAACCAACCAGGATGTTCATATTAATCATATACTATATGGAGAGGTGATTCCTTGATTTCTGGGTGATCAAAAGCTTCGTGTTGTGGTCCGAGATACGGTGGTCCGGTCCGACTCGTACGAATGCAGAGAGTGATGCTCATTATCTTCTGTTATTTATCATCCATAGGTTCTATTGGTGGAATCAGGTGATTATTGAGTGACATGATACTCACCTAATGTTCAATGATTTGGTATAGTACATATGCAGGTGATAGAACCAGGCCTTAACATTCACACCCGAGCACTGTACCGTTCAAACTCATGTTTAAAATTAAAGTCACATTCAATGCTTTTCAAGATAATTTTGCTCTTTCAGGATCAAAAGATAATCTGCATAATTTTTTACATTTTGCATAGAAGCGGAATCAAGTTTACGTAACTGCATGCCGAGCTCTCTACGAAAAACTTAAACTGAACCTGAATATCCAAATTTTGAACGAAAACAAAAACCTCATCTTTTAAACATCGGTCTCATCTGTCTTGGTCAACCAAGCCTTCTTTGATCTGAACGCAGCAAAGTATCCCGAAGTGTAGCCCTTCACAGCAGTGCTCTGTATCAAGTCTCCATCAACGGTAAACTGCACCTTATCGAAGTAAAGAGGATTAACATGTTCCTCAAACATCTGGTCCATTTCCAAAGCTGTTCTGTTCTTGGACTCAGGAAGGAAAAATAGAACGAAGACGAACAAAACGACCGATGTTCCGAACCACACATACATGATTTTCAATCCCATATTGACCTCATCTGGATTGTAAAGGAAAGGAATCAGATATCCCAGACCAAACCCAATCAAACTGTTAACATTAGATGCCACAGCAACGGTCTTTGGTACCAATCTTGAGGACGGAATCTCCACCATGATGGCATAAGCGTTAGAACCAATAGCAAATTGGTAGACAAATGACCACAAACAGATGAAAACCACCAAAACATATCCAGAAGCAGACGAAGATGCCAATGACATGCTTCCCGTGAGCAAGTTGCAAATACCCAGAAACATAACTCCGTAAACGAACAGCTTTCTCCGAGGGATTTTCTCCAAGAGGACGTAAGACAACATATTTCCACCCACAGCAATTGTCATAACTCCCACGGTCTTCTCGTTAGAAGAGCTGATTCCAGCGTTTTCAAAGAAGTAGTTGATGTAAGGAAGAACAAACGTAAACCCAACCCATTGCTGACCTGTAAGCACAGCAGTCACGATTAAAAGTCTCCAGAACTGAATTCCCTTGAAGACTTCCAAATACGAAATGTTCTTGGAATGTTCCTTCTCGATGGTCTCCTTTTGCACTTGCGCCACCAGCAAATCTAAATGTCCATCCAGGTCGTAACCTGTGTTTTCTCCGTAGATTTTGTGCAAAACATCACGGGCCTTGTCGATTTTGCCCCGCTGCACAAGCAGAGCTGGTGATTCTGGCAAAACTGGAGATACCAGCAGGAAAACGGAAACAAGAATAAACTGGACTGAAAGACTCACCTTATAAGCTCTGTTATCGTCGATACCTGGGTATGATCTGGAACAACCCATGACCGTGATGGCCGCCAAAAATTGACCAAAACAGATAGAGAAGTTGATACCGATCGCAGCGTAACCTCTGAGTTTGGGTGGTGACAGTTCCGAGAGATAGGGAGGAACAACTGTGACGAGAACACCAGTTCCCAAACCCATAATACATTTTCCTGCCACCAATACAGCAGCATTCTTGGCAGTGACCTCAATTACTGCGGCGACAATGGCAATAATAGCGGCAACACAAAGTGTGTAACGACGACCGATCATATCACTGAACTGACCTGCGAACAAGGAACCCACAATTTGGGTTCCTTGGGAACCTCCATTCCAACCTGACTGGTAGACGGCCTTGATGACCCAGCCCTGTGAAGCCTCGTTCCAGTATCCGTATTCCTTTCTGAATGACTCTAACCCCAGCATCAAACTGAAAACCATGGAGTCGATACCGATACCTATAGAAGCCGCGAAGATAATGGCCATGTACTTGATTACGCCTCTAGCTGCCTTGAGTTGCTCCATGAGCGGGACCTCCTCCTCTACGACTGGGCCCTTCTCGCTGGAAGCGTCGATATCGATATCGTTGTCGTGAAAGTTTTCTTCAATGTGTTCCGTTGTGTCTTTCATTTTTAGAACAATAAACTCTAACCGACCCAAGACCATATCCTCCAGATCCCTTACGGATTTCAAATACTTATATACTCGGCGACTCACACCATTCAATATGATTAAATTTCTTGGTGCGTCTTTGTGCGTCGATTTGCAGGGAGTCCCAAGTATGTGGGGCAGTTCTTTGAACCTCCTCACACCCCCTTCGGCATCCATAAATTTCCCGGAAACTTGAAAGGCTGAACTACGCCTGCATAATTGTTCATGTGAACACTCACAAAGTGGTGACCAGCCTAGAATCTGGTCATGAGACCGTAAAATGTGCTATACAAAATCCTAGGACAACATGTAGAATTTCGTGATTACATAATCTATTCTGGTGACCACCATTTCCCCGGATCGAAGAGCGCAGCGTATATACGGGGCTGGGATTAATGATACGAAAATCCCAAAGCCCAGATTGGCTACATAGGCTCCCACTGGAAACCTTTGGGGTATAACCCCACATTTCTTCTAAACCATAAATTCAGAATCAAGATTTCAAACGATATTTCGCCCGAAGCTGCGTAAAATCTTGAAATTTTAAGACCCATTCAAAAGCCGCATGGGGTATGCATGCATGACCCCGCGCACTTCAGAGACTAGTTCTGTTTTTTAAGATTTTCACCCCAAAATGGGGTGAAATCGTTAAATTCTCCGGTAGTGCAATATATACCCCCAACCCGTCCCCGCGATGAGCTGACAATGATCCGAACGGAGCATTTAAAAATCCGAAGCCAGGGCCTGATTCCAGTTGGGAATGCGACCAGCCTAATTGGCTTCATTTCGAGATTTTGTCTCAAGATTTTCTTCCACATCCGGAATCAGGATGTTCGCTTATATAGAGTGAGGTGCCTTTCTATATCGTCTTGCTTCTAAGCCTTCTTCCAAAGTTTGTTTGCCAATAATCTAACCATGCCTGGCGCCAAATTTTACCCTCAATCCACGGAAGGATTCTCCCTGGAATTGTTCAATAACCCGCCTGCGGACTACAGAGGTGCTCCGTTGTGGTCATGGAACAATAAGCTGAACAAGGAGCAACTGCTCTATGAAATTGATGTGATGAAAGAGATGGGTTTCGGAGGCTACCATATCCATGCCAGAGCTGGTCTTGATACCAAATATATGGGCGACGAGTTCATGGATCTGGTGCAGGATTGTGTTGAAGATGGTAAAGAAAGGGGAATGCTCACTTATCTATACGATGAGGACAGATGGCCCTCGGGAAGTTGTGGAGGTGCCGTTGTTAAGGCAAACCCAGAATTTCGTGCGAAACATCTGTTGATGACGAAATTTCCATATGGTGAAGCCCCAGACACCGAGCCACCAGCATTCACTCTTGGTTCCATTCGTATGGAAAACGGTAAATTGGTGGGTGTTTACAGTGTTGAGCTGGACAAGGCTGGATTTTTGAAGAAATACACCAAGTTGGCCGATAACGAGGTTGCGGCTGCCAAGGGAGATCCTGCAGTTTCGGTCTGGTACGCATATCTGGAGTACGACGCTCCTTCCATGTTTTTCAATGGCTCTTCTTATGTGGATACTCTCAATAAAACGGCCATTGATGCTTTTATTCAGAGCACCCACGAGAAATACTACTCCAAGGTTGGAAACGAGTTTGGTAAGGCCATCAAGTCCATCTTCACGGATGAGCCGCAGTTCTCACACAAATCTGCATTTGAGAAAGCGGATACGCAAGAGGAGGCATTTTTGCCATGGACTACAGACTTAGAAGATACTTTCAAGGACAAATACGGCTATTCTTTGTTGCAAAAAGTTCCAGAGTTATTCTGGGATATTAGAGATAATGCCTCTAAACCCAGATACCATTACCACGACCACGTCTGCGAGCGTTTCAACGAGGCTTTTGTGGATAACATTTCTGCATGGTGTGAGGATCACGGAATATCTCTTGCAGGTCACATGATGCACGAGGAAGATCTTCTGACTCAGACCGAGGCCTTGGGAGAGGCCATGAGATCCTATAGAGCGTTCCCTCTTCCAGGTATCGACATGCTTCAAGACAAACATGAGTACCACACTGCTAAGCAGGCTCAGTCTGTGAGCCATCAGTACAACAGAGAAGGTGTTTTGTGCGAGGCTTATGGTGTGACTGATTGGAACTACACTTTCCAAGGCCACAAGTCGCAGGGTGATTGGCTCGCTGCTTTGGGAGTAACCATGAGATCTCACCACCTTACATGGGTCTCCATGAGAGGTCAATCAAAGAGAGATTTCCCAGCCTGTATTGGCTACCAATCTCCATGGTATAAAGAGTATTCCCTGGTGGAGAGTCATTACGCCAGACTAAACACTGCTCTTACTCGTGGTAAGGCAGTTATCAAAATTGGTGTTATTCATCCTATTGAGAATTACTGGCTTGCTTATGGACCATGGCAGACCTCTGTCGCTGAGAGACAGCACCGTATGGAGAATTTCGATGCCTTGATCAAGTGGCTATTGTACGGATTGCTTGATTTCGACTACATTTCTGAGTCATTATTGCCAGACTTGAACGATTTGGACAAGATTTCCAATAAGTTTGAGGTTGGCTCTATGGCCTACGATGCTATTATCGTTCCTTCAGCAAAGAATTTAAGAAAGACCACCTACGACAGATTGCTTAAATTTGCATCCAATGGTGGCAAGGTGATCATTATGGGTGAAACCCCATCTTTGGTTGAAGTCACTCCCGAACCAGAACTTATCTCTAAACTTGTGGCTGAAAGTGAGTCCATTCCTTTCAACTACAAGGCACTTCACGATTCCTTGCTTCCTTTCAGAGAAGTAGGTCTTGAGTTCGTTAATCCAAAGGATCCTCTGTGCCTGCTCTACTCTCGTTATAAAGAGAATATCCTGTACAATATGAGAGAGGAATCTGATGGATCTAGGTGGTTGTTCATGTGCAACACCGACAAAGTTCAACAGAGACCTAACGCTTTGATCACTTTGAAGGGAACCTGGGATCTAACTGGGTTGGATACTCTCAATGGTGGTGAGTTTGACTTGGCCTACACAGTTGATGCTGAGAGAAACGTGACCGAGTTTTACCACACCTTCCATATTCTTGGATCTCTATTGTTGCGCTTGATCCCTGCAAAATCTGCCAAATATGAGGCTGCTGAGATTGTTCCAAGAAAACAGATTTCTGAGCTTATGTTGGCCGAGCCTGTCGGGTTCAGCTTGGAAGACCCAAATCCTCTTTTGCTTGACAGAGCCTTCCATAAATTGCCAGACGGAACTTGGTCGGAGACTGACGAAGAGATTCGCAGACTCGACAACATTTTGCGTAATGAAAGTGGAATTCCAAAGCATGGATTCTCTACTATCCAACCTTACTGTGTTGAGGATAAGAAGACTCTTCCAAGTAAACGTGTATACTTGAGGTTTGAGTTCAATTCTGAAATTGATGTTGCTAAGTCTCATCTTGCTACTGAGCATCATTCTTCACCCCACTTCTCCTTCGATTCGCAGTTACAGCTCAAATTTGATGGAGAAGATGTGGAGATCAAGGAAGACGGGTTTTTCGTTGATTGGGACATTGCTAAAGTGAAACTGCCAGCTTTCAAGGCTGGTCACCACGTGATCGAGTATTCCGTCATCTTCAACGATTTCGTTACTCTGGAATGGTTGTATATCCTTGGAGACTTCGGTGTCAGCTTGACTGGTAAGTTTGCCACTATTGTAGACTTGCCAAAGACCCTGGCTATTGGTGATTATGCTTTGCAAGGTCTTCCATTCTACGGTGGAAATTTGATCTACAACATCCCCGTTGCGGATTTGAAGATTCCAGAAGGGAAGAAACACTTTTTGAGAGTTGCTGAGTTCAAAGGACCAGTTGTTGAAATTTCCCTGGATGATAAGCGTGTTGGTGTGATTGCGTTTGACCCATTTGAGATTGAGTTGCCAGAATCGTTCCAGAACTCCAATATCTTACAAATCAAGGTATACGGAGACCGTGAAAATACCTTTGGCTCGTTGCACAACAACAATCCACCATATCCATGGTGTTGGCCAGGAGCATGGAGTGAGACGGGAGACAGGTGGACCTATCTTTACAGACTTGGTCAGAAGGGTCTGGTGAACCATCCACAGATCATTGGCGCTTGAGTGGATTACGGTATGCTGAGTAAAATAAATGGAATCATGGTTATAGCTATACATATACCTTTGAAGAGTAGAAAAACTTTTTGAAAAGGCATTTACATGCAGTTCAAAATACTAAATAGTACGTGCGGCTCAGGTCAATTGAGGGACCTGTGAAAATGGGACCATGCATCTCGGCCACCGCATATCTCGTTTGAAGAGGCTTAATATTTCACCACCTTTATTAACTAAATTTCAAACCATATGCTGCTAACTCGACCATCTGTACGCTTTTTAAGTCCATTTTCTGTTAGGATACGGTGGAATTCCACTTCTGCAGTACAATGGTTCTACGCAACGGATATTCCGGACTCCAAACCGCCAGAGTTCAACTACACTCAGTCGGTAAGACCGAAGGAGTTTCTTCCGTTTGCCAAGTTTGATTCCCAGAACCTGGAGAAAACCTACCAGAAGCTGATAGAAGGTGATGATGTATCGGAAGAGCTTTTGGTGCAAGTAAATGAGGACAACCTATTTGAATGTGATCTGCGAGAATTCGTAATGAGACCTACGTATTGGAGCGGAGCGGTTTACGAAATCCGGAGAGGACTCTGGTTCCACGAGAATTTGCCACTTCCAGGACCCATTTCTGATCAATTGGAGCAGATATTCCTTCATAGCCCGGAAGTTCAATCCAAAAAGCCAATTATGAAGGAATTGACGGATGAAATTGAATACCTCAAAACCGCAACTGTTGCTTGCTATTCGCCTAGTGTTCCGGATAAAGACCTGTCCGTGCAACAGGTGGCTGTCTTTGCAGGAAAGAGCGTGTATCTATATGGCAAGGGGTCCAAGTTTGTTAAACTTCAAATGGATTTGTTTGCAGATACGACCTTCGTTCCGCCTGTTGGAAGTAAAAAGGTTACCAGAGGGTATCAGGGAATGCCAAAAGGAGAGGCCGAAAATAAGAAGGGTTCCGACCCCAGCAACCCGACTCAAGAAGAGTCGATTCTGGACTTTGTCAAGACGGATTGGCTGGGTCTTGATAACTCCAATGAGAAGTTCAAAGCTGAGGTTAAAGGCGATTATACCAACGAGCCCGCTAAGTCTGAGAACGCTGGTGATAGAGAGGTTGATCATCTGGTATTCTGTGTACACGGAATTGGACAAAGTCTCGGAACCAAAATTGACAGTGTGAATTTCATACACACATGCAATAACCTGAGAAAAGGCATCAAGAGTGTGTATCAGGGTAACGAGAGATTGATAAAAATGGCCGCCATGCCAAATAATAATGGGGATGCGAACAACTGCAAAGTTCAAGTATTGCCAATAATATGGAGATATAACGTTGATTTTTCGACTAAACGCCCTTTCCAAGGAGCTGATGAACAAAGATTGCCCTCGCTGGACGATATAACGGTTGATAACATTCGTCAGCTGAGAAGCGTTCTGGGCGATGTCGTCCTGGACATTTTACTATATTATGTTCCCGAATACAAAACGCAGATATTGGAGAGTGTGATCGAACAATCGAACTCGCTTTATGAGAAATATCTTGAGAAGAATCCCAATTTCAAGGGAAAAGTCAGCTTGCTAGGCCATTCGCTTGGTTCAGCTATCTTCTTCGATATCCTTGCATCGCAGCCAGATAAAGTGGAGAATTTTGATCGGAGAAAGCATTTGGCATTTGACGTGGAGAATTATTTTTCATGTGGATCACCAGTCTCCGTTTTCAAACTTTTGAAGAAACAAAATATCGCTTCTAGATCGCAGGTTCAGGTGTCAGATGATAGCAATGTCGATCTGGATCCTGTCCAGGCCTTGAAGGTGAACAGCTACTACAATATTTTTTACTCCACGGATCCCGTTGCTTATCGTTGTGAGCCTATGATGGATTTGAGGATGAAAGATTTCTCTCCCCAATCCATATCATTCGCTACTTCGGGAATCAACTCTCATATTAAGAGTCTCACCAGCATGGGAGACGACCTAGGTGAAAAATTGGATACTCTATTTAGCGGGGAGAAGGAGCACCAACAGAAGAACGTGAACAAGAAGAAAGTCCCCGAAGAATTGCGCAGAAAAATGCTGGCAATTAATAGGAACGGAAGAGTTGACTATGTAATGCCGGAAAGACTGTTTGAATTATCCCTATTGTCCGCATTAGGGTCTCACATTCAATACTTTGAGGACGAGGACTTTGCAGGGTTTTTATTACAAGAACTATATAAGTCATAGGAGGTCATCCAGCGTTTGCTCGGAGTCCTTCTTTATCAAATCAAGCATTCCAGGAGGAAGAATGGCTCTTCCCTCGGCGTCCAGCACGTATCTAAAAGGCATCTCTGTAGCTTCGTGCTTGCTAAACCTGATTTCTGGATAGTCGATGAATTTCACGTTTTCAAATTTGATACTTTTGGCCACGATTAACTGGGTCGTTCTTATGGCAGTATCTGTGGTCATCTGCAAATTTCCGAGACGTCTGCCAGCAAAACCGTACTTTTTGCGTAATTCGCCAGTGCGGTCTCTGGGAGGATGGTCTCCTAGAATACCTCCGAAGACAAAGTATTCAAATTTCTCGCTATCTTCGGGTACAAGATCAGTGTCAGCGCGAGGATCAAGAAGACACACTCTTGAAACATCCTCGATCACGTTTATCACTTCCTCTGTGGTCCATTGGAGTCCAGCTTCACGTAGCTTCAAAGGAATGTCCTGCTCGGTAGTTCCAACGGGCAACGAGGTCAGAATCAGATTCTCCTTTCCAATCTCAGACAACACGCACAAATATTCCAGGATCACCCATTCGGTGAAGCCCTGTTCCATGTGCTCGATGATGTATTTCATTGTTAGCAGAGTGGACTGTGGTAAGCGTAGAAACAGTTAGTATGGATGTCTGCATAACGTCTGAAAAATTTGGAGATACCTGAGATGAGCTTGGACTTTTTGGACTAATCTACATTTTATTAAAAAATTTGGGAATCCTTAAACCTTTCCGAGGAACACAAAAATTTGTACATAATTAGCAATATTTAAAAGTTGTCTTTTCGGCACCTTTAGGTTATTTGAATAGTTTCCTTGGTAGAGCTTTCCTTTCTATGTTCTTCCCGCGAAGAATTAGAGTGAAGAAACAACTCCTTACATCAATGCTAGCAATACCTTGAACCCGAGCATTCGCATTGTTCTGGGTAAACGTATAAACCACGGTACAAACCACGGTATCTCCACATACACCCTTATAGCATATATCCTACTTCTTCACACCAGTTGCGGGAGTAGGCCCCAGTCCACTTCTCTGCTGAACTGCCCTTGATCTGAGGACGTTGGCAAAGTATGCTTCCCGTTCCCTCACTGGCAACTCGGGAAACTGGCCGCCAACATCTTTCTCCTCAACTCTTCGAAAATGCTGGCTCAGCATGTTCAGTCTGTTAATCGCAGGAGCTGACATTTCCAAATAAGCTACCAGCTCAAGAAACCGTTATGACTGTGCCTGATTACGGCTATCTAAGCGATTAGTGGTTTCAGAAAGCATGCAACGTACTGACACGCCTGAGTCTTGACAGAAAATCTTAGAATCGTTATTGACACGATAGAAGGCGACAGCTTCATGAGATTGGGAATAGCCTCTATCCAACATCCATGTATGTCTTTCTTTCTTCAGCCGTAAAAACAACAAGAAACACAGATGTCGGAACCGGAATCAGATAATGTGACCTTTCCAGCTCTGGAAACGTATCTCACAGATGCAAATGCCCCCGTTATTGGTGAGTACCAACAAATATTGATTGCTCATCTTTCCCCGCGTACTAACCTAATCAGTGAGGGCGAACCAGAAGGACTCATATTTCGAAAACGTTCTTCGTGGTAAACTTCAAAATGTGATACAAATATTCAAAGGCCAAAGAATGGTCCATACACACCCGGAGGAAATAACCGTTGGTGCAAAAGCATTGTATCTTGCGCTAACCACTCTACTAGGCTCCAAGACGTTGGGCGAGGAGTATACCGATTTGATATACGTGTCAAGAAACAAGAAGAGGATTCCCAAGGTGCTGACGCGTCTGACATTTATTCTCTCGTATACGGTGTTGCCCTATTATATTTCGCGATGGTTGAGGCGTGTGCAACTTCGTGAGGAAAAAGAGGAAGATGAGAAGACTGCGACTTCCAAAGTTAAGAGGAGATTGCTGGGATTTTTCAAAGCCGTTTCTTATGTAAAGGCTGTTGATGTGTTACTGAATATTCACATTGCGATTTTCTACTTTTACGGGAGTTACTACAATTTTTCAAAAAGACTGCTTGGAATGCGGTATGCTTATGGTCACAAGGTCAATGAGCAAAATGCCCCTAAGGGTAACTACGAGTTGCTGGGTGCGTTGATTATGCTGCAGTTGTTTCTCAAGGGAGTTGGAAAGGTGGACTCGGTGATTCAACAGGAGAAATTGAAACAGGTAAATGCCAGCGCGGAGGATGACAATAATGATGAAGGAGACGGTGTATTCTATGATGCTCCTATCCAGGACGAAGATAACCAGTTCGAGTCGGCGATTGATCTGTCAGACCCGGATGTTCTACCTTATATCCCCGAGGATTCGCGAAAGTGCATGCTGTGTCTGTCATATATGACTAACCCGTCTTGCGCGCAATGCGGCCACTTTTTCTGTTGGGGCTGTATATTGGACTGGTGCAGGGAGAACCCTCATTGTCCGTTGTGCAGACAACCTGTTTTGGAACAGCATTTATTGCCATTGAGATGAAGAGGGAATATTAGGGCAATATGATACTATTTAGAAGATTGTCACAGATATCTGTCTATTCACTATAGCCCATAATGGATTAGCAACTGCTTGCCCTTCTTTTTTCTGTTTTTTTCTGTGCCATTCCTGGAGGCATCAAGAGCCTCACTGAATGACGACAAGTCTAAATGAGACGAACTACCACTGATTGGACTGGCTGATCCTGATCCCGCAAGACTTGGTGAACCCCATTGACCAAGACCAGTCTGAACGGGATTCACTCTGGGTGGCCTGTACTTTGTCTCTCTAGCTTCTAGCGCTGGAAACTTGGAAGTGTCTATCTTTGGAGCTTTAGAACCAGCACTAGGAGAAGCCCATGAAGTTTTTGAGGAGGAAGCAGAGCTGGGTCCATTGTAGACATTCAGTCTCACTGGTTTGGAGGACCTAGTAACCGAAGGAATATTGGAGATGCTGGGAGAACTCGAAGAACCTCCAGAAAGTTGTGGAAACAGCTCCGAGTTTATGGCCTTCTTTTTCTTCTGAGTCTGAGAGTTATTCCAACCTGAGATCACCACTCGAGATTCGGGTGTGGTGCCTGGAAGGGCCGGGAACAGCTTGTCGAACTCCTCGCCTTTAGGCGTAGACGATCCCGTAATAGCGTTCAATTGCATTCTTTTCTCTGAAGTCTCGGGATAAAGCTTTGCAAGATCAAAAAGAAGAAGCGAGATATCAGCTTCTGGGTTTTTCTTGAACAACACTTTGTACTTTTCGTTAATGACAGAGGCCGGCATAGTGCCTGCATCAAATGCCGAGTTGATAGCAACGAACTCGCTGAAATCCTCGGACGAATTGTTCAGGTAAAACCGAGCTCTCTCATTCAGACGCTTTCTCCTTGTTTCAATAGAATCTTTGGACTCTTCTGACTCATTACGTCCATTTCGTGTCGGCTGCGTAGGAGCACGGAACGTCGATAATTGCGACCCAAACCCGTGATCACTGACACCGAATTGAAACAGATTGTTATTGCGTCCAACTATGTCCTGATGATCCTTCAACATATGCGCTCTAAGATCGAGATCGTCTCTGAAAACCACAAACTTCTGCTCCAAACACGAGGGAACGGTGCATATGTAATGAGTGGCTCTGAAATGGTTTTCCAGCTGCGGGTAATCTTTGAAGTATTGAGGTTCAGTCGAGTCAATCTGTTCACAAACATGACATTTCTCGTGATCAGACCTCATGTGAACAAAAAGCTCGTCTGAAGAGTAAAACCTCTTCCCAGCACAAAACTTGCAGGCCGGATGACCATGGAACCCTTCTTCGTCTCCCTTCACCTGGTGCTGGTGAATTTGCTTAGGTGTGTATAATTTTAACTCCGAAACAAATGCCTTCTTGTGGTATGCGCAGATCAAACAATAAAGCCTGTCATGAGCCTTTTTCACATGCTCACTGAGTTTCTTGAAAGAAGGGAACTCTGTTGCATCACACTGCTTCATGGGACAGGTATTGCTCAGCAGTTTCATAGCTTCTTCCTTGACGTGTTCAGACGTAAAATCAATCCCATAAGTCTCATTGCTGCTGGCAAAATCGGCCGTCGTGAAGTCCGAGAACTGCTTCGTAATCAGATCTGTGAATGTGGTTCTCGGCTGCTCGGTTCTGCAAACAAAACAGCTTTTTTTCTCATACAAAGCCCTTTGCCTTAAGGCACACTCATGACAAGTTGTGTGACCACATGGCAACAAAGCTGCGTATACCAAATCATTCGTACAAATAATGCACTGGAGATCGTTGTGATCTTCGTCCTGCACCTGCTGAGCGGTGGGTTTCTGACTGACCGCCGGACTGCGCGAACCCCCAGGAGTCCTACCCGAGCTATTTTGACTACGGGCCTTGCTAGGACCTTTGGCTTTTCTTGGAGCCTCCTTTCGCGCTGACATGTGGATAATTGGTGTGGTTTAGTGGAGCCTTCAGTCGTCAAAAGTTTTTTCTTTGATGAAAAATGGAGACAGAGATTAGAGGTCCAGATTAGCATGGGCACGTTCTTTAAGAGAAGGTGAAAAATGGAGAAGGGAAGAGTGCCATGATAATTGTAATATTCAGTTGGAAATTAAAACAGATTGCACCATGAATATCAGTGCGACGTTGAATGTCTCCAAACTTTTGGTCAAGCCCTCGTTGGCAATGCCTCATTTGCAGGTGGAGACCTTCGCAGACCTTCCAGTGCCAATACGATTCCCACAGTCTATCAGTACACAGATCAAAGCCGTTGTTTTGGACAAAGATAATTGTTTCGCGAAAAACCACGACGACAAGGTGTGGCCTGAATATGAGGTAAGTTTTTCTGTTAAGCCGTTTGTAAAGCTTGGATTTTTTTACAATCAACTAACCCATATCATAAGTCCAAATGGAATGATCTCAGATCCAATTACCCCAATGCCCAGCTACTCATAGTCAGCAATTCGGCTGGAACTAACGATGATCTGGATCACATACAGGCAGAGGTCTTAGAAAAAAATACCGGAGTCAAAGTTTTCCGCCATTCTACGAAGAAACCGGGATGTCATGTCGATATCATGGATTACTTCCTCAAGCATAAGGTGGTGAGTGGTCCCCATGAAGTGGCAGTTGTGGGTGACAGGCTGTTCACGGATATTCTCATGGCTAATATGATGGGATCATGGGGCGTTTGGATCAGTAAAGGAGTCTTCGAGTCTCAATCGGTAGTTTGTCAATTGGAAAGGCAATTTTTCAGCAAGGTCAGTGCTTACGTGAAGGCTGTACCGCCGCACGCTAAAAGCGAGAAAAAATAGGGCGCTTATTTAAAAGTGTGAATAAGGCGGGTAAATTTTGCAACCAATTGCATTGTTCTCCAGAGTCTCAAGACAATGTCGACAATTAGACCCAGCGTTAGATCCCTTTTATTTTCGCCGGATATTCAAGTTCTGGGTGAGCATGACGTCTTGGACATTGTCGGTTGGAATTCTGTATTTCCCGATAAATGCTGCGAAATAGTGTGTCGTTCTTTGAGCATCTCACTGTTTTGTCAATACCTCTCAGCTTATGCTCTGTTTCCAATGGATGAGATTAGCGGAAGACCGCGTGTGGCTACGGCCTGTGGGCTCTATCTGTTCCTTCTGGTATGTGGAAACCAAATTCTGGTCTAGCGAGCATGGCTCTAACGTCCAACCTTCGAAACGAAGACGCTATACAGTATAGTCCTTTGGCCAATGGTGGAAAGGTCAGGCCCTTCTTTGTTGTGTTTCCGATGTTTTGTGGCATTGTGTTCTCTTCAACTAGCTGCCTTGGTATTGACCATATGGTCAGTGATTGCTATACTTTTTTCTGATGATAGGTTCATCTTGAGTAAAGGGTGCTCTGAGCCGCCCTGTCAGAAAACTGGGAAGGATATAACTCATTTCCTCGAGGTTTCGTATTCTCTGTCATTGGGGGTTACTCTCGTTACGCTGTAAGAGGTATACCACACTATGATTCCTTTTCAACTTCATGCCAACTAACCTGAAAAAGTGCCTTATCCGTTGCATCGACACTGCTCTATGGAGTACGCATACATAGATGTGTCAATCACAGTACTACTGCTGCTGTGGAAATGTATTCCCACGATGTTGATCTTCCAGTTGAAGACAGAAGGCTTGTGGATAGTCAGTTTGTTGCATAGAAAATAATAATATAGCATAATACAGCATAATAGTACACAAAATAACAGGAATATTTAGAAATATGCCATCCACAGAGTATCTGTAGTTGCAAGGTTTCTTGGGTTAACAGCCAGAGAAATCAAGTTCAACACATGTTGAGACGCAATGTTCTGGCCATTGCCCATCTGACCAAGTTGGGATACACGTCTGACGACGGACTCGACGTTGACGCGGACAATTTCACGAAGCTGAGGATCTTGAGCATTAGGACGGTGTTGTTGAGCAAACCAAGATATTATTTCATCTCTCACGAACAAACTCAGGTACTGTTCCATGTCGAACTCTTGACCAGATAAGCACTGGGCGATGACCATGATATAGGTGGACAGAATGCCCTCCAGACCAGAGTCACCGATCATCTTCTGAACGTTTGGAGTCAAACGGAAAGGAACAGACTCGTTGTTGAAAAATAGAGGAGAAGCACGTTGAGCAGAGACATCCAAGCTACTGTTAGCATAGGCGGTGCTGTGGGTTCTGCCACTAGCAAACTTGCAAGGCAGCATCTCGGAAGTCCAAATTGTACCGGAACCCTGGTTGATGTGGATCTTTTGAGGTTGACGACTGTTGATGCATAGCATGTATGTCATGAAGATAAAGGATGCATATTGAGACGAGAATTGCTTTCTGAATATCCAGAAATCCTGGAAGTTCTGGAAGTTTCCTGTGAAGTAGTCCTTCAACACCGTGGATGGAACCAACATAGATTGGATGGCACCCAGAATTTCAGTCTTCACACTGGTCAAGTCGGGCTTGGGCAAACGAGGATCAAAGGCCGCACGCAGTTTTTGAATAGTGTAGGCAAATGGCTCATCCTTGTTCTGGTTCTTTCTGCAGCAATAGTCCTCATATACTGCAAGCATGTTGATGTACCGGCTATCATCTGTCATGATTCTGATGTGAGGAGACAAAGGAACGGCAATTGGCAAAGTGAGCTGAATGTTACGACGACGGCTCTGAACTTTTCTCGAAAGAGCATCGTTGAAGATCCTGAAAAGCTGGAATATTCTCTCTTCTCTGCGGCAATGTCTGGCAGCAGGGAATTGAACAGCAAACGGATGGAGACTACCATCATGACCTCTTATAGTCATTCTCTTGTAGCATGCAATAGGTCCTCTGATCAAATCCAGTGTAGGCATAAACCTCTCGATCTTGATAAAGTGGCTATTGGTGTCCTTGTTCAATAAGTACTGCCCAGGAACTTCGATATCTTCAAACTTCTGGTGGTGGAACTGGCTCAAATGAGGCGAAACCCTCTCCAGATTTATCTTACCAAAGGCTCTGTCCAATCTCTCTTCCAAGCAATCCCTCCACTTTCTTAGCTTGGAGATGTAAGTCTCCAGGTTAGGCTTGCTTGCTATAACATCGGCTTCAAACTCAGGCAAGATGTGCTCAGGCAAAACGGAATCAGCAAAACGAATGATGTTCGCCTCTGTTGAAGGTGGCAATCTGGCATCTTCCTTCGGATTGCCCAGTCTATTCAAATATTGAACACCATCATTGTACAAGGCCACCACAAGTCTATAAGCATCCTCATCGGCGTCGCATTTGAACCTCTGACTGAGTTGATCAACAAGAGACTCCAGAGACAAGGCCAGCAGAGGGTAGGCAGTTTTCAAGATACCCATAATCTCCTCCACATGCTCCCATGGTTGGCGATTATTGACAGAGAACTGTCCCTGTGAGTTTGCTTGAGGCGAAGCTGAAGCTGGCGGACTTTGGTTGGAATTAACGTTCCCTGGAACATTGTTTCCAGCAGTGTTGGCTGTGGACGCTGTATTCGCTGGTGAACTCTGCTGAGCACTATCAGCTGATCCTTGACCGGCTGATTGCGTTTGGGTTTGTGTCTGTGCGCTTTGAGACTGGTTCTGGCTTGCCTGTTGGGTTTGGCGTTGCAGAACAGCAAAGTCCTCCTTGGTGGTGCGAAGTTGGAAGTTCAGCGCTTGAGGATACATCTTTGCAATTCTGATCAAGACCTGGCGAACAAGACGTGCTTCCTTATGAGACAAAGAAGTTAGCAGCTGAGGAATGAAAGTAACCCAATGCCAAACAGGAATCTCACCACGATGAGAATCAAAAGCTTCGGCCAGAGAACCACTGGCATCATCCAAGCTGATGAGCCAAAGAATACGGCAAAGCAATCTTCTGGTCTTTCTGTTCTTGTACAGACCTGCAGCTTGCAAGTAACAACTAATAGCATTCTTAGCATAAGACAGATCGTTAGGATTCTCCTTGAACCTTTTATCATTGAAGAAACCCCACTCAGCCCATGCCTTTGGCAGGTTGAGATCAATCTGAACAGCAGTAGCGAATGCTTGATTAGCTTCTTCGACCGCATTCAGCTTAGCCAAGAACATACCCTTCAAAGTGATGAACTCAGCCTTTTGTTGTGTAGCAAAGTACACCAAATTGGTGTTACTAATAACATCAAGACCGGTATTCAGCTCATTAGGATTCTGATAATGACATTTCGCCTGTTCTCTTAGTTTCAAGAAGGCTTCTTGAATCTCAATGTTTGGCAAGGTGTAGATCTTGGTCAACTGGTTGATGCAAACCTCAGGCATATTATGTTTTCTGGCAACATGTGCAAAGCGGTTGATCACCCAGGCAATCTCATGATATCCACGATAAGCATATGAGTTTCCTCCACTATTACCGTTGGACTGCTGAAGAGTTGGAATGAATGGCATATAAGCCTTGTTGATCACAGCAAACGCATGTTGCCTCCATGTGACCAAATCGTTCCAGAGGTTGATATCATCCCAAACATTAGGAAGACGCTCGCGCCATGCTTGCAACACTCTCTTCAGTTCTTGAGATCTCACGTCTAAATTCTGAGCGTTCGTGGTGACCAAACTGCTGTAAACCTGACTGGCCTCCATAAACTCCACATACTGCTGAAATATGTGCAACAAAGATACGTGCGAATTTGTGACCCTTTCCGGTAGTCCATGCCACTTTCTCAAGGCAAGCTGGATTCCTTCATCACAATATCTCGTGACATCCTGGATCGACTCTTTGTGGTGCGCGTAACCCTGAAGACACAGGAATGTCTGGAACATCTGTCTTCTTGGTGTAGGAACATCCATGACAGCCTTGACAGATTGTTCCAAAGGCTCTCTGTCAGCCATCCAATCAGCCACTCTCCAACCACATTCAAGAAGCAGGTCCGTGAATCCTTCATGCTTTGCAAGTTCTGTCAATATATCCCAATGTTGCAGTTTTTCTGCACACAGAATCCAGTTGTCTTCCCATAAAGCATACTCAGACTCACTGTATGGCAAAATGCCACTTCTAGCCTTGATTTGAGCTGTTTCATATAACTGCAAAGCCTTGTCCCACAAGCCAAGTTGCTCATAAGAAAGAGCAACGTTGGTTTCAAAGTACTTCGCTCTCCTTCTCCATAAACCATAAAACATATCATCCTCTTGCAGACTCGAATACACCTCAGCCAAGGCATCACGGTTGGCTTCCTTGATTTTCTGATTGTCAATACTACCAGACTCGATTTGCTCGAGAATCTTAATACCGTTGTACCAGGCATCGTAGTTTGATGCCAGATACTTTACCAAATGAGGTGGAAGCTGAAGCTCATCGCACCTAGCGACCGCACCCAACATCGACTTGATCACGTTTGGTCTGGAATCTTGTTGACGTACGTGATAATCCTTCGACAAGAGTGTTACCAAAGACGCCATAAAATCAGTCTGATCCCTGCGGTCAATTGACTTGTAGGCAACAGGGAACACACTGAGCCAAGCATTGTGGATAGCTTCTGGGCTCTGGTATGAGATGTCCACAAGCGGACGAATGATATCGCCAGCGATTACCTTCAGATGAGTCTTCATAAACTCTTCATGCGCGCTGACAAAGTCTTGAATTGACTGCTTTGGTTTTTCAATGGGGGATACATCAGGCAGTGTTTCGGTGATATTGCCCAAACTCTGGAGTTGATACTCACCTGGAGCAAACTTCAACTGCTTCTCTAGGTCAAAAGAGCCGTACAATAATTGCAGTGCTTGGTTCAACCATGGATACTCAGCAAGATATTCCCAGTTCTGTTCCCTTATGACATAGTACAACCTTTTACTAATGTCTTTCTCCAAACTTGAGTCAAGGATGCTCATCAATGATTCACGAATTTCCACCTCGGCCAATTTCGTTCCAACCAAAAATGGTTGCTCCATACGAACGGTAAGCTCACTGAACTCAAGTGTTTCATCCTTGAAGATGTCAACAATGATCTGATAGAAGTCTTTTGAAAGAGTAGGGTCTCCCTTCAAGTCGAAAACCATCATTTTTCCCAAAATACCGGCTTTCTCTTTGGTTGTAGGGAAAAGATCTGTCTTTGAGAATACCCATGATCTAGCAATCTCAATGATTCTTTGCAAAAGATCTTTGTCTGCCGAACGATCAATGAGCTGGGCAAGAAGAGAAAGGAATATTCTCCTTTGGTCTCCCAAAGTTGCAATTCTCATGGCCGAAAGATTCAGAATCTTCTCCAGCAGTTTTGTAGTCATCTTGGCCTCGTCGGCTGTGCTGGTGTGTGAACTTGCAGCTGACTCTGAGGCTTGAGATTGTCTACCCTGGATGGTGATAGATATATGATCTTTGACCAGCTTGCTGAGTGTACGCATGATCAATGGTACGAGCGAGTCCAAAACTTCTGGCTTGTAGTTTGCAAGAGTCCAAGATAAGGTGACTCCTGCAGCAACAGAATTCATGTTGTTCAGGTCCTCAGACACAATGCTAACCAGCAAAGCCAAGAAACTCTTCACTTCTTCGTTCTGTTTCTCTTCCGAGTCTGGCGATTCGTCATTGAGGGCTTTCAAAATAATTCTCAAAACACGTTGCAAGACCTCCTGAATATCGTGATTGGCAGAGCGCAAACACTTCTCCAACAACTTTTGGAGGTATCCCAGGTTGGAGACAATCCACTCGGATTGCTTCCATTCCAGAGCAACACCAAGAACCTCCAAGGCATTCAAACAGTATCCCAAGACGTTGCTAGTGTTGAAGTCTGCAGTAACCAGGAACCTTTCAAAAAACGATAGTTTGACGGTGACTTCTGACCAATAATCTGGTCCCAGCAGTTCATATAGTAGCCTCAGTGCTCTTTGACCAAGTTCGTTCTCTGAGGCACGTTGTTGTGAGATACAAATGTATCTAATCAAGAACGTGATACACGTTTCTCTTTGACCAAATGGCACAGTGTATTGAGCAGAAGTGACACTAGGAGTAGCCCCACTGTCCATATCTTGATCTCCATCGGCATCTTCTTTGACCTCTTGAACTTCTCCACTTTCGTTTCGTAACTTGCGGGCCTTGGTTTCCCAAACTAAAATGAGTTCAGCCATATCAATGGCCAAAACCTGATTTTCAGTAGCAGTGTTCGTGAGAACCGTCAGTTTCCCGATAGCCGTGATGATGTTTGGAATAAAATCATCGCGGGCCACAAAGAAGAGATCAGAATGTTGCACAATAAACTGGTACACATTTACCACTTGTGTCACATTGAAACCATCCTCCAGGAGAACTCTGCGAGGCCATTTGAGCCATGTCATTGAGGACCCAGTAGGTTCCATCCGTTCAGACAGAACGGGCGCAAGAAGATCCAGGGCTTGTCTAACCAGATATTTGGTATCAACGTGGTGAGTCTTGAGCAAGGCTGTGAAAACTGGGGTGACAATCTCAGGAGGCGTGCTGAAGGCGGCAATGAAGTAAGATGTTGCAACATAGGCAGCTTGTTTGGTGATACTATCGTCAAGCTTGATAAAGTTCCAGGTGAATTTGATCACATCCTTCTTATTTTCCGCAATGCGATCAGGAGAGTACTTGATCACCAGAGCCGTAGCTTGCATTAGCTCGAATCTGTAGCTATCGATAGAACCAGAAGTATGGTTGGTTATACTTTGATCCTCAGTTAACCAGATTTTTTCACGTAGCGAATCCAGCCAGGAAGCAGAACCATCGCCTTCTTCAAGGCTGTACAGATTTCCCGTTGTCAACCCTTCATAGATACATATAGCGTTGAAAATGTGCTTGAAGAGGAAGATTTGGGTCTTCAGAGAAAATTCACCAGTTGTGGCATATTTCACGGACTCCAATAGGTAGTTCTTGCGCTTTTCTGCATCCGCCGACTTAACGATATCATCGAATATATAGTCTTCGAGTGCAGATGATAGAGGAGTGTCAAGAGTACAGATTTTGTTGATGAACGGCAGAACTTCATCGCTGCCAGACCCGCACAAACGGAAGAAACTCACATGCAACAGCTGCAGTTTCTCCACAGATTGAGTAACTTGGAATCTAATCGGAGACATCAAAGGAGCGGCTCTCTCGAAACGCAAGCATTGCTCGGCTATAGTGAGCAGTTCAGCCATCAACGGCTTCTGATCCTTGAACCAATCACTGTCTCTGGAAGAGATCGAGTTCACCAATCCAATCATGTTCGCAAACTTGGTACACTTGATTTCAGACTTTGTTTCCTGAGTGATAGACTGCATCAGAGCGGGTAGATTTGTTTTGGCCTGCTCTAGCAGCGCTTCACACTCAGGCAGAGCAACGAAATAAACGAACCTCGTGCTGGAAGAGGTACTGCTAAATTTGGAGATGAAGAATTGTATGGCCTGTTCCGAAAAGCGGTTCAGGAACTTGGCAATTGGAGCTCTGAAAGGAGAACTCTGGCGGCGATGGAGGTTGTCCTCCAGATAAAGAAGAGTCTTCATGATTTCATCCATAAACGTGTATGCTTTGGGGGGCAACAGATAGAAGATGTTGAGAATAGCAACAATGATCTGGACGGTCGGATTATTCTCCAATTCCTGATTTGCGATCTGATGAAGAGTAGCAGGCTGGGCCCACGCGTTCAAGTGATCCAGAAGCTTACGGCCAATTTCCACCTTGAAGTAAGATATAAGGAGCTCCAGAAGACTGGAAAGTGCCTTAAGACCAGAAACCGCCAGTTTCTTGTGATCAGACAAATTCATCAGCATTGGACGTAAACCGTTTTGAAGCAGGTCTTTTGGAAGCTTGTTATTCTGAGCAAGAACAGCCTTCAGCCCATCGTAAGCTGCATTGATGATCTCCGTTGATTTGGAGCATAACGCCTTAAAAAACACAGACAGAACTCTAATGCGAATCTGAGGACCACTCTTAGAGAAATCAGGCTTGATAAGTGCAAGAGATAACAACTTGATGCAAACAACTCTCAACTTGATGAGCTGTTGTGATGTCTTGTGTTCGTATATGCGGTGTGCACTGATCAAAGACTCGTCTTCGGCATCAACCAAAGCATGAGCCTCCGACAAGAGACGTGTCAACTCATTACTGAAGTCCAAAAAGGTATCATCCAGACCAAGACAAAAGGTGATAGCATCGATATTTCCAATCTGGTTTTGAAATGGAAGTGCTCGCAGAGGTTTTGCAAAGATAGGGGCCAGCAATATGCTTTTGCATGGACCAATCATGGTTGCGACTGGAACCTGCGTAACATCCGACAAAGTCTGCAGACATAACTGGGAAGTCTGTCTGACCACTTCGTTAGCATTGCTCAAATCAAACACCAGCGAACTGACAATCCCCTGGAACGAATTTTGGAACACCTCAGCTTTTGACAGCTCCTTGTTGCAGTCTCTCAAGATCTTGATAACCAGCTCTTTGGCAACATTACATACCTCTGAGGGAACATCAGAGGCAGTATCGCGGAGCACAAAGAACATTGCTCTCGATATTTCCAATTGCCTGGAGGCGAAGTATGATATCGGAATTTCCAGATCATTCAGAAGCGTCTTCAGTCCTATGCAACCACCGAGTCTGTTGTAGTAAGCCTCCTCAAAACAGCAATGGATGAACTTTGACACCATGGCCCTGACCATTGGAAATACAATTGCTTTCTCGACGGAGCCAAACAGAGTGACAGCTGCATTGAAGATGATCTTGATGGCTTCCACAGCCTCTTCGCGAACGGACTTGATGTAGAAACTCAAACCATAGGAGATCGCATCAAAGATAGTGTTCTCGCTCAATGCAATCTTGCCTTCGTGGCTATTGACTGAAAATGGCCTGTTGAACTTTCTCTTTTCCACAACGTTCTTGCCAAAATGCAACAGAACATAATGGTTGCAAATACCTCTGATGAGAACTTGGGCTTCCTCTCTGACCTCGTCGATGGACACAGAGTAAAACAATGCTTCCAGAAGACGGAGCAAGAGCTTTTCCTCTCTTTCGAATTTTGCGATGTCTTTGACTGGGTCTGCCTTCAGCTGATACTTGTCTTTCTCCTTCTCCTCTTCCTTTGAGTCAGAGAGTAGAACATCAATGGACTCCTCTACCCGTGAAGCCAGGTCGTCGGGGATGTTGTCAGAATCAATGAAAAGCTTCAGAATAGATGAAAGGTACCGGAACGAGTTCACTCTGTAGTGTGCTTTGTACCTGGGGTCAACCAGGATTGATAATGCGGTGGTTATTCCCGACGAGATCGATACTGGAGTCATTTCTCTGAAACCTTCTATCTTAAACAGTGCCTCGATCTCCTGGTTTGTGGGTGTATCTCCCTCCAAATTCTTATGAAGCGAGATAAAGCTGCGATTGCGTCCTCCGAGTTTTCCTAGTATCCTCAAGGTTGTATGGGAGTGTTGGTGATAGTATGGAAGAGGTCTCAAATGTCTCCATAGTGCCTCCATCACCTCCTCTATCACTGGCTCAATGATAGGATCAAAGTACTCTGCAGTGAGGTTGTCGACGCACAATTCGAGGGTGCGCAAACCTTGACTGATCAATTCCTGAGATCCGTTCAAAGCATATACCAGAGGTCTCATCAAGTAACTGAGATGGGGGACCAAAACACTGAGTCTAACTGGAACTGTGAGACATAACTCCACATAGATATCGCGCTCCTGAGGTCTTCTTGCCGTCTGGATCATTCTATTGAGTGACTCCAGAAGCACCTGAAGCAAAGGCATGATCTCCTTGTACAGTGCCTCAAACCTTCCTCCACCAATACTTCTGAACAGTGTTCTGATCAAATAAAAGTAGACGATTGGCTCTTGTGCAGTTGTGGTCAGCTCCAAAGATTTCAAAATCAAACTGTTCAAATGAGGCAAGATAACAGTCTCATTTGCAGAAGGAAACAGATTCACCGACATAAAACACAATTTGAAGAGTCTTATCAGAATGTTCGACTTGATTATGTCAACCTCTCCAAGCTCATCGAGTTTTGACTTCAAGAACTTTATCAAAATGCCTGAAAAGTTTGAGGAGGTCACCTCGCTTGCCAGGAAGAACTGAGGAATGTGCAATAATGCGGCATTTTTCAACATGGCCTCGTACATAGCAGGCATCTCAGCATCCACAATCTCGTTGAATGTGGCTGGATCAATGGGTATGAACATAGCGGCAAAGATCTCCATCAGATCCTTTTCTTCTTTGGACGAGGTAATCGGTAAGCTTGGGCCGCTTATATCGAACGATTGGCGCATCACAGAAGAAGGAACAGTGGGAGTAGAGCTCTGAAAGAATCTCAAACCAGTGACACATTCTCTGTATAGCTCGCGCAGAATCTCCAGTTCCTCGTTCGTAAAAATACGAGCAGATTCGTTCCACGTCTGGGGGTTGTAATCCTTTGAAGGAGGAGGATTGCACTTCTTCAAGCCAAACATGACCGACTTCAAGAATGTCATGAGAGTGCGGAAAAGATAACGGGAATCTTTGTAAGGATCCTGGGTCAAAGGCGAGATCTGAATCGGAGCTGAGCGTTGAATATCGAAAAAGTTGAGCGTATCCAGCTGGTCAGAGGCCGAAGACTCTGGGTCTATATCCATTAGATCATCTTCAGGCTTGATTTCGCTCGAATTAACTTCACGCACTTTCTCGGTCTGAGTACTGGCATTCTCGTCTCCAGGCAATATACTGTTATGGCCAATCACCTCCTTCCTGGCCTCCAGCTTGGCATGGGCCTTGGACTCAAAGTCCTTGTGATGATACATGATGTTCTCGTATTGGCGATTCAATGCCTTGAACCTCTTGCTATAAGCATCAATTATCAGCATGAACAGTTGTCTTCCCTCAAACTTGGACTCCAAGTTCATAATCCTGTCGACGAGATTCAAAAGAAGTTTCGCACTCATGATCTGCACAGTCAGCGCCAATGATGGGTCCTGAAGATTTTTGCAGTATACCTCAACACTCTTCCATATCTGTGGAGGACTCAGTTTGGAACGAACATTATGAACAAAGTCTGCCACCGTAGAGTAGGCAAGAGGTCTCAGTGTCTCGTGGGCAGTCAGTCCGTCACCAATCAAAACACGTTCATCGAAAAACATGTCAATTTTGGAGATGAACATATCCCTGAAGGCCGTTGACAAGATATGTCTCGTAGCATGTAACAGTTCCTTCCTGGCAGCAGACAACTTGCTAGGACAATCCTGTAGCAACCTGATGATCAGATCGGGAATCTGTGAATAGTACTGTTTCAACACTGTCTGTGTGTTCCGTCTGATGAATATGTATGCCAGGAACGAGGCCGCTTTGACCTGGCCGAGGATGAAATCGCCATATGCGTCCTTATTCTTAATGGCTGGCGAAATGGATATCAGATACTCGCCCTTAGCCTGGGCCTCAGCATGGGCCTCGGCCTGTTTGGGGGCTTGCAAGGTCAGCACGTCGATGACGTGGGGAATATATGCCGGTAACGAAGTGTCAAATAGCTCTTTGTAGGATGAGTACAGCGATACCATCGTGATGGGACATTCAGCCAGAGTCTTGAATGAGTGTGTAGCCTTCGCCAATTGGTGGCTGGTTTGGTCGTCAATCTCTCCTGAGGGTGAAAGAAGCTCTGAATCGTCTTCCACAACAGAATCGCCAGATCCAAACTGCTCTTGAACAACCTCGGGGATGTTCACGTAGATTTGGTTGATGAAATCCACGAACGGCTGTACCTTTTCAAAAAGATTGGATTTGAACGCTTTGTGCAGTGAGGTGATGATTTTCATGCACTGTACTCCATTATCTTCGTTTTCCTCGTTCAAACATTCTGTGAGCTTATCCAGCACGGTCTCTGCAAACGGCTGAAAGGTCTCGTTTGTAGGCATTCTGTGAATGATCTCCAAAACTAAGTGACGGAGTTTTTGTTCCGGAGAATTGCTCAAGAAGCTCACTGGAGTGAGATCCAGCTGAGACATCAAAGCTGGGATCATTTTTCCCAGCAAATACTCGTTTTCCTGACTGCCATGGTAAGACTCCAGAGTCTCGCACAGTTCAGACAACACCGAGTGCTTCGCGGTGAAATCCGCGGATTCATCCAGAAGTCTCGAAGCAAACAAGTCTATATGAGCCACGTACGCCATTGGGGTAAATATTTGGGATGATCCTTCGCAGAAGGGTGTGAACTCCGTGGTGTCGACGGTGTGGTCTTCTCTATGTAGATGCGACTCGAGATTTGACGAAAAGGTGGGAAGAGCGTTTGGCAAAACCAGGCACCTGTCACGTGACATGTTGGTGCACGTCCGAAAGGACAAAGGAAGTATGTCACGTGACTCGCGAAACGCTTCTACGACAGAACTATTGATCTCACAACTCTATAAAAATCGTTAATCGTCGTTATATATGTAAACATCACATCACATCTTGAATGCAAGACCTGGAGTGAACTTCTGGTCGTACATGTCATCAACCTCCTCCAAGGTCAAACCCTTTGTCTCTGGAACGCAGAAATACACAAAGAAGAGGGAGAAGATCACACAGCCCATGAACACGTAACCGTATGCGAAGTGGATGGCTTGGGTAATAAACGGAGTGAAGAAAGCAATCAAGAAACCCCACATCCAGTTGGCAGCGGTGGCCACAGCCATACCCTTTTGTCTAACACGCAATGGGTAGGTCTCAGAAACAACAACGTACACACCTGGAGCCCAAGTGGTAGCGAAACTGAAGATGAAGAAACAGGCAAACGTGATCATACAGTTACCAGCACCCTTGGATGTTGGTTGGTCATAACCGTTAGGATAAAGACGGGCGACACCGACAGATGCAAACACAACCAAACAGGCGGTCATAAGGACGGAACCACCAAGCAGCGTCTTTCTTCTACCGAATCTCTCAATGACCCACAGACCCACGAAGGTGGAGGCAAAGTTGACAATACCAAGAACAATGGAGGTCTCGAAGGAATCGTTCATACCGACAGCCTTGAACACAGTGGTACCATAATAGAAGAAGTAGTTGTTACCAGTCAGCTGTTGCAGAGATTGCAAAAGGACACCGACGAAGACACGGTAGAAAATCTTTGGCTTACCAGTGAAAAGGTCAGCCCAAGATCCGTTACCGGCCAGCTTTTCCCTCTCAATACCGTTGTAGATGTTGTCAATCTCGTCGTTAACGAATGGATGGTCAACGGTGACCTTGTTGACTCTGGCAAGAGAAGCTCTAGCCTCCTCGATCTTTCCGTATTCAACCAAGTATCTTGGTGATTCTGGCATCAGCATCATTCCGAACATCAAAAGCAAGGCCCATGCGAAACACAAACCAAGAGGAACTCTCCATTGAACAGAGTTGGAGTATGACTTAGTTCCGTAAGTGGTACAGTAACCAAGGAAGATTCCCAAGGTGATCATCAGCTGGAAACACGAAACCAGAGTACCTCTGATCTGTTTTGGTGATGTTTCAGAGATGAACATAGGACAAAGGACCGAAATGGCACCGACGGCCAATCCCGAAATGATACGGCCAATGAAGTACTGAACCCACGAGGAAACGGAAGCAATTTGGATAATGATACCCACGACGTAAACCACCATCACGATGGAAATACCCTTCTTTCTTCCGTAAATGTCACCAAGTCTACCGAGGGTGATACCACCAATGGCACAACCAACGTTGAAGATAGCAACAATCAGACCAGTTCTGACGTTCGACAGGTAATATTCACCATTGTCCTTTTGCTGACCAAAACGAGCTTTGAAGTCGCTCATGTTCACGAAACCGGAAATGGTACCCGTATCCCATCCGAACACAAAGCCACCGAAAGCAACCAAAAGACACAGAATAGAAACTAAGAGATAGGCTGTGGCTGGTTTCTCTGGGACTGGGGGAAGGGGTTCTTCTTTAGCAGCTGCTCCAGAAGGATCGTCGTAGACGTTCTGTGGAGGAGGCGTCTGACTCTCAACCTCTTTGTCAGCGCTTATTTTTGAAGCGTTTTCGTTTTCAGACATTATAATATATTCTTTGAAGTAAAGATGCAAAGTGAAAAAGTATGTTTCCAAAAGAGCGCAGGGGACGTTTATATAGATATTTCGGCCGGAGCAGAATTTATTCCGAAGTCACCGCTCAAGGGCGCCGTGATGCCGATTCCGACGTCTTCCTGCAGGTTTATCCGGTAATGTCACCCCATAAGTTGCCCCGTGTTTCCCCGGAGGGCACCTTTATGGTACGCTAAAAAGTGGATTTGGCTTCAAAAAAGACTTTTATGGTGTTAATAGAAGGTAGATACAGATATTATGGGTTGTTCGGATCACCTCGTGAGGTCGAACCGCAAAACCCGGCTCTCAAAATACCTCTGGAAGACATCTCAGCAGGCTTCTGTGGGGGTTAGAGGGTGTGACTATTCTTCCGTATTATGTAAGCAAAAACGATGACGTTCCCTAGTCTGATTTTCATCAGAAATTAAATCTTAAGAACGGGATTAAGCCATACGATATCAAAGATCTGCTTCATATTTTGAAACAAATCACGGCACTGAACGCATAATCCGTCGACTGATCACACCGAAAAAGGCGGGTCCATGGGTGCTGGTTTGAGATCTTCATCTGTCCGTCGCCGACTTTCGGAAAAACTAATCGTTTCTTTTTATGGGCTGTTCAGCTCCGCAGGAGCATCAGCAGGTTTTGTTGCTTTTTCTGCCCGGTTCTTTCCAATGAACAGCCATTCTGGTTCTTCGTACAGACAAACCTTAAATACAAGATTTAAATGTCCGAATAGTATATTTCGTGTAATCGTAAAGAACATAAAAGTGGAACTCAGCCGAAAACCGGAGATGGATGAGATCTACCTGGTTTCCACTGAATGGCTGAGAGCTGCAGATCTCGCACTAGCCTATGTAATGTGAATTGTACCTGTTCCCGTTTAGTGTTGGAATTATGCAAGGCGTTAGCCAATTGGACGGGAGAGCACCACATGTTGCCAAAACATTCAGAAAATTAATCCGAATTATGTAATCTTCTGCGCTAAACCGCTCGCATTCAGCGTCGTTTCTTTTTCCGGTGCCTTGTATCCACCGTTAACGGTAACTGATTGGTTGAATTGCGTTGGAAATGCTATTTCAATTCATTTCCCCAGGGGACCCCGAGTTCGCGGATCTTCTGGGGCCGGATTAAAGTGGAGAACCCGCGCGGGGCACCCGGAATGGGGTGTCTTGCAAGAACTAGAGCCTCCCGGCAGTATTAGCTTTTTGAGCACCGTGCCGACTGGAACTGCCGGGAGACGGAGCTTGATTCAGATACCCCGAAATCTCAACTTTTATTACTTTTTTATTTATATATGTGATGTGCAGAGTAGTACTCCCCCTGGTTGTTACCCCTCTTCAATTGGTCCTTTTGGTCGGATCATTCTGGGATTTCAACCTCATTGGAATGGAAATGCAGCTGCAGCAAGTGTAAGTAATCCTGGAGTTTCACAAACCGGTTTTTTGTTTTCTCCTCAGTGAAAATAATCACCGGAAACAGACTCCCGGAATCGTGTGATGAACTAGTTGGGACCACCGCAGTGTCCGTGGATTTGCCCAGATCCAAGCCACTGTAAACCTGAAGGCTTGGGGATTCACGTTGTCTCTTTTGCTTTGGAATGGGGGCCGAACTTTTTTCTTTTTCCTCAGCCACCAGGTTTACCAGTCTACAAACTTCTTGGCTGACCATGTGATCTCTGCTCAAAAATGGGTTGGTTTGTAATCCTTCCTCACTTTGAACTTGCAATGGTTCATGGTCAACCTCGGACAACAGGCATCTGAGGATGGCATCGCTGGCCTCAATGTCTTCCTCATTGTCGCTCCTTTCTTCGTTTTCTTTGTTTGAGCTGACTGAAGGCATCCTGGTATTCACAGGCTTCTTATTCACATCTACCACAGGCTTGTTTTGTGCGCTCTGTCTCAAACGACCTTTGGGAACTGCCAGTAATTTTGATTTATCTCTGTAGTATATTTTTCCATTGCTTTCGGTAGTTTTCGTCTCAGCCTTTTGCGGGGCCTGATCGCTTCCATTGGCACCGAACAAGTCTGGGTCCAGTATACTTTGTCTCTGTGTGTGAACAGCCCTTCTGGTGGAAGCATATGTTGGTAGAGCATAGTGAAACGTGTGGTTGAGATATTCCGACTTCGGGGTAGTCATTTTTCCATGGCTCATTCTAGAGGTTTGGTTTAAAGATACAGACTAAATTTGGCGGTTGTGCTTATTTGAGATAAACAGAGGTTATGCAGATTTTTGGAGAAATCCACAACCTTGGTTAATTCGGTTAAATCGAATTTTTCCCATACAAGACATTTGAGCGAATATATAACTAGAGTTTTTGTTTCAACCAATCTAAACCAATCTGTATTGAAATAAAGCTGATTGCCAGACATAATGTGTACAAGATAGAGGCTTGAGCGGCAATTAGCTGTTTGATAAGCACGGATGGCATCTTAGAGAGCCTCTATACGAGAATATGACTGCAACGCGGGTTTACATTGTGTCCCGACTTTATTGATATCGATACTTCAAAACTGTCCGACTCAAACCTGTTTGCTCATTGAATTTAACACAGAAGACGACAACTTCACTTTTTGAGAGTAACGGCTTCGCTTTACAGTGCGGCACACAAATAGGCATAACACGACCGCCATGAGAAATAATTTTTTTTGATGCTTTGTATGATGTCTCGTTCTACCACCAATACCACACAACGCCTCATACCAAACCAAACACAAAATGGGAAAAGCCAAGAAGACAAGAAAGTTTGCTCAGGTGAAGCGGACCATCAACGCGAAGGATCCCCGGATGTATGTATTTGTCCAACTAGAGTCTTGCAGACTGATACTAACTCATGATTAGGACCAAAAACCAGAAAGAGCCAAAGGTTGACAAAGACAAGGAGCTTGTCAGAGAAGTGTAAGTGAAGTTGCCTCAATACTAAATTGCCCATGAAATACAGAACTAACCCCTTTCAGACCACAAGTTTCATCAGCTCTTTTTTTCCAGTTCAATGAGGCCATCAAGCCTCCATACCAAGTGCTTATCGATACCAATTTCGTGAATTTCAGTATCCAGAAGAAGATTGACTTGGTCAGAGGAATGATGGACACTCTATACGCAAAGTGCATTCCAATAGTGACAGACTGTGTTCTTGCAGAACTGGAGAAACTGGGTCACCGTTACAGAATCGCCCTCACACTGGCAAAGGACCCACGAGTTCAGAGACTTACATGTTCGCATAAGGGAACATATGCAGATGACTGCATTGTCAGCAGGGTTTTGCAGCACAAGTGTTATATTGTGGCGACGAATGATGCGGACTTGAAGAGGAGGATACGAAAGGTGCCGGGTGTGCCTATCATGAGTGTGGGATCCCATGCCTACGTTATCGAGAGATTGCCTGATGTATTTTAGTTGAAATAAAATTCTATTATAGTTGAAGGTGTTTGATTTTTGAATATCGTCGTTTGACATATGAGTGGCCCAATTGGAGTAATATATTCGTTATCTTTAACTTCTGCCATATTAATTTTCGATCTGATCCAGAGACATTGTTCGTGCGCTAAACACCCCTGAGGACAACTTTAATGTGGAGTCAATTGTGTCTTGTTCCTTTTACCCAACCACCCATCCAGAGATCAATGCCGCAATTCAACACACAGGATGTCGAAAGCCTCGAGGCTGATGGGTACGAGCGTGTGGATTGCATTGGGGCTTTAACTCATAGTAGTGGAGACCTAGAATTGGCCAGACAGTACTTATCCCATTCGTTGCAGCCTCACATACATCCTTTCTCTACCGGACAGCGGGAGGCGACCACCTCGGCGATAGACTCAGCTAATACTTTCAATGATTATTCTGCAAGGCCGGTTATTCGGTCAAGAGTGGATACAGTTTCATCGGATCCTTCGTGGGTGTCAGACCAGGAATCCATACTGAACGAAGTCAATTCGCAGAGACACATGAGAACCGAATTGAGTCAGGTCACAGGGCCTTATGAGTCTGATTTCGTGGAAGATCTGGACCAACAAGGCATATGGGATAACATTTCTTACGAGCCCAATGTGTTTCGCGATGTCCGCAGGTACAGAAAACAGCCGAACCAACCGGTGGTATTGCTGCCCACCAGCGACGAAAAGCCCGAGGATTATCTAGCAGGTTTGTTCATGATTCTGGGAGGAGTTCCGGCCTTCTCGAACACGCTATTGAATCACGATTTTGGAGAATACAAATTTGATTCGGAGTGGTGGACTGAAGAAGCGAGTCAGGACTCCCAAGGAACGCTGGCCGTTCAGGTGCAAAAGTATCTTGCCGCTTTGTTACACGGAGATAGGTCTTTTATCTCCATCAGCGGGTTGACTGGTAGCTTGACTCCAGAGGTTTCGGAGCTGATAGATGACGACGAGAATCTAGACGATATTTTACCAGCCACTTATTTGTCCCTCAGTGCCCAGTTTGGTGCTTTTGAAAATGCTCAAGCAATTGAAGAATTATTCAAGCCTACTCTTCTGCTTATTCAAAATGAGCAGGGTGAAACCGAGGCTGAGGGAGCAGAGAGAGCGGGTGTATTCCCTATTGAATCTGACTCTTTTCGCAGCACACTGTATAAAGTTTTCCACTCGTTGCTTTGGGGCGATGATTTTGAGAGACTAGGCAGTTCGGGAATAAGCCAGTTGGGAGATATAGTCACAGTGGTCCTTTTAGATGAAGGAAGCTCACATTATTCGAGAACTGGCATTGAAGTACCTGAGCAATTTTACCCACAAATCTACACTGAGAGCTATCAGCAACACATCCAGAATGAGATTGATGCTCAGGACTCGTTGAAAATGAAGGACCACCAGCTTGCAAACGCCTCTGCTGATCTCACAAGCTTCAAGGGAGCTAGAGTGGAAACATTTCTGCAAACTGCAGTCAAGTACATGCGTGAGTCATCTTCGAAAGAGACGGATCCCAACGTCAGTCAAGCGGTAGATGACATAAGCTCCATTGTCAAGAAGATCTTGTCGGACAAACAGGATATTATGGATGAACGGTCGAAGATTCAGTCGAAGCTGCAGGATTTTGATATTTTTGAGGTGAACAAAATAATGGAGTCTATGCCCGAGAAGCCCTCCCCATACTTGTTGGTTGGAACCATCTTCAAGCAGAACGATTACTCTTTCTTCAGGAAAACGGAAGCAACGGAGCCTGGAGAATGGACAAACGTTCGTGTAACTCTTGAAGATGGTATCGACTTTGAAGTGTCAAAGACTGATTTCGAGGAGGTCCAGAGTAACGTTTACTCTAGAACCAAACATGGTTTTGATGATCCGATAGTGTTGGTGTATGTGAAGGCCTCTGGGATGGACCAGGATATTTCAGCACTCAACAAAGGACTCAAGGAATTCATCAATACCGACGACTACGCCTTGCAGAGGTCATATGATAATTTGGATGGTTCCCAATCTGACGTTGAGGAGGATTCTGTTGAGGACGATAGTGAGAAGCAGACACCACCAAGAGATGCCCCATTTTTGATCTAACGCACCGAATATCTACATTGAGTCTATAGTTTGGTCATAGTAACGGATCCATATGTCATATAATATTAAACCATATGCATACTAAGAGAAGTAAAAACACCAAAAAAGTCAAGCCACCGGATAAGCCTTAGGATAGGCATGGCGCATGGAGCCCAATTCAAGCCCATCGCCAACACCAAAGACGGTAACCGTCTCTTGAGTCTTGGACTCTTTCTTATCGGAGGCCGAGGTTTCCGTTTCCAAATTGTCATAATCATCATTATCATTACTTGTATCAAAGTCATCGTCGTCCAGCTCGAACCAGTCAACGTTGGCATCGTTGAAGTGGTTGAACCAATAATCTGTGCCAATGGCTGGAACTGAAGACGAGACAGTTGCTTGCTGTGCCTTGAGCGGCGTGGTAATTGTGGTCGCAGCCTCGGGAACCAGAAGCCGATGACGGCTGGATGGCTTGTCACCTGAAGAAGAAGAAAGCAGAGCATCAGCACGGCTGTTGAAAGACTTTCTTACTGGCTGACGCCCAGCAACGGTTTGTCTGTGATGAGGGGGGACATAGACACCGTTTTTGGTATTAGGAACTGCCATAGGAACGGATGGCTCAGTCAGGCTTGTACCAACCGAGGAAATATCCGAGCCAAAAACGTCCACTGGCTTTCCAAGTGTACCCGAAACGGTTGTCGCAGTTGTTTGGGAAGACGAAGCACTTACAGGCGTAGCCGCACTCGTTGCCTTCACTGGTGACATGAAAGAGGGAAGGAGCAAGGATGGATACATAGCATGTCCATCTTCTCCTTTCAGAGTTTGAGGCTTTTCATTACCATTTCTGCTTCCTCTTCCATGTTTCTTGAGCCATCTGCTCATGGTACGATGATTCTCATGGAGGCCTCCACTTTGGTGCTGAGCATGGCCTCCATCATTGGAATGACCGTTAGCCTCTCTTGAGTAGTCGTCATCCAGAACAAAGAGCTCGTCGTCTCTGTCAGAGGGAATATCCTCTAATTCTGGCGAGTCGTCTCTAACCGGCCTTGCGAGTGGTGAGTTCATCGCCAACACTGGTGACCTCAGGTTAGGAGGAACATACAGCCCCTGCCTGCTAGAGGAAGAGTTGTAGGTACGACTACCAAAGGGAGACTTTGCCATGGATACCTTCTGTTCAGGAGTCTTGAAATATTGGGTCCCAGAGCTGTTGTGATAGCTGTTACGAGAACGGTATCCGCTCTTGCCCTTTCTCCAAGCCCGCTTGTCGTTGTTGTTGTTAACAGGTTTGGTTCTGAAACTCTGCCAGTTGGTAGAACGGGCCGCTTCCCTGTGTCTGTCTGCGTTATCGATGTAGTTCTTGAACACAGACTTGGGCGTGAAATAGTCTTGACGCTTGAAAGTCTTATTGTTGAAGTCAAACCTCTTATGACCTTCAAAAGTCTCTCCGTTGTTGTAATGACCGTTACGACGGAATGAAGTAGGAATTGCCAATGGCTTTCTCTCTCCGCGATTGTTGAACTTCTTGTAAGATTCAGTGACGGTGACACTTGGAATTGACTTGGACTTCTCCGAGGTCTCATGGACCTCCTGGATCTCTTCCTCTTCTTTCTCTTCCTCACTCTTTCTCATATACTCCTCAATATCGAAATCGACCGTAACATGTTCAACCTTTGCTAGTTCATCTTTCATGAACTGCAAATTCCTGTTGTCTGGATCCAAAGCAAGAACGAACTTCAAGACCGCAAACAGGTCATATGACATCGAGGGGAAAATGTCAAACAGAGTCTCACGATTTGCAGCGAAATGGAGGAAAACTCTGTCCTTCTCTGTAGCAGAAGCAAACGGATTTTTACCGAAAACAATGTTCAATAGACAGATACCAGTACTCCAAAGATCAACCTTCTCAGCATCATAATACTCAATATCCTTATGATCCAGTAGCTCCGGAGCCATGTACCTCTCGCTACCAACATCGAAATCGGTGCAATACTTCTCTGTAGTGGCCAAACCCCAATCTGTCAGTTTGATAGTCCAATCCTCAGTGATAAGGATGTTCTCAGGCTTGATATCTCTGTGGTAGATTCCCAGATCATGAGCATACTCGACGGCATTGATCAACTGCCCGACGACATCCAGTATGTCTCTAGTCGATCCCGGACCGTAGCCATTTCTGATGGCATCATAAAGATCACCCCTGACACAGTATTCAAGCACCAAGTAAGTGTCAAACGAATCATACAATTCGGTGATGTTGGGATGAGAACCCAATTTCTTCAGAGTCTCAATCTCCTGACGTGCCTCCTTTAACACAACAGACATGTTATATGCCCCATTAGGCTTGAGCGACTTTTCTGCAGTTTCAGCCACTTCTGGTTGAACATTTGAGTTCTCCTTTTTTGAGTGTTCTTTCTCATCTTCCTTCGCTCCTTGATTGTGTCTGAACTTGAAATCGCTGGGATCTTGAGTGATGTATTTCACAGCGACCAGGGTGTCGTTCGATTTCGTGTCCTGTGCAAGAGTGACTATTCCGAACGAACCTTCACTGATATCGCCGATTTTTAGATAGCGGTCCTGCAACAGACCTCCGTCTCTGTAGTCCTTGTAGGTCAAACCCATTTCGCCGCTCTGAAGATGCAATCAGCGCTTCGATTTCAGGCTTAAATCAAAATGCTTGGATGTTTGGTACAGCTGTGTTCACTCTCGTTCAATCTCGTTCAATCTCGGCCTCGTTTGGATTGAAGGGTATACCCAACGGCGGCAGATAACTGGGGATTCTGTGAAGAGGACAGCGGGACAGCGCGTGTGTGGACAAAAAGTGGTAAAAGATCTAGTAGTTGGTTGTTGTTGTCATAAATAGCCGAAGGCTAGCGCCCCAAGTAATGGGTTCTCTAATTGCGGTGTAGTTGGGTGAATGCTGGAGAATGATTTGGGTGATCACTCCTTAATCTCTGAGTCAGATCCAGGCGTTGTGTATGTGCATCTTTGGATGTGGAGCTTTGACGTAAAACACGACTTTTGAATTGCCGTATTGGGAAATTACCGTTTTTGGTTTGCCTGAGAGCACCTTCTAGAATGTGGCGTGCTTGTGCCAGCTTATTGAGCCTTCAGGCCTGGGGGACTAAAGCAAAGTTAAATGTGAGCAAAATGTGAGCAAAATGCAATCGGAATGTCCCCAATTAATCAGCAGACTCTAGCCGCATATCCCACGATTCTTCAAACGATTCTCTTTAGACTTTCTTCGGGAGTCGAATAGCGTTTGAACGAGCCTAATTGTGCGTGAGCCAAACTGCTTATATAATCATTGATTATCACCAGAGCACTCTAGTTACCTTTAGGTTATCAGATCTTGTTCTAGTTCTTTTTCTAGTTCTTGTTCTAGTTATTGTTCCTGTTCTCATTCAAGTTTTTGTCCTAATTACCACATTATGTACCGTCCCTGGCCTTTGCGCCATTGAATACGGTCTCCAGGTCCACATGTTGAAGATTTGGGTTGCTCAGCTTGGCCTTCCCAGGTTTCTTGCTGAAATTCTTGGAAATTTTCGATGCAGGCATGTGTAAGGCCGATTGAGGCCTAGAAACCCTCATGGATCTAGACTGAAGTCCATAACCAGCGGGTTTTATACCTGCACTTGGGATGGTTGCTCTCATAGGCGGAAATCCAGTTCCCAACTCTGCCATTGGAACGTACGGCGAGAAAACCTGCGGAGAAGCCACGAAATAAGGTGACATTCCCGTATTAGGCTGGGCATAGTACTTTGGCTGTGCATACTCTTCTGGCTGAGCATAGTAGTACTCTGGATATTTGGCTCCAACCAAAGGCTCATAATCATCGTCATAGGCATTATAACCACCAACTAATCCCTCGGGAATGTAATTTTTCTGCATTTCGTGCGGGTCTTCCAGCTTGACCTTCGCTCTCGGCGTGGCTGACATTGACACAGGGACCACCGGAGTAGTCTGCTCAAGAAGATATGGGTCACCGCCGTAGACGCCCCTATTCAGACCCGCTGAATAACCCGGATCTACAAACATAGTAGGATGCGGCTGGCCATACGATATGTACGGATCACCAAATAGGCCAAACGGCTGCACTTCTTCCACTGGATAAGCATTCGAGTACTCGCCAGCGCCTTCAGCAAAGAAGTAGTCCAGCGGGAAGTCGTCATCCACTTCACCTGAAAGGCTGATTCGGTGATGTTTCACGCCCGAACCAACGCCTATTTGCAATGGGGAGGCATAGCTCTCTTCGTTGACCGGTTTGAGAGCGGCCAGATCCACAGAAAGTTGCGCTTGGTCCAATTCCAGTGGTGTTTCTCCACCTGAAACAGTATCTTGAGTCTCCTGGGCACCGGCTGGATATTTGTACTTCTTTTGATCAAGATGAGAAGAGAGTTGGTCAAACAGGGGAACCGAGCCCGTAGATAGGTTATAAGCAAAACTCAATGCTGGCTCCCTCACTGCCTCCGTAGATCCAACCTGGTCCTTCTGCTCTTTGGTTAGATCACGTTCAAGCGCATCTGTGAACAACTTATCGTGGGGCACACTGAACCAGAAGAACACCTTCTGTTTCTTCTGGGTCCTCAGACACTGATTCTTTTGTAGAAACTGTAGAAAATCCGATTTAGGAGTCTCCAAGACTGCGTCTCGGCCACATTTCAAATTTCTCAAATCGCTGAAGATACCCTCTTCGAACTTCTTGCGGTCTATTATCTTCCTTCCGAAGTGCTCGAACTTGAAAACCACACATCTAACTATGTCTGTTCCCGTGATGAAGTAGAGATTATTCCAGAAAACACAGCTAACAAAACCTTCTTCCCTGTTCAGGAAATATCGCCTGATGATCTGGTTCTCTTGCCAATTGGCTGGTGCTGTTGCCAGGAAGAACTTCAAGTCCTCTATTCTCCTCACCGATTCTTCCGTGGTGGGCATGTTGGCGTCAGTGGGCGAGGATGCCGAGTGCAGGGCTGAAGAAACATCCGACCCGTTCAAAGTGAGGGATCCGTCCAAATCCGACATGTTTGTCTTGTTATTTGATGTTCTCGATGGTTGTGTTGGAAGCGATCTGGTAGCTGGGAAGCGATAGGGATAGTCTCTTAGGTAGCAGTATAAATTAACAATCAGGGTTAAATGAGTGACAGGGGTAGGCTCGTAAAAAACGGAACGAAACAGAGTTGGCCTGAAGCGCGCGTATATAACAGGGGTAAATCGGGTTTGCAGAGTTAAAGACGGATCAGGTACGGAGAAGGAAGGTTGTAAAGCGATGCAGCATCCCAATTTTGGGGCAAAACCTGAAACCCAATGAGAGATCTGAAACACGGCCTGAAACACAGCCTGCTTAGCATTCAGATGGCCCTGGGGAGCATGTTTCTTTTTGTACTGATGCGGAAAAATTGGCTTTGGAGGAGAGGGATATATATTTGAAATGTTTATAGTGTTTTAGATTGCTTTTGACTGGTTTTGAATGTTTTTGGTTGTTTTAGAATCATCTTTTGCGAGATTATGTGCTAGAGCTAGCGAAACCTGAAACCTCCACACATTGAGGCCCGACAGATGCGGTAGGTGAAGCATCCTAATACGGTAATATCCATACCAAAAGCATTCAATATACTGGGTTTTCTATATGTTTGTCTGTATTTGGATTTAAATACAGCCCTCAATCACATCGCGGCTGTGTTGGACCAATAACGGCTTCGTATGGATAATCTCAGCCAATGGACTCTCACCATCTCCTACATGTAAAACAGCGTATATCAACGATGCCAGTTTGATGTCAAAAGCACCTGGGTTTCCCTCTGTTCCAAAGAAGAACTTGATATCACCCCTTTCATCTAAACATTTTTCCAGTGTGCTCAGCAGATTTCGGCACTTATCTTTGATATTGTTCTGCTCGTTCACTAGGCGTGACTTTTGCATTCCACGATGGTATATCATTTTGGGATCCACAAAGTCTGCAGAGAAGTGTTCGGCTATCACTTTGTTCCTCAAACTGAAGCCGTTACGTCTCAGCAGCGTTTTGACCATATTGTGGTGAACCAGGGGCGTGAAAGCCCCAAAGTCAGTACCGTCATTGTCACCCACTAGCTTGCCGCAGTAAATGGAGATTTTTTCATCTATACTCAACTCTTCGAGAACGGTGATAATCCAGCCATCGTAAAGAACAGAATCACAAAGTTCCAGCAACATAGTCTCCTGGCCACTAACAGCACTGGCATTGATGAACTCCTGGATCACAAAGGTCGTCCGTATGCTTCTCTGTAGAGCCTTGGTGTAGAACTTTTCGTCTTCGACCAATACCGGAAGCTCGCCATCGGTGGAGCTGTGATAAGAAAGCACCGTGATAACATTGGCAGGATTTGCAGAAGCAGGATGTTTGTCCTCTTTAGTGTTAGCATTGGGAAGAGAAAATCCATGCTTGTAGCACAGATACAGTAAGGCTGCACTGCAGAGAGGATCCAACGATATCACGCAATCGGCATCGTATTCCAGCGGAACAAGACTGTAGACGATCAAATTAAACCATTTATTCGGGATATTTTTCTTGGGAGCAGTCTTGAACTGTAGGGAGTACTGCGTGCTTGTAGCAGTTTGTAATGGTGTTGGTTTGGAGGTGTATGTTTTTAGCGGAAAAGCATCGAAGAGTCGTTTCACCGGAGCAGATACCGAGCTTATGGAGTTCATCGTGGACGTGTTCATGAGTGTGTATCCGGTAATATTCCTGGATTTTTTCCAGCTATTTAAACGACACAGATTGAACCGAGCTGAACCGATCTGAGCTGATCTGAACTCATGTGGTATTGCCCTTTAGTATTTCTCGAGATGTGCGATGAGCAGATATTGAGGGCTAATATGGCGATATTTCATTGACTATAAGATAGTTGAAAAATTGAGTATTTTTCGAGGAAAATTCAAATTTTTTAAACTGAAACACGAGGAGGGATTTAGTAGACAACACTTATCTAGTCAATTTATGTGTATGCCTTTTCATAACTTGGTAAACGTTGATATGACCTACTTTTCTGATACCTCTACCCAATCATCTCTGTATCACTAACCACCCCTGTTGAACTTTGTTGTTTCAGCTTCATAATTCATTAAACGTTATAAATATGGTCTATTGTTCCAAACCCTCAATCCCTTTCTCTATATCACTAATGACCTTGAACTTCTTCAAAAGCCGCTTTTTGGTACCCGATATCTTATCAGCTAGTGCAGACATCAGCAGTACTTTGCTTTGATCAATCGACTTGCGTAATTCTTCCACATACCACACCTTGAACCCTTCCAGCAGCTTGCCTGTATCCTTGCTGATATTATTGAGTGTCAATCCCAGACTTAAGACGAATAAGGCTCCGCCCGTGTTGAGATCAATGTGCCCATACAAATGAAGAAGCGAGACCACGAAGAATACAGGCAGATTGACCAAGCCCAGGTTAGAGATAATCGATTTGTTCACCAGCTTTTGCAGCATCACCAATTTTTCATTTGTGGCTGCCGTCTTCACAGACTCAATGGCGGATGTTTCTGGCAAATAAGATTTGACGGATGTCACATAATGGTCTTCTGAAATATCACTGGGCAGCCCATCGATCTTTCCCAGAATATAGTCAAACCTTGCCTGGGAAGCAGACAAAAAGCCATTCCCGCTCACCGAACGCGAAAACCAACCTGAATTTTGGGACTTGCTCGTACCAAAAAGAGCGCGTGAAAGCACAAGATCGAATTCATCAACGTTCAGCAGAATCTGGGGTATCTTACCAAACGTGTACACGAATTGATTGTCGAGGAATGGGATAATCTCCGATTGCAATTCAAGGTGCGATCTTTGAGCCCAATCGTGAATTTCTGTAGAAAAACGGGCTTCTTTATCCGTTAGTTGAGCATTTTGTCTTGCCATATAGAGTTCAGAGGAAGCCTTTCCATTGTGGCCCTCATGTTCGGAGCTCAATTCCGAGTACATCTCATGAACCAAACACTTCAGAAGCGATACAATTGGCTTCTTCCCACTGGTCTGTTTGTTGATTTCGTACAACAAGGAGTTTATGTTTGATTTCTTAGTGAGTGATAGGAACTGGCTCGAGTTTGATGTTGATGTCATCAGCAGCTCGTTTGCGGTCTCGGTAGCATCGAGGTCCACCACCAAATCCGAAATCGGGGTAGCAAGATATTCATTCACCTCAGGAGTATCCAATACCTGTATCATAGGCCAACTGGAAAATTTGGGATCAGGTGAGTCACTAAACTGGGATTTCACAAAGATGTAGATGTTGCATCCAAGAAAGGGTCTGGTGGCCTTCAAAGATTCAGACAATTGGATCTCTGAAACACCCTTAACTATACCAGGCTCCTCAAGTTTGAGATCTGAAACTTCGAGAACCTCCAGATTGTTGAAAAACTCCTTATTCATTCCAGGATCACCAGACTCGGAAGACCCGCTCTCGCCTATCTTGCCATGGTAGGCTGGTCTCAGTTCAGCACTTAAAAACGGCGACGGCACGTTGTAAAAACGCGCATTTCCCACATCCTGAGATTCCAGTCCTGTACCAAATTTGACCACATTCGCTGTGTCAGTCGGTCTTTTGCTAAACTCAGTATACCAGCCTTCAAAGTCTAAAGGATCACATAGGAGCACATTGGTCAGTTTGTTTCTAATTTCTGGTTTTGCAGCAACAATTCCTATGCGAACGCTATTGCTATGTCCCGACTTCGGAGGCAACGAACTTTGCAGCACTTCAATTTTTTCGGTGATACTCGAGCTGGTGAAGCATTGTTTTGCCAGCTCCAATTGGCTCTCAAGCGTTGATGAAGATGCACAACGAAAAGAAACTGTTCTGGCTACGGGGTGCACCTTTGCAAAGCGAGCAATTGAACAAATTCCGGGGAACACCATTCGTCAATATGGAAATATAAAAGCGCAGTGTTCTTCAGTTCTTGATGTCAATTTTGTTAATCGCGTTATGAGTGAGAGACGTTTGACTGGCTGGAGACGGACCCGTTGAATAATGACAGTGCAGATATCATATCCGATATCAAAATTTAAAATCAATTACTTTGCCCTCTTATTAGCAATCATCTTAGTTTATTTTATTTTTACTTTACAATATGTCTCGTGTCTGTTTTCTTCAGGTCAGACGAGCATTCAGTGTTTGTTCTGCAAGAGCCCATGAGAACCCACTGGTAAGTGTACATGGCATTCTCGAGTCCTAATTAGCCACTAACCTCCAAAGGGTATACCGAGAAAGTCTAGCCAGGCACCCCAAATTCCTAGCAGAGGAGGATTACCAGTGCGACAGAAAATCCCGGGAGTCAAAAAGATTGTGGTAGTCGCCTCGGGAAAAGGGGGCGTTGGCAAATCAACAGTCTCCGCGAATCTGGCCGTTGGATTATCGAAGCTGAATTTGAACGTCGGATTGCTCGATGCTGATGTGTTTGGACCAAGTGTTCCCAAACTGATGAATCTAAGTGGAGAGCCCAGATTGAGTGACAATAAACTACAACCGCTTGTGAATTATGGCATTCAAACGATGTCAATGGGCTACCTGATTCCTACGGAACAGAGTGCTATTGTCTGGAGAGGTCTAATGGTAATGAAAGCGCTGCAGCAGTTGCTGTTTGAAGTTGCTTGGTCCAATGTGGATGTACTTGTTATTGACATGCCCCCTGGGACCGGTGACGTGCAATTGACCATAAGCCAGCAATGTAAGGTTGACGGTGCTGTCATTGTATCTACTAGTCAAGACGTTGCTCTGATTGATGTCCAAAAGGGTATGACAATGTTTGAGAAGGTGAAAATTCCAATCATGGGCTTGGTAGAGAACATGAGCTACTATCAATGCCCCAACTGTAACCATCAAGAACACATCTTCGGTGACAACGGTGTGGCCGATGAGGCTGCAAAGCAGGGAGTAGAGGTCATTGCCTCTGTCCCACTGAATAAACAGATTTGTTTGCAATCAGATAAAGGAATGCCAATATCCGTGAACGAGTCAGATCCCTTGGCCAAACCATACTTGGACCTGGCTAAAAAAGTCAAGCAAAAGCTGGGCGTGTGAGACTCATTTGACATGTTGCCCTGATCCGGCGTTTAACAGAATATACTCAAAAGAGACGCCAGATCAAGGAAACCCAGGTGCGGCGCTGCTACAGTATTTTTCCAGAGCTACCCTTTTTTTTGCGCAAAACTTCAGCTGGTCTAACTTTTTTGAAGACAACAGACTGTGCTGATTGGCTAAACACACTGTCAAGTTTTGTTTTCGAATTTCGATGCTCATTTGTCAAAGAACCGCTCTTCTGCTCGTGGCGCTTCAAAGCCTTCCACGAGAAGTTCTGTCAGCGCCAATCCAAAAGCACCCATATGAAATGGAGCCAGCTTCAGCCGAAAAGGCCGGATATGGCGAACAAAATAACTATTTCGAGGACAATATTGGTCTGCTAGGACTCGACAGCGAGGCTGCACCCGGTGTTGGAGATGTGGGAATTCCTGCTTATGAATATGACGGTGACATCGCACAACTGTTCAATGTCCAAGACGAACAGCTGAAAACACACAGCATGAGGCCAATTCCAGAAGGTGATTCTGTTGGAATGTCTACCACCGTGACCGTTGTTCTGAGTGATGACGACAAAGACGCATCTTCCGCGGCGTCTTCTGCAGTAGACACTTCATCGCAATCCATAAACGCGAAACATTCCAAAAAGTCCTCTCCTGAGTTCGTGATTCCAGGTTATGATAACGTGTCTGTGAATGTGAATACTCCAAACGACAACAAAGGTATGCAGTACGAACAATGGATGTCACCCACTGGTCAGGTGTTTTTCGTTCCCAGAAATCAACAGCCTGATAGACCAGTGTTTGGTGCTCCCATGAACGGGTCCATGATCAAAGAGGCCAGGATATACGAAGAGCCCAATACTGGGTCCAGGTTCACGATTTTCACCTCCAATCAAAAGAATGGCAGTACTGTCGCCCTGGACTCAGAAACACCAGTTTACCAAGAGGTTGATTTGACAATGCAAGGATTCCCACATCTCTGGAGAAAGGTCAAGATCCTAGAAGATGATTGCGAGGAGGAGGTTGACGCCGAAGAAAAAGAGTTTCCATACGGAGCATCAACATTTGTAATGGTTGGTCTTCGCAAGCATAGTGTTGATAATTTCACCGAGGCAGATACAGTTGAGGACGCACCTTCTGCTATGGACGAGACCGGCGAGCCATTGGTCCAATCTTCTGGGCTCTTATGGTGGAAGAAAAACGACGACGATTGTGAGGAAGAACAACCAAACGATCATCCCTTTGGAACTGACCACTTTCTGTTCGTTGGTGCGGCTTCTGTCAACCAGACCAACACCACTCTTCCAACACAGTCAGAGAAGAGTGCAGGAACTGGTGATGCTTCGCCTGCCACCACGCCATCTGAGATTGTTGAAGGAATCCCCATTCACGCCGATACTCTAGACCACGGTTCAAGCCAATCTGCTACAAAAGATGATAGTGCCTTCAAATGGACAGAGCCATCAGGCGCTGCTAGCGATGGTTCTACCAAGTGGAGAGACCGTCCAGACCTGGGTTCCATCTTCAGGAGCAGATACTCAAATGGAGCCTTCAAAGAGACCCCATGGTCTCCTCTTGGTGCCATTGTGGTAATGACTTGTCTGGTTACACTTGTATAGGACTGGAATTGAATTAGAATTAGCCGAGCACTTGTTGTGTAGAGTGAATGTAAATTGCAGAGACTGGAAAGCACCTGATTATTCCTGCAAAGCCCTCAGCCGCTCTCTCATATCCACCAACATCTTATCGTCATCAGTCTGCGACTCTAGAACCGGTGAGTTGACCGCATTTGGCAGATCGATGTTCGAAACAGGTGTGGACACCTTAGAAGGCTCCTCTTTGTCTTTGGTAAATGCTTCCAGGATCTTGTTGATTTCCTCCTCCTCATCTTCATCCTCATAGACCTCAGTGTCCATATCCATCATGTCATTAACCATTTCTTCCACTATACCTGACTTCATCAGTTCCTTCTGCAACTCTTGGGCATTGTGGTTAAAACTCCCCAGACTAACCAGCGAATTCACATCCTTCATTATCCCAGCTGATTGTCCCAATGTTCCTTGCAGCTTTAACAACTGCTGCTGCTCGTTCAATTGCATTCCTATGGAGTCTATGATTGCACGTGAAGAATAAAGGTTTCTCTCTTGTTTCTCGATGTTTTTATACTCCCTTGCATACAACCTCGCAGTCTTGAGATCTTTGTTCTTCACCGCCTGTTTAATCAACGATTGTGTTTTCTTGGAGATGGGCTTGAGGTCTTGGATGGATCTATCAACTTGTCGTTTGTTTTTTCTTATGAGAGCCTGGCATTTTCTCATCTAGAAGAATTAGTATGTAACAAGACATATGCTCAGTGCTTTGCCACTAATTCGACTCCCAACTTACCTGTTCTTTGGGGTCAGGGCCCCATATGGCCTTCTTTATCAAATCCATCAGAAAATTGTTTTATAAACTGCAGAGCCGTACTCCTTTGGAGAGGTGAGATTGGGATTCGGTTGAGGCGGACTGCGTGTCTGCTCCCCCTTGGCTTTTTCTTATCACCAATCCGACCGGGCGATCCGAGGGTAGATTATTATGGGCTCCGAATCAAGACGAATAGACCAGAACAGACCAAGGATTATATTTTGCTGAAATTTCACAAGAACTTGGGAATAACCTGGAAACGGTGTGTTAAATCACTACCAGAGCATTAAATGGGTTTGAAATGTGTGTGAAATTAAGGAAATTGGGTTACGTAGATGTCTAAGAGATTAGCCCAGAGAGAGCATTCGAGGTGGTGATGAAAAATAGGACTGAGACACCTACAATCATGTAACAATTGAGTTGAACGATTAAATTAGACCAAAATTCAACATATAATGAAATCCAAAATGAGGGTACAAACAACACGTGGAAAAGAATACAAAAAGTACATGCAACACACATGTAATAACACCGGTCCAAAACTTCAAAATAGAAAAATGCTCGCAGGATAAAAAGATAACATTATATGTGCCAGACAACTTGGTAGCAGTCTGGTAACATAGGAAACGAGTTTTAAACTCGGTGGGTTTTGATTTTTGTAATAGAACACAAGAGTCCGTATGGTCAAGCGGGATTTAGGCCTGCTCAGTCTTCTCCTCAGATGCTTCCTCCGAGTTAGGCTGTGAATGATGACTCGATTGTAGACTTGATACCGTAGTCATTGTCTCCAGTTTGTTCAACAACTTTGTCTGTTGTTGGGTCTGCTTGGCTAAATTCCAGTTTTCAGCCTTGTCAAGCGAGTCGTTGCAGAACTTCATCACCTTCTGGATCATATCCAGAGACTCCTGTGCCAGAATTAGTACCCTCTCGTTGGGATCTGGCTTTTTCTGCATGTATTTGCTGTAAAGATTAGAGAGAATAGACTTGCGATGTTCCTGTCGCTGTTGCTGAGCCTGCTGGTCTTCCTCAGGGCCATCCTGGTTGATGGCAGTTGCCCAGTTGATTGGAAGTTTGAGAAGGACTTCCCTCACGTTGGATCTAGCAGGCTCCGGCAAAGAGTTTCCTGAAAACTTGGAAACCACGTTGACGATCTTCTTGACCGTACCCACGATCTCCTGCTTCAGTTGCTGAAGAAACAAATCGTCTGTGGCGGAGGCAGATGGGGTATTTGAAGCAGCAGCAGCAGGCGAGGAGTTGGATGTGGAATCACCACTGGACTCCTCGGCGGTTTGTGTCACCACCTGTGACTCTTCTTTGACCAGGGAGCTTGAGTTCACTTCGTCCGTCGAGTTTATTGCTGTCAACGAATCCATGGAAGCAGTTCTGGAGATCTGACTCTTCGCATCTACAAACTCGTCTTCGTCTTTAGGTTGCTGGCGATCACACAGCTCAATCAGCGAATCGATTCTAGAACTGAGTTGCTTGTTACCAATCTTCAGAAAATTGATCAACATGGTCAACTTCTTTCTGCTTTCAATAGACAAGTTCATCATGCCCAGCTCTTTTATGTCCAATAATGTCTTCCTCTGGGCCGCAACCAGATCATTCACATCACCCGCACTGGGGCCTCCACGCAGTGGTGGAAGTATCTTGTGCAAATTCGTACTGGAAGGGGTCAATTTGGGCCTTTTAAAGCTAGTCTCTTCGTTGTCAAACGCTCTCTTTTTGGTGGCAGTGTCCTCTCCAATGTTGCTGTTGGCTTGCGATATCGTTTTCTCCAACATGTAATGGAGCGAGTTGGATATCAGTGGGTGTGAAGTCACCTTCTCCAGAAACGAATCCGGCTGAAGCTGTGATTGGCTGTGCCGTGTATCTTGTGAAGGCGACGAGTTTCCCGTCGAAGATGCTGTGACTGCACCGGGAGAGCCTTTCTTGAGCTGTTCCAGCGCCTGGACGGCCATCACCAGGTCGTCGTTGGTAGTGGAGTCTGCAGTCATGGCGACTAGATCTGTTCTTATGCTCGATCTCAGCCTTATGACAGTGATGGTGTCGTTTCTCAAAGTTCTTGCAGCCTGTCAAGCAATTTTTTGTGGGGCTTGTGGGGGCCAATTCAGATCGAAGGGAACAACGACTTGTTGTACGGAGAACTCTTCTGAATATCTATCACCCGATACTAAGCGTAGAACACAACTTAGACTGATAGGATTGAGTAAAAGGCAATATATTTACAAGCCTATCAATGGCTAAACTATCAACCAAACTGGTTCCACAAGATAATCAAAAAAAAATGGGGCTGGTCACACAACTCGGTCTATCACGCGCAAGACCTTGTGATGGAAGTGCCCTACGCATCTTCATGTGCTCGCGAACAAAAGAAAGCAAAAATGGGAGGGCTTCTAAAATGTTGGGCTTGCGTGCGCGGCGCAAGTCGTATTTGTCGTATCTGCGGCTCTGCACCCTACGAGCGACCGGCTTTGTCTACGGAGATGGACCTGGAGAGGGAAGATGAAGGCTAAATGAACTATAATCGAGGCAGATCTGAGACACAGGACCCAACCAGCGTAAGCGTTTGATGGCTTGGACAAATATTCATTTGCGCTTTTTGCTTTGAATGAGACTACTGTGCGTTTCTGTCCTTGTCCAAGTCCTGTAGTAGACAACTCTGTAGCGAGGGCTCGTCTCTTTTTCGCCCACCCCACCTTCCTTTGCGACGCAGGCACAATCACATGGCTATTCAAGCCAGCGTTTAAGCCATGATCTAATCGAATCAACTATCACATGAGGAAAAACTTGTTTT